GTCCTTCTCCCCGAGACGGCTTCTCGGCCCGCCTCTCTCCGCGACCCGCTTCATCACACTGCGCCCTCCGACGCGCTCTGCTATGTAGTTAGTGCCACCCCCAGTGCCGACCACTCCTCCACCAGCCCTTCCCTGCGCTCCATTCTTCCCTGCGATCGCGTCTGCCTAGCTGGGAATCGTCACAGTTTCCCTGACCAACGAGACCACCCTCGATCTGATGCGCTGATTGCAAATACATACTCGTCCATTGTGCCGCATTCGGACGCCGTTTCGCGGGCCTTCATCTCAAGTTGCAGTGTGAGTGCATGAACAAGGCAATCGTTTTGTGTGTCCGGGTAATTTCACGGAGTTGATGCGGCCATCTGTGCACTGTGCTCGTCTGCCCCTGTGAATCCTGTCCTGGCCCCCTGATCGATTCGTCCCCGGAGATGCTTCGCCAAGCGAACAAAGAGGCCGGGGAGGCGCGCAATTGCTTATTCAAATGATGTGCATTTTTTTCGCTGGCTTCGCTATCGTGCATCTCCGCAGCACCGGTGGTCCCACGGATGCTTGCATTGAATGTGCACTTCGCGCAGGGATCATGTGTAGCGTATGTGTAAGAACAAGGCCAGAGAGAAGCCCGAGCGAGCGAAGCGACGACGTTCTCGTCATCCGCAAGACATTCCAACGTGGACGCGCTACGGAAAAGGCGCGGCGCGTGCGTTCTGTGAAGAGATAACGCAATCAGAACAAGCGTGGCGTGTGGAGCGCCTCCGTGAATATCGTGTGGAGGGAAAGGCAATCCTGGTCCAATTTCGGACGATGAAACGGCTCGTCCGACGGCCTAGCCGGCTGTGGGCCCTTCATCGCCGTCTCGCTCTAGCTCGTCTGACTGCAAGGTGAGACGGTTCTGGAGCCCGCTGTGCTCGGATGGTCCTCTGGCTTCCGTTCATAGATGAAAGAGCAGTCGATTATGGCGGTGGGAATGCTCGTTATGCGACGAGACTAGGGCGGGCTATAGAGCACCCGGATCCAAGCTACCGACGCAGCGGCATGTCCCCCCAGATAGGCGCCCAGATCGACATCGCGACTTGCCTGCGTTCTGTCCGGAGCATCCGGCAAACGCGACCGGCATCTGGCAATGTGCCGGCCTGAAGAGCGAATGCGGAACCGTGGACGGCGCCTGGGCCCGAGGCCGCCCGGCAGACAAGCCGGTGCTAACGGAGCGGCGAGTTGGATATTCTATCAAATTGGACAAGCCAATCAGGGCACTGCGTTTCATTTGTGTGTATAGTTGGGATGGACTGCACAGCCGAGCTGCTCGCCATCGCGCACGTCGCCCAGACTGCTCTCGCCTCGCCAGCAAGCTAGGCCACTCCCCGCGGACGGGTGTGGGGAAGCAGCACATGCATCCCATCCAACACGGAGCATTGTAGCTCGCTTTGTTCTTGCAGCAGCCAATTTCAACCATGCGAATCCCCGCGGCTGGGCACCAGGTCCAGTCTGGTCCCACCCAAATGCAGTGTCGTTCATAACGCATTGTGTGGCCCAGCCGTGAAACGCGATGTCCGCACTGGCAGAAACAGACGGCCATGAGGCCCGCCACACAAGCATCCGCGTTCAAGAGAGCCCTAGACCCGTAGAACAGTCTTACTACAAATCGCAGGAACGTTTACATTCCCTACAAATTGCTCAGTACGCATGTTCACGGCAGCAGATCGGTTCTTATCCTGACAGGTGATGGGCATCTTCTGGCCTCGCATCAAACGTCGCGAAGAAAAAGTAAGGGGTCAACCTCTTGCCGGTTTAGCACGGAACGGCTGTCTTCCCTGCATTTCTCTTCCATCAACGGACAAAAACAAATAGTGCTCGGCGCTCACGCTAGACGGTCTTCCACGTAGGTAGATAAAGCCCTAGCCTCAGGCTCTCCATTTCGCGTGCCGGCAAATACACCCACCGTCAGCCGATCTGCATGTCCCATCAGTCATCCTGTCTTGCAAAATTGCGCTTCGTACTACTAGACAAGGACGAAAGGCCGCGGCAACAGACTCTGCTGTCGAGTTCCGTGCAGAGGTCGCGTGCGTGCGGAGCATCGTACAGCGTATTCTAGCTAGCCCGAGACGCAATATAGCCACTTCCAGAATAGTCAGCCTGATCACTGTGCAGCCTAGGCGAATTGCTTGTCGTGGCTTGTTCTTATTGTTTCTGCGACAGACTGGCATCCAGTCGCACGCGTACGTTTGAGATATAAGCTGTGCTTGTCAGGCTGCCGCATTGGGAGGGTCCAATAGATGTGTTCCCTCTGTACATAGGCAGTAGATAGTGTGCGCTGAGTACCTGTAGCCGAGTGGCATGTGTGTGCCTAACAACGTCGCCGTGAGACAGCATGTCAGTGCGAGTGGCAGAATGGACGGCGGATTACTTCTTTTGGGCAGCCGAAAGGAAGCGGGTGGCCGCGTTCAGGTGTGGCTTGCGAGGCCGTTGGCTCTGCTATGACGAGATGTTTGCATGCATAAAAGCTTCTCCATGTGGGCCTTCATTCTGATGCGCTCCTCAAGTGGATATACGCTTCGTTGGGACCCTGCTAGCGACGCCAAATGTTCCATTTCTGGTAAGCCGCTTGTTGGCGGGCATGGAGGCTTCTTGAATATGCACGAATGTTCTGGCGCATGTCCAGAGCTGTTATCTATGTGGCTGGTGTCAGCGGTCCGGCACAAACCCCGAAGAGCAGCTTGCTGTCGTCGTGCGGGAGGCGTCCACAGTGCTTCTCGGGGTTCTGCACCGCTAGACCGTTCTCCGATAGATCATGAACGCAGCCGACGTACATTAATTGTGTTCCATTGCTTTCCACCCACCAACGCTCCACATCCTCCAGCCCATCCATTCATCCCGTTGCGGCAGTTGTTCGGTTCTTCCATCTTAGGACGCATGGACCGGATCGTCTACTCGCCAATTAGGTCGAAGTAGCGGCTCTGTCCCTCGTAAGAAAATCAAAGTAGAGTAGTGCAGCGAGCCAACCATCAAGTATCAGAGAAAAAGAATCTGGTGGGTCGGGGGACGTGGCGCTGACGCGGATGAACGGAAGCTTCCGACGGCGACCGGTACGCCATCAGGATGCATAACAAATTATCGGCGGGTCAACCCTGCACGTCCGTCCTCACGGGCGATTTCGGCGCCACGCGAGACCGGTTTATCTATATCAACCTTCATTCCCTTTTTTGCGAAGCGAGCCTCTGCCACAAAAACAAAAATACAAGACACGACACGTGTGGGACATACCCATATGCCGACTCCCGAGCGGTTGGTACAGATAGGTTCGTGAATCATGATTTATCCTGGCCCAAGGCGCTCCACGGTGCACCACATGATGCACGAGAACCTCGCGGACGTGTCCTAATCCTGCGAAAGCCCGTCGGTTCCGGTGGGAGCGCGACGAGAGAATTTGGCTAGTTCAAACATTCCAAGGTTGTGGTTTAATTGCGCAGAAGCGTGGAGAGGTGCTGCGCGTAAAGTCGTCGCCGTGCCATCTTCCCATTAGAAGGGTAGTAAATGCAGCGACGGTTTTGGAGCTGAGCTCCCAGATACGCGAGATATCTGGTCGACGTCCAGGGTCGCGGCGCACTAGAGGGAGCACATAAGCACGTCCGTTTAGCTCTCGGAACCATGCGGTGGTCTGCTACAGAAGCTGACGAACCTCACGGGAGGAAATAGTGTCGGCATAAGAAGCCGTCCCTTATCCTATCCGCGGAGTGCCAGCACTGGCAGTACGCGGGATACACCTGGAGCGATGAACGTCATGGCCGGACGTCAGCCGAACGTCCACATTTGTCCGTTCAAGCAGAAGACCTTCTTGGGCACCCCTTGTTCCGCTTATTTCTCTCATGTGATGGATCGGGCCACCGCAACGCGCAAGTCGATTCCTCGCAGTGGACGGCTAACACGAATCAAATGATCATCAGTACGTGTTCGAGCACCAACACGCATGCGAACCTTGCTGAATTTCGGGCCTCAAGGCCTCAGGCGGCAGACGGAGCCGATTGTCTCAGGACACATTTCTCATCCTTCGCGCGGTTCGATCGCTTCGCTCAGGGCTCTGCGAGCATCATAATGAGAGTAATCAGACGAAGGAATGCTAAATCGTTCTCGAGATACGCAGAGTACAGAGGACAGCAGCAAGCTACGATAAGGTTCCAGCGATCCCAGAGCAAGTCGGATATAAGGGTCACGTCGAGGCACTGGCGCGCAGTAGAAATACAATGGATCGATTCCTCGAGTGGTGCCGCCGTAACTGGAATGGAGCCTGACGACTCTCGCAAAGCCGTTCATGGCGGATCGATCTTATTGTCGATCTCTAGCATCGAACAGAAAGCTTGTGTCTGGGGGTTCGAATAGTGAGGTGCTACAGCACACATCAATATCCACAACACAACAGGCAACCGGAAGACTTGACACTCACGTTGTCGCTGGATATGATCATCCTGCTTCTTTGGGCCCGGGGCGACCATCGCGAACTTCTGGCAGTCCCCGACCTTCTCGATATGCTTCTGCCCGAGGGCATGCTCCGTCACCCACTGCAGCTCTTCCTGCACCGCGCGGCGTGCCTCTTGCTCATCAGGGTATTTGGACTGTGCTATGGTGAGCGGCATGTAGCGGTGGAAGGCGCGTGTAATGGCTAGCCACTCGGGATCAAACTGTAGGACAGGCTTGGAGCCTGCAGGTCGTGTGGTCCTATTGGGTGCCTCCACGTCAATAATCTACGAACACCTTTCAATACTGCATGGAACACACTCCCCTCGAACTGAATCGAACGAACCTCCAGGAAGCGCCTCCTTGGCAGGCACTTATCCAGTGCTATGAACCGCGTCTCCCTTCTAGGAACAGGCGGGGGTGGCGGTGGAGGCGCCTCCACGTCACCCACCTCATCATCAAGCATGATCTCATCAGGATTAAGAGGCGCCGCTGTACATCCAACTTGCTCCACCGTACTCTTCACCTCATCCTCCGCGTGTGCCTGTGCCTGCTGCTCCGCCGATGGTGGTTCCTCCAGATCCTCATCGCCGATGGCAATCTCATCGGGATTCGCGACCTTCGGCGCAGCCGCAGACGTGGAGTCCTCTGCTCGCGTGTCTTGCGGACCGTCATCGTGCACGACACGCGCTTCGAAGCGGCAGTGGAGATGCGCGGAGAACCACCAGTTGGGCTTGATAGTTCGAAGGAGGCCCATCATCGGGGGCGAGCCCAATGCTCCTTTTGCGATGTCGTCGCGGAACCAGGCTTTTTGTCGCAGTAAACCTTGGAGATCGCCGTGGTGCTCTACTCCTTGCGGCCAGTCGTGGGACAGGAAGATGTTTGGCGAGGAAAGCTTCGTAGAAAATATGTCAGCGTTCACGAGGAGCAAGCATGATTACGAGGATCTACCAACGACAATCGGCGGATGTTGAACTCCCGCACATGATAGACGCTCCTGATCATCGAAGGGGTGTAAGGCACTCTCTCAAAATGACCTGCATTGAAGCGTGGTCAGCGAAAAAAAATGCCACAGCACTCATACCTATCAACATGCCTAGTTTAAAGTCATGAGATGAGAAGATCCCAGACGATCCTGCGATGCGGATACCATCAACCTGTACGCAACCGGCGTAGCCCAGGAAGTATATATTGGGCGCTAGCCACCCTCCATGGTAACTGAGAAGTGTAATCAGAGTGGCATACGTACGAGAGGAGCATGAGAGCGCACAGTTCCCAGAAATAGTTGGATGCTTCGTGGTTTCCGCCAATGACGATGGTGAGCACAGGTGCCGTCTCCTCTCCAGTATAGTATCTTTCGCACATCGTGAGCACGACGACACACCAACGCGCATGATAGTAGCAAGAACGAGGCCCACCTACTTGTGAAAGTTTTGCAGCTTGCGATATTTGGGAGGGACCGCCATGCACTGCAGGTCGCTATAGTTGCGCACGGCCTGGAAGTCACCGCATATGAGGAGAAGGTCGACCTTGCATTTATCGCGCTGTTCGCGGAGCGCGACTTGCTTGTATATCTCCTCTAGCTCTCCGTGGCAGCAGCCCTCGATTGCGATCTGCAAGGCAAGGGTTATGAATGAGATAAAAGTCGAATGGAGGGCGCGTGACGGCACGCAAGGCATACTTTCATGATCCTGCCGCGTCTTTTTGCCCTTTTCGTTCTGCGCGCAGCCTTTGAAGCCAGAGATCGAGTACGATGGAGAGAAGTAGAGCAGAGAGGGCGCACGACCCTCAAAGCGTTCATGCAGTTGGCGTGAAGAAAGACGCTCGTCCCGGCGTGCACAGCATCACATGACCCTCCGTCTTGAAACTCGACCTCTTCCACCCATCTCTCTCCATGTTGCGAACAATGTAAGTCGCGTCGCGTTTCAGCGTAGAGTTGAGCTGAAAAGAAAAGATGATAGAAAACCGAAGAATGCTCGTTCGAAGCGGGCACTGCAGGCCCGCGAGCCGAAGGAAGTCGAGGACTCGCGGACGGCAATTTTCGTAAAGGGAACACACACTGGAGAGAAGGTGACTGCAGTCATGAAGGAACTGGTGCGTTCGATTCGTCGCCGACATGCTCGCTGTCTCATGAGGCTCGCGTTGTGACTACTAGATGGCCCTGAAACGGCCAAATGCCATATCCTTCTCCAAGAAAAACCCCGTGCGACCATTTGAAGACGTCTCCTCACTCGAATTTTGGGCACAGAAGAACGACGCCAGTTTGTTTATAGTAGGACAGAGCACAAAGAAGCGTCCAGATGGTATGGTGTTTATTCGCATGTACGACAATCGGGCGCTGGACATGTGCGAGGTGGGCGTGGACAACTGGGTCAGCATGAACGATTTCAAGGTACGTGCTATCCCATTGAATGCTCTCACGCAACATTAAAGAGCTGAACACCCGATAGACACCAAAATCGACGCCAGGGCACAAGCCATTGTTGCACTTTGCCTCCGAGCTCTTCGACACACATCCCCGGTTCATCCAGCTAAAGTCAATGCTGATGGACTTTTTCAACGGCGAGGTCATCGATTCGATCTGCCTCGCAGGCCTCGAGCATGTCATCAGCATCTCCCTCGCCCCTACACCAAAATCGCTCAATTCCACAACCGCCACCGATACCCTGAATGCGTCGACTCCAGACGCTCTGGCAGACGCGAGCCAGCTGCCGAAGGTACATATTCGCGCATACACCGTGCGTTTACTGGCGTCGGGGACACGGACGCCCCGAGTAGAGCTGAGGCCCATGGGCCCATCGCTGGATCTGTCCCTGAGACGGAACAAGGAGGCGGATCCTGAGATGTGGAAGCAGGCCATGAAACGACCGAAGTTGCGGAAGGTGGACGTGGAGAAGGGCCTGGGGAAGAGGAAAAAGAATCTGGAGGTGGACGAGATGGGCGATCTCCGGGGCCGGATTCATGTGGCGAAGCAGGATTTGGACCGGCTGCAGACGAGGAAAATGAAGGGTCTGAAGGCGGGCAGGGACGTCGGGGAGGAGTCGGACGCCAGCGAGGACGAGGAGCATGCGCCGCGGAAACGGAGACGGGGGATGTCGGCGTCGGCGTGATCTATTCGCTATGTCGTTGTGGCGTTTTTGGGGGTTGTTTCATCAATGGTAACAAGCGGTGTCGTAGGTTGCTTACGTAATACAATATACTTGGCGACGTTCACAGGCTTTGTTCTTGTGCGACGCCCGCCTTGTCGCCGCCGTCGCGTATTGCAGTGTCCTCGCTGCTTCTCGCGTTCTTCCCGTCGCACCCTCTCGCATCCGCGGTTGTGTGCATGCGGTTCGCTTCAACGCTAACCCGTAAACTGGATATCTGAAATCTCTCTTTTCACGCTCCTTGATCCGACCTTCTTTCTGCCTGTGATGTCTGGATGTGAGTGCTCATCTCGTCTGTCACTGCCCGCTATGCATTGATAGATTGTGGTGGGAACCAGTGCTGTCGTCTCTGTTTGGCCAGGGGGCCTCGTGAGCTAGTTTTCTACGCTCTTTTACGTTATGCTAATCATGGTTGGCCACGATAGCGCAACGTCCGCGGTCGCGGACACTTCCGTCTCGTCTGCGGCCCAGACGACCTCCTCATCCTCCCCTCCAGCGGAGACGTCTTCCAGTCCTACTACAACGAGTACCCACTCCACGACCTCTACTTCACCAAGCACCACCTCATCTACACCCTCCACTACCACCCATACATCAACGACGCCGACATCGACGTCCACTCCGCCCTCCAGCACTTCTCCCGCTTCCTCGACACAAAATACCTCCGCCTCAAATACCAATAATACCACATCTTCCCCTTCCGCATCAAACACCTCTGCTGCTTCGTCCTCAGGGCAGTCGACGTCCACACCAACTTCCCCAGCCAATGGCTCCTCTACTGATGGAGGCGTCACGAGCACGCCGACCGACACTGGCGCGAGCGCAACCTCTGCTTCGCCTACGTCGTTCGTCACTTCGTCGTACCAGACCGTCGTCGATGGGCGGACAGTATACGTGACTACTCAGGTTCCAGCCGCCACCTCGTCAGCGAACAGCGATGCCACCAGTGGTTCCAAGACGTGAGTGTCACTTTTTCCGTGATTAAATTCTCCCTTAGCACCTGCTGTCGGATGCGTGTGAGGGACTCCACGCGGGACCCTGGAAAGATTCTGCTCTTTGTGGCGCATTTCTCAAATCGCGTCGGAATAACCCCATCTATTTTTGTCCGCTTACCAAGGACGGGTTCGCAAGGCCGCTTTTTGACGCTCATTGACCGTCCTGTCCTTTGCTAATATTACGCGTAAACTAGGTTCTGGCAGCAGAAAGGAGCCGTCGGAGGTGTCTTTGCCGTCGTCGGTGTGATTAGCCTCGTGATCATCATCGCCATCATCACCAGCGCCATCCGCAGGCGGCGCGCCAAGAAGTTCGACGAAGACGCGGCCGAAGCCGCCGCAGAGGCTGCCAACGCGCCCGTCCCCGACTTCAACGACGATGACTACGGCTATCCGGAAGACCGCACGAAGGACTACGCTGAGCGCGGCGGTTACTCGGACACAGCGAGTCACGGAACGTATAACCAGCCTCCCATGCAGCCCGGCGAGAGTTACAATATGAGCGAGCTCCCACCATTTGATCCGTTCGCCGCTATGGGCAATTCTAACGATCCATACTCGGCTGCTGGTGCTGCTGGCATCGGTGCGCTCGGCGTGAACCGTGCACGGAGTCTCGGACATAACAACGCTACCGCGCCGTATCAGGCGTTTGGGCAGCCTGTGTCGGTACAGAACCCGTACTACGAGACGCCTATGCCCGCGGGCGGTTACGGTACACAGATGCAGAGCGCGCCTGCCGGCCCCGGAAACAATGACCTTCTCACTGCTGCAGGACTCGCTGGTGCTCCAGTTCCATCGCAGTACCCATCCGGGCAAGAGCCGAATCTCAACCGGAACAGGAGCCTCGGCGCCGCCACCATGGGCGGCATGAGCTCCGCCTCCGAGTACAGCTCGACTGCCGCGCCGTCCGCGTACGCTGCGTATCAAATGGGACCGACGTCCAACAGTGGACACGGGCAGCCCGCGGCGCGCCCGGTGTCAGGGTACAGCGGCTACGGCCAGCCTAGTGACGGTGCGGAAGCCAATCGTCTCTCTGCGAATCCCCTGCCCAACCCGTTTGATGCAGGACTCCACGGCGAGGCGCCGCGCCTGCTCTCGGGCAACTTTAGCTCGCCTGAGACGTCTGCCGAGAATGGGTATGAGGAGGACGAGCGCGCGGAGCCGGCTGCGTGGCATGGGCAGGACGAGTCGAGGATGAGTCTGCGCGATTCGCAAGATTATGGGTATGGTGGGGGCCGGAGGGTGCTTAAGGTGCGGTTTAGTCGATACTGTTTGGTGTTTCTGGTTTCTGACGGGCTGCATGGCAGGTTGCAAATGAATAGATGTGGTCTCTCAAACATGTGCAACTGGCTCGGTTCGGCTCGGTATCCCGCAGGACCCTTCGTCAGCTTCACCCCCCGTGCCTACCTAGTTTATTTATGCTTCCCGCCGCTCAGAGAGCGGCTGCTTTGGACTCGCTTTTGAGGCTCTCAGATCGTTGCTCGCTCGCTCGCTTTTCGTGTCTTACCGTAGCGTTTTCTCCTTAGTGTCCCGCTCCCGCTCCCGCTTTCGCCCTCCATCACAGTACGTCAGGACTTTGTTAATCTTCGTTCAGGGAGATGTGAATGTAGCAGATGTCCTCCAACTCAAGAACCCGTCGTGTTGTTCCTACTGGCAGTGATGTAGCTGCGAGGTGCTCCTAAGGGTGACGTCCTGCGATTGTGTTTTTTTTGTCCCGCCGACATTGCCCTTGGCTGCTGCCTCGTATGTAGCCTCCGTACTAGTTTGGGCACTTTCTCGCTAGGCATATTGGCGAGTGCAGGCATTCGCTTCGTGCTATAATTATCATTATTCATCAGCACATACTACTTCATTACTTTACTATGGCTCCACTTTGCTATGACATTTTTTTGCTCCTCCTTCATTCAGACGTCGTGATCGATACCTCAAAACTTGGCGTTGGCACCGTGAGCGCTACGAGAACATATGAATGCGCGGGTACACATGGTCCGGGAAGACCGAGTGGTAGCTTGTCCACCCTTGTTCATCCGTGTCCTGTGGTGATTGAGCTTCGAGATCTAATTATTTGCTATGCTTTAGCGTTTCTGCCCCTGCTAGAAGTCTCGGATGCGCGAACGAAGGTACGACTCGAAGGCCGCAGAAAGGTACGATGCATCTGACGCTTTCCAAATATGAGCTTACAACGTTGTCCATCGCTGCGCTTGCTCTCTCTGGCTCAGTGAGCACTGGGAGGTAGGGGGAGAGGACGAGATCGGGGCACCAGGAGGCGAAGTTGCTGTCACGACCATGAACTCGTTTATCGCTCGGACGGGCCAGAGGCCACTGAGGATGACGCGCTGAATGATCGCACTAGCTACCTTAACGTGGTGCGTTCCATCGCGTTCGCGGGCGAGATTCTGGGAGGATGTCCTAAACTCAACGCACCTAGATAGACAGCCGTAAGTGTAAGAAAGCCGCGTTTGATGCTTCAAGGTTGGCTTGAGCATGTAACGATTCGACATAAAACGCATCCATGAATCCGCACAGCCTTACCATACTGCCATGCCCAGAGCTAGTTGCAGTTCGTCAGAAGCTTAGCATCATTTTCTACATGTTGCTATCAGAGCCCTAATCATCCGAACAACGTCATACCAGCACCAGGATAACAAACATCACGTCTTCATCCTGTAAAGCACAAGAGACACGATAAGGACGGACGCGAGAGCTCTCCGCCTCCGTCTAGCCCTCTCCTGGTTCTTCAACCACACCGCCGCTCCTGGACCCTCCACGGAGTAGTCTACCCAATTTACATTCCTCAACAGCCACCAGAACCATCCATGTGACCACGGAAAGATGCTAAAGTTCCGGCCTGTCCCGCCTGACCCGCGGAACCACGACGGTGGACAGCCTGTATACGAGTTGCCGGCAAGTGCGTCGCGTAGCTGCGAGTTGTACTGCATATATGCATCCGAACGGATAGATATGGAGAGGGGATTGGGCGTGTGAATGAGCGGCTTGATGAGCTGGACAATGTAATTTATCTGTCGTTCTTCATCAGATGACAGGATTGACGTGATGGGGGTATAGTTACTGACCTCTATCTCATGCGTGAACACAGCAGAACCATTTCCAGTGACCGTGTTCGGGCCTATGCACATGTCATCATGTATGGTGATCTTCACGCTACCATATGACCGCAACTGACCTCCAATAATGAGACAGTTCGGGAAGCCTGGGACACACACGCCGAGATGTGCCGCCGGACCATCTTCAGACTCAAAGAAGCCTTCGAGAGACACGCCCATTCTGCCTGTAACGGAGATGGGGTATATGCCCTTGTATCATCGAGACAAGACATAAGTGGGCGCCAGCAATGTCGACGACCAATCTCACCGTCTGGAACCCAGTGCTCAGGACAATCGCATCAACCAATAAATGATCCCCTGCTCAATCTCTGAGCACGACAACGCGTCAGCGCAAGCTCACAGTTACCTTGGTTGGTCACGATGCCTGTAGTCGTGATCTCTCGGATGCCGTCCCAGTTCAGCTGGACATTCGGCTGGTGAAGGCATGCCAGATAGCCAGGATCAAAAACAGGCCGGCGGCACCCGATAGCTTATCATATTGGTCAGCTCCATTGCAAGGAATGTAACTTTAGTGCGTACGGAAGGTCGGGATGAGCTTGTCGTGATACTTCGCTGGAGCGGTACGCTTCATGTAGGCTATGGCGTCCTACATCGAGATAATATAGGAGAAACCTCGAGACGCAGGAGTAACCAAACTTACATCTTGCATGCTCCCTCCTTTCGTGATTTTCCTCCACATATCCCGCATCACCGGCGTGCCTAGGCGTACCTGATGTCTCGGCAATTCATTCAGAGCGCTGAACAAACAATGATCACAGAGAGAACGGAATACGCTCACCAAGACGACCCAAAGCCGAAAAAGACGCATCGCCAAAGGCACATGAGCGAGAATCCATCGGCGTGCTGGCGAATAAGAATCGCTTGACTGAAGTCAGGTAAGCACATCGGCGGTCCCAAGTCGTCAAAAACATACTTACGCTGTAGAGGAACCAGTTGGGAGTGCGGCAGAACTGGATTACACAGGTGTTAGGGTCCGCCGCCAGGCACGGCACGAACTGTGCGCTATAAAGATGCAGCAGGTGATCTGTTAACGCCTGGCCCACAGTACGATACGAAACTCACGCAGATGCGCCGTTTCCGATGACAGCGACTCTCTTTCCCCGAAAGTCCACCCCATGGTCCCACCTCGCCGAATGGAAACAACTCCCTCCAAACTGCTCCAGACCCTCAATTTCCGGCATCTTCGGCTCTGTCAAGATCCCCGTCGCCGAAACTACTGCCTTCGCGCGAATCCGTATCCTCTGACGAGTCCGCACATCTTCCGCGTCGACGTCCCATCGACAGGCGGACTCGTCCCAGACGGCGGAGGCGACACGAGTGTGGAAGAACGTGTGCTCATGCAGGGCATATCTGGCTGCTAGTGATTGCCAGTATGCGAGGAGCTCTGGCTGAGGTGCTAGAGAAGCGCTCCAATGCGGGTTTTGTTCAGTTGAGAGACTATACCAATGGGTAGGTGTATCACAAGCGCTGCCCTAATCACCCATTGAGGTACAGTCCATCCATTAGGAATAGCCAATGTACCGGGTACGTGTTGTCCTACGTGTGGCAGAGAACATGAGCGACGATCATCACGGCTTCGATCAAGAACTCACTCTCCACGTTCCTCCAAAGTTCCCCGCTTTCTCGCAGATCTCAATGACAGGACGTCAGCTTGATTCTTATGACGATATGAGCTAGGCATACCAGGAAATCACCGCAGCCCAGCTGTCGCTTCAACGCGATCGCGCAACTGATACCGCCGAGTCTGCGTAAGCTCCACTCAATCAGCGATGATTCCATTCAGATTGCTTCCTCAGGCTTCGAGGGGCTCACCCGCCGCCTACGATGACCACCTGCGTGTCGACCACGTCGCCGCATTCTTCATGACTAGCCCGAGTCATGTCTCATGGGGTAATGAAGGACGTTGAAAGGATGCGATTCGCCATGGGAGCAAGGTCGTGCTGGAGTGGGAATATGCGGCTCACCGATAGCAAGAAGAGCGCGCATTGCACTCATCCCCCATGTCGAGCGTGTGTGAATCTATCGGGACGGGGTCCGATTGGGTAGAGGTGGTCCTATAAAAACATTCATTCATTCGTATGCGCCTTCGAGCTGCAAGCATGCTGTGGATGCAATAGAGCACCGTCGAAGAAGAAACGACACACACGAACGGTGCACTCGCTGAGATGCGGCCATCGCACAAAGGAAGTCCTGTCGGGATGGTTTCAAGAGTCTGGCCTGCGCTCATCAAGCTACAGTTCTCGGAGAACATCGAGGTCACTAGCACGCATATAATGCATAGCGAATGTTCGGCGCGCAGTGTCGGTAGTTGATAATGGAGATCGCCCAAGGCATCCGCTTTAGTCCCGATGTCTGATCGCACGTAGTAGGATATGATATGTGTTGGTGTTCAACAGAAAGAGCTGGGACGACAGTACTATTATAATGAGATGACAGAGCCAGCATACGTGGAGCATAGCACGACTTCATTGCTAGTGGCGGGCACAGGTACGACCAGGGTACGACCAAGGTACACTCACGGCAGAGACAACAAACCGGACGCGGTCACGTGCGCGATCGCACGCTTTCTTCCCCAGTGGAAGGAACTTCAAGGCTGCAAGTCGAATGAAGAATTGAGCATGCTGGAGCCGTACAAAATTGCATGGAATTTCGTATGCACAGTTTGTTAATGTAAACTATCGCCCCTTTCAGCGCGTAGCGCACAATGACGATGATCGGCGTGACCGCGACATGACGCATCGCGTCAATCCAGCCGGTGAAAAGGCAATTGTCGATGTTGGTACAAATCTCAATTTTGGTACAGAAATATTACAACAAGTGTACACGTAGTCATTTCAAGTCGAGTCCGTACTTCTACAAAAGTATACCCAAAGGAATTCGTCCTGCCAATCACGGCACCATCCGTCAAACATCTTCACAAACCAAACGGGAGCACCTTTTCACCACCGATAAACCCATCGCCGCCTAACCCCCACCCCTTGTTCCAACCCTCGCCACTCTGTCTCCTCCCCCTAATCTCATAAAACAGAGATCCATCATACAACCTCCTTAGGTCATCCTTCTCCACCCTTCCATCCTTCTGGATGAGCAGACAGGTCGTGCTCCACTCGAAAATCGCTGCGCCCCATCCAAAGGGGTCGACAGCCAATCGCTGGCCGGCCGTCATGTTGTACACCTCTCTGAGGTTGAGCGACGTCGCGGGAGTGGTGAGATTCGGCTCGGTGGCGGAAGCGTATTTCGTGAAGATATCCTCGAAGCGCGAGGGGATGAAACGTCCCTCGTTGTCGTATACACCGGTATCGGAGCCGTGCTTGTCTTTGTGAATACCGGAGACGTATACCCGGAAGAAGGGATCCGGAAGGTACGAGTGCGCAAGGCTGGACGTACCCACATGTTATCTAGGTAAGCTGCTCTAGATAACTCCTCGTAGAGAAAAAGACGCACCGTGAGGGAAAGGAGAAGGTACCGTTGATGACGAACACGGCAAAAAGACAAAAAAGAATGTTGAAACCAAGCTCGCGGAAGCCTATAAACGTATCCAGAGGCCATATCTCTCCATCTCCATCTCTGTCCCAGAACATGACATGCTGCTGCATCACCGACTGCGAAGCGCGGCGACAGGATCGATGTTCAGTATGACATAACTTCTCGCAACGAGACTGAAGACGTACCCAATCTTTATGCTTGCGTGCATACGGAACAGTCCCACTGGGATGCTCGACGCTCGGCGCGTACGATGCACGCGCAACGAACGGCTTCTCGATGAACTGGTCGGTGTCGAGGCGGTAGGGTCGCTCGAACGTGACCGGTGCATGCTCGGCGGTGACGTTGAGATGCGATACGTTTCCATTGCCATTGCTCATGCGTGCAGACTTTGCGGACGGCATCGTCGTTGATGAGGAAGTGATGGGAAGAGAAGGGTGTGGGGGAGAGCGTTATATATGTCCGTTGAGGCGGGCGGGCTGGAAGAGGGATTTCACATGACGATGCGCGAGCCAATCATCTGGCCGGCGTTGGGTCGAGGCGGGAGTCTCGGTGGCGCGAGGTATCTGATACAGCGGGTGGCCAAGGCGAGACGTCATCGACGCGTCAGTGGCAACTCGACGCGCCGTGACGGATGCACGTGAACGTGACACCCTCGCGATGCGCTCGCTCGCAGCGCGTCTACTAATGCTCATGTTGCATTCAACATGACAAACGCTGACCATTGAAAACAGGCTGCAAACAATAAGACGTTTAGGTACGCATGCAGGTCCGTGTACAAATCATACGAGAATGCTTTCGATGACTTTGTGTTATCCATGAATGGGTCGCTTAAAGTAAAGGGACCATCTAAGTGACAGCCCCTCATCGTATATTAAAATTCCCGTTGTATATGGAAAAAAACTCGTAGTCCCTCGTTTAGACACTCCAAATTTTGAGGAAAGCGCCGTGGATGTCTATCGCTTGCCATTCTTACTCACGGACACGTCTACAGAGGCCCAACTGATGTTCGTTATACCAAATGTGAGCTCTCAGCCAGAGCTGTCGCATTCATTTTACACAATCCAACTACAACGAAAGAGATAGCTATGTATATTCACATGCGACTAGTCAAGCTCATCCAGACTGCGAGCCATCAGCTCATCCTCAAATGCCCGCGCGAGCATCGGATCCTCGCGCTTAAGGCCCGTCAGGAATCCCTTACCAAACTATTTGAGCCACTTGAGGTTCAACGCCTCGCTGCCTTCCGTGGCCTTCGGCTCTGCACCATCGGCGCGAGCCATCAGCTCGTCCTCGAACTCCCGCGCAACTTTCAACAGATAGTTCGTGGGTATGATGTTCCTATCTGCGTAGTTTATGGGCTCGGCCTTGGGGAAGGTACATGCGAGCATGGGGTCCTCGCGCTTGAAGAAGTGGAAGACACCCTTGACGATCTTGCCGAAATTGATAGCCTCGCTGCCCTCTGCGGCATTTGCACGGGCAAGGAGCTCGTCATCGAATGCGCGAGCGTGATGTCCTGCATAGTGGAGACCAGTTGGCTCATACCCCACGTGAAAGCCTTCATGACCCCGCGCAAGCAGCTCATCCTCGAATGCACGCGCAACCATCGGGTCCTCACGCTTGAGGAAGTGCAGGACGCCCTTGAGAAGCTTGCCAACATTAAGCGCCTCGCTACCTTCGGCGGCGTCTGCGCGTGCGTACAGCTCATCGTCGAACGCACGGGCAGAGTGCTGCGCGTACGTATGGGCATGGTTATAAGTCGATGGTGCATGGTTCATCTCGTGGTACTCTTCGTGGCCGCGGGCAAGCAGCTCGTCCTCGAAGGCTCGCGCGACCATGTCGTCCTCGCGCTTAAGGAAGTGCAAAGCTCCCTTGATGATCTTGCCAAAGCTGATCGCCTCGCTGTCGGATGCGGCTTCGGCACGTCCATGATGCCACATGGCGTTCCAGCGGCTCTGCTCGCCCGGCATGGGGAATTGGAGGGCCCGCGCGGCGAGCGCTTCATCGCGGTTGGCGTGGAAGGCGCCGTCCACGGGGTGACCGATTCTGGACGCTTCATAGCCGATGCGGCTGCTGCGGAAGGGACTCGGTCAGCACCTGCGTCACTGCAGACAAAGATGACTCACGTTGCAGCGGGCCGCGCGAGGGCGGGCGCGAGGATCGAGGCAGAAGCGGCGAGGGTGAGAGCGACAACAGTGGAAGCGCGCATAGTGGATGTGAGATGCGTGAGGAACCAGGTGGGTAGATTAGGGTGAGAGTTGGATGAGCGGTGCAGGTAGATCGTGACTGTCACTGGGACGAAGCCGGACGTAAGGTCGTAATGAAAGAACGTGAACGCGAAGGTAAGATAAATACGAGCAAAGGCTACATCCACAATCGTCGGTCAAGCGTGTTCTTGCGGAGAGCGCAACGCTGCCACTCACCAACCAGTACCTATGCTTGGAAGTCTTGTCTGAGCTCGGGAAGGGGGCTGAGAGCTGGGGATCCAGCGTCGACAAACTTAGAGGATTAAATACCTTCCGTCTATGAACCGCAGTAGACCGCAGTCTCCCAAGCAAAGTTCGTGAGAGAGGACCTATCGCAACCGAATAGCAAGCCGCATCGGCCATCCAGCCTGGACGCTGTATCCACCGCGCACATCTGTCTATTCGGAGTTGACTGAGTGTTGGGGTGATGGTTGGGTGCAGCGCAACCTGGTACGCTGATGGGATATCACAGAGGCAGTGCAAGAATATATGATTGATGTGCGCCTATCTCTCCATCACTCGACCGATCAGTGGAGTGGCCACTTGCTAGATGCGGTCTCTAGTGCTAGCTGCGTCGTTTCAACCCGTCGAGCGCTATTCCTCTGACGGTGCGGAGTCGAGCTTGTGGTGAGCAGTTAAGCTCCCCATAGTTCCGTGCATAGCAGCTGTCAGCGTTACGTGAACGCGAAGCACAATCTTGTAGGTCCATACACTTGGCAAGAAAGGTTGCCCAATGTGAGCCTGATCCCATCATGTTTACGTCACATCCACCATCAATCCACGTCCGTACTCGAATCCGCGAGGACATTGCTGGCCAACGCCGAATTTCTAGGTGTTGATAAATGCATGGAGCGTGTGCACAGCCCTGCGTGTTAAGACTCGCTGGCGGGGGACTAGACGCGCCGTTTCCTGGGTGTGTTGGTCCTTGGAGCGCCACAGTCCGCAGTTCAGGATCAGATGGGCCGGCTTCGCGAGGGACAGAGGCCATAAAATCGCTACCTCGGATGGCCACATCGAGTGAGCATGTCACGAGGAGTCAATATCAATCAATACCCGTTGAATGAGTAACAAAAAAACCTCGCGAAGTACCAACATCCCGGAGACAGCTGCATCACCACTTGCGAGCGCAGTCCGCGTGCAAGCTAACGCGGGCTGACCGTTGGCACTGACAACTACGGTGTGGCGAGCTTAGGCGCTGTCGGTTGTCACCATCGTAAGGCACGACGACTGATCGATGTCTGGGTCCAAGGACAGAGTATAGCGTGGTTCGTGGTGTCTTGGAACGATCGTCGCGCGTAGTCCCTTCAAAGATCTAGGTGGTACGTCTGTAGAGGAGTACCATGAGGCTGTCGTCCTAAATGCCATTTGAAAAGCTCAAAGACAGAGCCACGATCGAACTGAGCGGAAGCGGAAAAGGTCGCGCGGGCGAAGGGAAATATAGCAAGTCAGGAAGTGATATAACAGGCACGAATATCAGATAGCTTGACGGGGCCAGGATATACACGCAGATGTATGCATCTACCTGAGTCGAAGAAAGACGTGCATGTTTAGCGCCTGGCAAGCTGTCAAAGCATACACAGCCCATAGTATTCGGTAGAATAACCTTGGCTTTGGCTGATTATTGGTTCAGTGAAAGCTTCACCACAGAGAGAAGGCACAACTGGAGCCTGTGTGTTAGCGTCTATACGGTGTCAAATAGTTTGAGAGCCCTACACTGAGGCGGCAGTGATCGACACGAATTGCGAGCCGCTTATCGCTTTGTTCGCGACCGCGCCACTATGGCCACAGTAGAACATTTCAACATAGCACCGGAAAATAGACATTGAGAAGAGGCAATGACGATGCTCACTGACCAAAACCTCCGTGGCGTAGATGGCATTCTTCCCAAAATCCTTGTTCGCGTTACTAAACTTCTCCTTGGTCGTCGATGAAAGTGGCACACGGTTCAGAATGAATTGTTAAGTCCAACGACCCGCGTTCTTTGGGAGGATCTAATGAGAGGTCGCAAGTCACGTCGATGAACAGTTCTGCATAGCCCATGTGAGCGATCACAATCTGGTTTGTGCTCTTCTCATGGGGAACCTATATACTATCTTGGAAGACACAAGCATCTGGCTTAGAATTTCCGTGACCCATGGTTTCAGACCGTGCTGACGCATACTTGAACATGGAGCCTGGACGTCTACGCTGGTCGGATTGGCCATCCAGCGCAGCGACCTGCAGCATAAACACATCATATTTAGCAGAGACATGTCCTGTGCGCCGCAACAACCTACCAAGGAACAGACTTCTGCATCCTTCCCAGCCTGAACGGAAATTCTAGCAAAGGCTCCGGCTGAAGGAGCATACCATCAAACGACATCGTCAGAGCCACATCAAAGCCATACCGCTGCGAAGAGTTCTCGTACTTGGCGCTGTACACGTTTCCGCTCGTTCCCAGTTTCAAGAGCTCGAGGCAAGGCAAACGGGCGCATGGGTACGGCTGGCCATACGTCGTCAAGGGTTCGACATGAAACGTTACGCACGATCAGCACGCTTCCAGGAATGTGCTGACAACGTGTAGGGGATGTCCATGCGAGGTTTCATGTGAAAGATGATTACATCTGTCTTGGCAGATGCCGAGAAAATTACACATCCACATCTCTGCCACAAAAACTCCTGCGTTTTCACTCCCCGCCCTTTTGTGTCGCTTGATTCCTCTCTGCCGGTGGCTTCCTGTATCTTATTGTCCAGATTGTACAATCGCCACCTAAAAATAGATGAGTTGGTGAAAAAGTTTATTCCCCCCATGTTGTGGGTCATCTTCCCGCTAGATTGACTGTGGCGCCAGGGAGTGGCGGCGGAGACGAGCGCTCTAGCGAGTGCGACGCGCACAAGTGCAATTAGTGGCGGGAGAAACACATCCGCGTGAGAAGTTTGTGAGACGAGGATAACTAGGCCAGTACTTACGATCGAACAGGCGGCAGATATCTTGGGGCTGGAGAATGAATGTGCGCGCTGATGGCAGGAGATAATCCCTCCAGTCCGATGTGATGCCTAAGCGCCTTCCTGCACGAGTAGTACTAGTGTCCACTAGTTCTAATCAGAAACACCGGCACATCTGCAACGGTTTCGCGCTCGACTCACGATGTGGTGAGCGCCGGGAAAACTTTTACCACTCTCGGCAGGCCATTTGCACTAAGCAAACAGAGCATCGCGATGTACGTAGTCCTGGTCGACTGTGATATCCATATCGATGTACATGCATGAGCTGCCCAGAATATCGCATCGGCATATGAAGACTCAATTCAGAGGGAGACGATTGTCTTGAACTTTCAGAACGCGCCACAGTTTCTCTGTCACGTGGTTAGCTTGCTCGCCACGTGGGTTGCCACTCGCGCGTCGCGTAGTACTTGAGCCTTGTCTGTTGAGCTCCGCCATCATTCCTTCCGACCGCCAAGTCTGTGGCGAGATCACAACGCGGCAGACACGCATGCTGTTTCTGAGTATATAAGCTTGTGCTTGATACCTCGTAGCTCTCCAATTCCCCACTTCCCATTTCCTGCCAGCCCGCCATGAGCCACGCCACACAAGAGTCCTGGGTCACTTCTGCATCTCAAGCAGCAGATCCACCGTCTTCTGAGTCTGACCGTGACTATGATGAACCATCCTCTCTTCCTGCTTCTACTCAGCAATCCAGTCAGCAAGAATCCTCATCCGGCACCTCCCAAGCTTCTGCTGACGCCACAGGTCTGCCTCACACCCCCGAGAATCGGGAACGGTCTCCCAGTTCTGCCGTGAAGAACACCCCGATTGCACGTAACGAGAACTCCACAAACCAGCATAGCGTTGATAGCCAGGACGCAGAAGCGCGTTACGTGCGTTATGCTGGAGAAATACAGCCATATGTGCTCGGCCCCATGCCGTGCGAAGACTTTCTCAACATCGTGTGCCGCGGCTATCCCAAGATGTCGTTTGCAAACATGCCTTCACCAGTCGAGGCCTTCAAGGACGTTCCCCGGCGGGCTGAGAAGGAAGTGGAGATATACGACCCATTCGTAAGTCGTTGCGATTTATAGACCATATCGCTGCTAATCATGCTGCCGTAGATCGCAGCGGTGAATGGCGAGAACGGGGTCTCCAGATGCCCAGGGATCGAATTCAAAGACACCTCATCCCGAGCGGAAGAACAGGGTGCAGGATGGCTCAAGCCGGATGTCATGGGCTATCGGGAGGACTTGGAGATTCCCGAGAAGGAGACGAAGAGGAAGAGCAAGAGCACGGCAGCGGTGGCGCACATGGGCTATGCGGAGATCTTCGTCGAAGTGAAGCGCTCGCCAGATAACGACTTCTTTATGGATCCCCCGGAGAACACGCAGCATAAAGGACACCTTTTCATTCTCAACCCTTCATCACTATCAAGCAAAGACAAACTCAGGATTGCGACGAAAGCTCTTGGCCAGAATGTTGCATATGCGGCGGAGATTCTCGCCCGCCAACATCGTCGCTTCCTCATGTCCATATCGATGTCAGGCTCCCGTATTCGACTCTTTCTCTGGGATCGGAGTGGCGTGCTCGTAACAGAATCGTTCGACTTGCACGAGCGTCCGGAAATCCTCTGTAGGTTTTTGTGGTGGTTCTCCCACGCCAGCGAGTATGGGCGAGGGTATGATTTGACGGTGAGGATGAGCGCGGATGAGGAGGAGGAACGAAAGTTCAAGGATGCGATGACCAAACACGTCAAGGAGCAATTGTTGCTATGCACCTCACCGGAAGACGCCATGCGACTGGGGAAGGATCAAGCGCAAGTAGAAGATGACAAGAAGCGCCTGATAGAAGCCCTGCGTGATCACTATCAGCCGGGGACCGTCGTAGCGGCTGATGTGTTTCATGAGGTGCAAGACCATGAAGGCAAAGTAGCGACCGAGGTCAAGCGCGTCCTCGTTTCATGCCCTGTCGCATCACCTAAATCGATTGCAACCCGAGGCACGCGCGGATATTGGATGATGTTCGATGACGGCCGTGTCGGTTTTCTGAAGGACACTTGGCGCCATGGTACTAAGGGATTCGAGCAAGAGGGCAAAACGATACAGTATTTGAACGAGCACGGTGTACACAATGTGCCCAAGGTTCTGTATCATGGCGATGTCAAGCGGCACGGCAAAAATGGTAAGTACAGTCCCCGCCTTTCTAACAGCCGTCAGCCACTCATTCTAATTTCTCTCTTTTGCTACTACTAGGGGAGAAGTATCAGATGACAGTCGTGCACAAATTCACGGGGAAGGATTGGGTGTGCCGTGGCACTGCGAGCCAGGATAGTACGGACGACACCGAGCATTCCAACGCCAATACTCGAGAAATCAAAGTGAGAGGGCACGTTCACTACAGGCTTGTCCTAGACATTGCCGGGTACAATCTGCACCACTTCGCAGACTCACGTGAGCTCCTTGAGAGCACGCGCGACGTGCTGACCGGTACGTCACCCATCTCTCTTGAACAATGCTCTTCAGACTTTGACTCGTGCATCCGCCAGCGACGACCGATGCCTATAACGCTAATAAAATACATCGCGATCTGAGCGCAACCAACATCGTCCTCTATAGGCATCCTGGTGGGGGGAGAAGGATCGGGTACTTGATAGACTGGGAATTTGGTTGTAACGTTAATCGTCCGCTGGGAGCTCGCCCGTGGCACATTACCGTAAGAAGTCTCTTCTAAACTGCAAAATGATTGTCTCAATGGTCTCTGTAGGGCACCTGGCAGTTCATGTCAGCGAACGTGCTCGACGGTGATGACACCTATCGGCACGTTGTCGAGGACGATATGGAGTCTTTGCTCTACGTAGTGCTTTATTGCGCGGCACGGTGGACGAAGCACAACAAAGATGAGGACTCGCTGAAGGGATTTTTCTCCAAGTTCTTCGATGATTCGACAACGATGGACGGAACCTCTACGGGCGGCGATGCGAAGCTCAAAAACAAGATGAAACGAACTTACACCAGGCGTTTGGAGTTCGCTTGCAAGCCCCTGCAGGACTGGTTGACCGCGGCTTTAGATCTCAATAATCCGGCAGGACCGATCGTTCAATACCCTCCGGAATGGACCCTTGAAAAGTTTGCGAAGTTATGGGACGATGCACTAGCGAAGACTTTCGTCATGATGCCAGACAGGGTAGAGCGCGCGATTCCTGGTGTGGGGGCGCAGACACAATTCAAGGCCACCACTGCATCTTTGGGCCCAGGTGCTACCAGCGACCAGGAGCAAGACGATGTCCTGAGCGATTCCGATTCCGAGTCGACCGCTGAGGAAGAAAGGCGACCCGTCGCGGACACGGATTCCAAGAGTCGAGAGCAGCGCGTGGCGAAGTCTCGCGTTAGCAAAGGCAAACAGCGTGAAGGCCAACCTGACCCTCGAAGAGGGAAGGGACGCAGCCGCCAAGCAAGCACCTCGGTGGACCAGCCCGAGGCTAGCGGAAGTGCTGCACAAGACACGATGGACGTCGATGCCGAGAAGGACAACACGAAGGCTGTGCACGAGAAGGGCCAGCTGAGGAAACGTCGCGCATCGCCTTTGGTTGACAATAAACGGACGAAGAAGACGAGGAAGACAAGCCCGAGAGTCAAGGCCAGCGTAAGCGCGATGCGTTCGCGTGTACGTCAACAGCCTTCCTCCGCAACTGGTCCTAGTGGTCGAACCCCATCTCCTGAGCTGCAGGCATCTGGTTCTGGGACGCAGGCTGGCACGGTGGAGGATGTGCCGCTGCGTCGATCAACTCGCTCGCGTCGTCCGACTCAGTCGACGGCTGTTAATGCACCGGGGCCGGTCGCGCGTAGGCCCACCCGCAAGCCTTCTGGTAGTCGTGGCTAGCTGAACTGTGGTTTGGCGAGGTAGAATCTGTTGTCTTTGCAAGAATCCACGGAGAGATTGGAGTGAATCCCCATGTTCTTTTCATGGTTTCAGTCCTTCGGTGTACTTTGATCCTAGTTATCAAGCATTTTTGTAAAGGCTCTGGATGGATAGATCTTATGTGAATGCAAGAAATGACCTCGCATTTCAGTGACGTGAAAGTGATGTGTTCAATAGATCATGAATGCTCAGCCATATATAAGACATTTCTCAGTTGCATAATCATCGCGTTCAGTCATTCTGGAACGCGGTGCAGCAAAAGCACGGTCTCATCGTAGTTCAAGTATCAAGCAAAGTCTTCAGGTATAATGCTCTCTAGTCTCGTTACAATACAACCATGCCACGACCTTCGAAGTACAGAAGGCTGCATATGCGAGACGTCGTGGGTGAGAACGGTACGGCATCCATGACATTGTGATAGCAATCGCGTTCGTCAGACATGCACGCCATGAGAACGTGTAGCCTTCATCTCGACGTTCTGCGCCGTCTGCATCGCCGATCGCATAGCACGTACAAGAACTCCGCGCTTGGCACCTTCTATATGTCACTGTCCACGAAACGATACAACTCTCGCAATCACCTGCAGATTCACATTCAAAACCCTTCTCAACTCCGAACGTCGCCTCCTCAAGCGCGCTACTCCTCCCGATCCTCACAGCATGCTCTCCATCCGCACGACACGCTCCTCCCAATAGCTCGCCGCATATTTGTCGAGCTTCAATGATCTGGCACCCTTCACCTTCATGAACACCTTGAGCGCGACTCGCGAGCGGCGGGTTCATGAGCTCCGAGGGAGTAGGCATCGAAACGTACAGATGGACGACCTCCGAGCCGGTGACGAGCCCGGTGTTGCTGAGCGTGAGTGTGGCGGTGAGTGTGAGGTCGCCGTTCGCGATGGTCCGAGAGGGAAGAGAGAGGTTGGAGAAGGCGAATTTCGTGTAAGGGAGGCCATAGCAGAGATTGAACACCTTCCGTCTTTGAACCGCAGTCTCCCAAGCCAATTCGGTGAGACACGACCTATCGCAACCGCATAGCAGCCGCACCAGCGTCCAGCCTAGACACTAGTGGTATCCACAGCGTACATTAACCTATTCGGAGTTGACTGAATGTTCGCGTGATGGTCGGGTGCAGCGCAACCTGGTACGCTGATGGCATAACGCATAGACAGTGCAAGAACATATAATTGATGCGCGCCTATCACTCCATCGTTCGAGCGATGAATAATGTGGCCACCCGTCGGACGCGGCCTCTGAGAGCTAGCTGCATTTTCTCAAAAGTACGCTGTTCCTCTGCCTGCGAAGCTTGTGGTGAGCAGCTGAGCGCCGCATGGTTTTCACCCAGCAGCTGTCAGCGTTACGTGAACGCGAAACACAAACCTCGTAGGCGAATCCAGTTGGCGAGAAAAGTTGTCCAATGTGAGTCTGACCTCATCAGATCTACATGCCATCCAGCATCAATCCACGTACGTGTATGAGTCTGCGAGGACATTACTGGCCAATGCCGACTTTCTAGACCTGATGGCTTCCCATGGCATGGATAGAGCATGTGCACAGTCTGCGTGTTAAGACTCGCTAGCAGAGGACTATGTAGACGCGCCGTTTCTGGGCTGTTGGAGTGCCACAGTCTCCAGGATCAGATGGCAATGCTTTGCGGGGGACAAAAGTCGACAAGTCTCTCTGTCAAATGGTCACATCGAGTTAACTTTGAGCATGTAATGAGGGATCAATAGCTACTGAATGACGTACAAAAACAGCTCGCGAAGTGCCGACGTCTCGCAGACAGCTGCCAACGTCACTTGAGAGCACAGTCCCCGTGCAACGTAACACGCATCAACCGTCGATTCTGACGTATACGGCGTAGTGAGCTTGTGCACTATGATTTATACATCATAGTAAGCCTCAACGACCGGTCGATGTCTGGGATCCTGGAACGATCGCAAGGTACAGCCCACCAAGAAATCTAGGTGGTGGTTCCGCAGGAGTGTTCATGAGGTTGTCGTCCCGCGTGCGACATAATCAGCCAAAAGGTACAGTCAAGGTTTAGCTAAATGGGAGCGAAAAAAGGTCGCGCGAGCGAAGAGAAATGTAGCAAGTCAGAAAAATGATTAACAGAACGAGTATCGGATAAGCATCAGATATCTTGAAGGGGGCCAGGATATCGATGGGAATGTATGCATATGCATCCATCCACATCGAAGAGAGAAATGCAGCGTGCGGCACCTGGCAAGTTGTCAAAGCAAACATTCTTCATAGTATGTGGCGAGCGGGGTTTCACTTTACCATTCTCAGCAGGACATTTTCACGAAGCAACAGATCGTCTCGATGTAGTCTAGTCGGCTCTGATATCGATAAATATGCATGAGCTGTCCAGGATTTCGCATTGACATATGAAGATGGAACTCTAGGGGAGATGAGTATAATTGAATCAGAGCGCGCCACAATTTCTTTACAATTACATGTACAGCAGCGTCCGTCACGTGGTAGCTCGCGCGCCACGGCGTTCGGGGTTGCCACTCACGCGTCGCGTACTTGCCAAGTCTTGCAGCTTGCCTGTTGAGCTCCGCCTTCCGACCGAGCGAAATCATCACGCGGCCGACTCGCATTCTGTTCCTCTGGCAGCAAATGAGCCTGTGTTCAATATCTCGCCGTTCCCCAACTACCACCCTCCCGCCATGAGCCATACCACACAATCCTGGGTCAGTTCTGCAACACCCTTCTTCATCTTCTGTGTCCAACACTTATGATGATGAACCATCTTCTCTTCGTGCTCCTGCTCAGCAATCCACTCAACAACGAGCCTCACCCGGCCCTTCCCAAGCTTTTACTGATACCACAGATCTACCTCACACCCCTGAGAATCGGGAACGGTCTCCTAATGTTCTCTTGGAGAGCACTCCGAGTGAATGTAACGAGAACTCCACATACCAGCAAGACTTTTGTGATTGCGAGGACGTGGAAGCGCACTACCTACATTATGCTGAGGAAATACAGTCGTATGTGCTAGGCCCAATGCCCTGTGACGAATTCCTCGAAAACGTATGCCACGGCTACTGCAAGCTGTCGTTTGACGGCATGCCTTCACCTGTCGATGCCTTCAAGGATGTTCCCCAGCAGGCTGAGAAGCAATTGCAGATCTACGACCCATTCGTAAATCGTCGTGATTCGCAAACCATATCGCCGCTAATTATGCTGCCGTAGATCTCTGCGGTGAACGGCGGGAACGGTCAGCCCAGATGCCCAGGGATCAAATTCACTCACGCCCCATCCCGAGCAGAAGAGCAGGGTGTGGGATGGCTCCAGCCAGATGTCATGGGCTTTTCGGACGACATGAAGATTTCGGAGAAGAGCAAGAGCACGGCATCGGTGGAGCACATGGGCTACGCGGAGATCTTCGTCGAAGTGAAGCGCTCGCCAGACAACGACATCTTCATGGATCCCCCGGAGAACGTGAAACACGATGAACACCTTTTCATTCTCAACCCTTCATCACTATCAAGCAAAGAGGAGCTTAAAATTGCGACTGAAGCCCTCGGCCAGAATGTTGCATATGCGGCCGAAATCCTCGCTCGCCAACATCGTCGCTTCCTCATCTCTATGTCGATGTCAGGCTCCCGTATGCGGTTCCTTCTCTGGGATCGAAGTGGCGTGCTCGTAACAGAATCGTTCGACTTGCATGAGCATCCGGAAATTCTCTGTAAGTTCTTGTGGTGGTTCTCCCACTCCAGCTATAATGCACGAGGGTACGATTTGACGGTGAGGATGAGCGTGAATGAGAAGGAGGAAAAGATGTTCAAGGATGCGATGACCAAACACGTGAAGGAGCAGCTGTTGCTATGCACCTCGAAGGAAGACGCCATGAGACTGGGGAGAAACGAGATGCAAGTAGCGCAATACATGGCGCGAATAGAAGATGACAAGAAGTGCCTGATGGAAGCCCTGCGTGATCACTATCAGCCGGGGAGCGTCATAGCGGCCGACGTGTTTCATGAGGCGCAAGACGACGAAGGGAAAGTGAAGACCCAAGTTGAGCGCGTGCTGGTTTCATGCCCTGTCACATCACCTAAATCTGTTGCAAGCCGAGGCACGCGCGGATATTGGACGATGTTCGCGGATGGCTCTGTCGGGTTTTTGAAGGACACATGGCGCCATGCTGGTGAAGGATTCGAGCAAGAGGGCAAAACGATATGGTATTTGAATGAGCACAATGTACAGAATGTGCCCAATGTTGTGTGTCATGGCGACGTAAAGGAACGTCGCAAAGATGGTAATTACAATCACTGTCTTTTCAACAACTTTAAGCCATTCATTCTGATCTCTCTGTTCTGCCACTAGATAAGAAGCCTCAGACGACGGTCGTGCACAGGTATAACAATGCAGATTGGGTGTGCCGTGGGACTGCGCATAGGAATGATGAAGATGAGATCGTGGATAACAATGCCAGGCGTCGAAAAATCAAAGTGAGAGGTCGCATTCACTACAGGCTTGTCTTGGATATTGCCGGGTACAAGCTGCAGTACTTTTCAGACTCACATGAGCTTCTTCACGGCACACGCGACGTGCTGACCGGTACGCCGCCCATCCCTCTTGCAGAATCCTCTTCAGAGTTTAACATGAATCATATGCCAGCAATGATTGATGCCTATAGTGCTGATAAAATACATCGAGGTCAAAGCACGACCAACATCATCCTCTACAGGCGTCCAGGCGAGGAGAGAAGGATCGGATATTTGATAGACTGGAAGTTTGGCTGTGACGTTAGTCATCCGCCGGGAGATCGCCTGTGGCGCATTAACGTAAGAAGTCTCCTCTGAATTGCAAAGCAATTCTCTCAATGGTCTTTGTAGGGCACCTGGCAGTTCATGTCAGCGAACGTGCTCGACGGTGATGACACCTATCGTCACGTTGTCGAGGACGATATGGAGGCCTTGCTCTACATAGTGCTTGATTGTGCTGCACGGTGGTCGGAACAAGACGAAGGCATCAATTGGCTTAGGACATCGTTCTGGTTTCTCGGTGAAAATGTAACGATGGACGGAGTCTCCATGGGCGGTTCGGGGAAGCTGATGAACAAACTCAATCGGAAGTACACCAAAGATCTCAAATTCACATGCCAGCCCCTGCAGGACTGGTTGAATGCGGCTTTGGACCTCAATAATCCGGTAGGACCAGCGGAGCTAGGCAGCTATCCTCCACAGTGGACCCTTGAAAGATTGGCGAAGTTGTGGGACGATGCGTTGGCGAAGCCCTTCGACAATATGCCAGACAGGATAGAGCATGAGATTCCTGGTGTCGAGGCGCAGACACAGTACAGGGTCTCCAACGTATCTGTCGATTCATGTGTAATCAAAGACCAGGAGGACCCCAGGAGTCGAGAGCAGGGCGTAGCTACGCCTGTCGCCAACGGAGGCAAACAGCGTGAAGGCGAACCTGATTCAGGAAGAGGGGAGGAACGCAATCGCCAAGGAAGCGCCTCGGTGGATCAGCCCGAGGCTAGCGGAAGTGCTGCACAAGACACGATGGACTTCGACGCCGAGAAGGACACTACGAACGCTGTCCGCGAAAAGAGCGATCTGAGGAAACGTCGGGCGTCTTCCTTGGTCGACAACGAACGGACGAAGAAGACGAGGAACATAAGCCCCAGAGTCAAGGCCAGCACAAGCGAGAAACTCTCGCGTACGCATCAGCAGTCCTCCGAAGTTGGTCCTAGTGGTCAAATGCTACCTCCTCAGCTGCAGGCATCTGGTTCCGGGATGCAGGTTGGCCCAACTGAGGATGTGCCGCTGCGTCGATCATCTCGCTCACGTCGTCCGCCTCAACGGTTGACGACCGTTAACGTGCCAGCGCTCGCCGCACGTCGGATCAGCTCAAAACGGCTCTTCAATAAACAATGACAATTTGAAGCTTAAGCCACTGCGGAGCATGTAAAGAAGAAAGGGTATGCACATTATGCGAGTCTATGGCGGAGGGCAGGCTGTTTCAGTTGAGCGGAGCGAGCAAAGCGTGCACCAAGCATCATGGCATCTCTTACTCCTCGAGGGTCGCTGTTTTACTACTCATTGCTCACATCTCAACTGCCGACAAATAGTGTACCTCTTGATGATGTGCCAAAGGACCCATTGAGATGGCATAAGGCTGAGTGTAAGAGGCATGCCGCAAAAGATCCAGGCGAGATCAAGATAGAGCTTTGAGTGGGTGATCGCGCATCTGAGGAAGTTCTTGCAGTATACACGAGTTCTTTCTATTGCCAGCTTTGTGTACCTACGTAACGAATTGTGATGCATTCAGAAGTGAACCAAAGTTACACTCTCGATGTTTACAAATGAACTAAAGGGATCAATGATCCATGGTGACGGAAAGCATTTTCAATACACTCATGGGTCACCGCCTACAATGGCTTGGGATTCGTACATTGAATCATCTCACGTAATCGGGCCGACCGACGAAAATTCGTGGCATATTGCTGCTATGTCTCCATTTTAGAGTCAGAAGGTTCCGGTCGAGGTCGAGACGAGTGGGATGCGGATGGGTCGCTGTGGCCACCTTCAGCAGAAGACCGCTGATGTGTACTCATGTGTTGTCCGCCTGCGCCGGCCTTGGTGCTCCAGTTACCCCGCTTCGTCTTCTTCATTGGCCGTTTGTCGTCTGTCGTGTTGGAGGCCAGACGTTTCCCGAGGAGCGTCTTCTCATGGACAGCCTCACTGGTAGGTTTTTCGCGATTGATGTCCATTTCGTCTGCCGTCCGTCGTGTACCGCTCCCGCGTACCTCACGCTGACCCGTCGCACCAACTATCCTGCAGCTCCGTAATGGTCTATCACGGCAATAAGCCGATCTGCGTCTGATAGGGGTGATCGTGGCCACGAACAGGACAACACCCCATGGAACATCGGATTTGTGGCGCTTCACTCTATCTGGTTTGTTGGGGAATGACATCCTCAATACTTGATCCCAGAGATCTGCCAGGCTCTTGAAGTTCCAGGTGCGCGGGTACCTCTTCGACACGGATGATACCGAAAATGGCGGACTGTTCAGGTCCATAACCTCGTCCAGCCACACTTGCAAAGGCTTTGATCTGAACACGAATCCTTTCGTGTGTCTGCGATTCCACTTATTCATCATCTTCGCTGAGCCGCCCAGCACGTGTTCTCCATAGGGTGCCCTGTACTTATCAAAAACATTGGCAAAGAACATCTCCAACTGTCTCTCGGTTCCGTTGTTAGCCAACCACAGTACAGCGCAAAAGAGCACTGTGTAAAGCAAAGATTCTAAGTCGTCCTCTACAACGCGCTGGTAATCGTTGATTGATAGAACATTCATCGACGCGAATTGCCAACAGCCCTGCACGCTCAAGTTAGAAAACGGACCCATAACCTCATATGTATCTCTCACAATGACGCGCCGCCCGCGACGTTCTGAAGAGGGATTGATGTCGCAGCCGAGCTCCCAGTTTGTCAGATATCCACGCCTTCGCTCCTCCCCCGGTTTTCTGTACAAGATGATGCTGTTCAAGCTAACACTGCGGTGGATCTTCTTGGCTAGATTGTAGGCATCGGCAATTGCTGACATCAGATTCATGTCAAATTCTCGTCAATGTGCTGTGAGAGATATGCATGACGTACCGTCGAGTACGTCACGGGTACTTTCAAGAAGTTCCTTTGAGTCTGTGAAATGTCGCAGATTGTACCCGGCGACACTTGAAACGAGTCTGCAGTGGACGTGGCGCGAGACTGAGATTTTCCGCCGTTTTCCCTTCTCTGTGTTCCCAATACATAACCACGCTTCTCGCAGAAAGATTCCCGCAAGTGTTCTCTGAGAACGCATGTCTAATAACAGAACAGGTAAATTCACAGAACGACAGGTCATTCTGGGGAATTGTGAAAAAAAGGCATCGGCACTCACCTTCGTGGCACAGCCTGACTTCGCCTCGATGCAGAACCTCGGGAGCATTTCGCACGGCGCACTCTGTCAAGTCTTTCATGATGGTGCTCTCATGTTCTATGCCTGAATCGTGATATGGCCAACTGTCCTTCAGCAGCCTCACAGTACCGTCCAGGCCCACTGCCCAGTATTCACGCGTGTCTCTGCATAAAGATGATATGGGAGACGCAGTGGGACGGGAAACGAGATAACGATAAGGTTCGACCTTGACGTTGCCTTGACGGTCGGTTGTCTCGTCGAAAACGTGGACCGCTATGACTTTCCCCGACGTGTAGTGTTCGCATAGAGCTTCCACCAATCGTTTCGTGTCTTTTGGTATTCGTTTTCTTAATTCCACTTGCTCTTCGTCCTTCGCTAGTCGAATAACATCTTCATTCGAGGTGCAGAGTAGCAGCTGTTCCTTGATGTGCCGAGTGATCGCCTGCTCAAACTTCTTCTCCTCAGCTGGCTCGGCCCACTCCACTGTCACATCGAAGCCTCGAGCATAGTCGCTAGCATGGGAAAACCACCACAGAAACTTGCAGATGATGTCCGGATGCTCACGCATGCTCATCGCTTCTGTCACCACCACTCCGCTACGGTCCCAGTAGAATAGTCTAACATAGCAGCCGGAAACGGACATCGAGAAGAGGCAATGACGATGCTGGCGGGCCAGAATCTCCGTGGCATAGGCAACAATCTTCCCAAGAGCCTCCTTCGCATGACGGAACTCCTCCATGCTCACCAATGACTCGCGGTTCAGGATAAACTGGTGACTTGCGCGATCCGCGTTCTCCGGGGGATCTGAGAAGAAGTCCTCCAAGAGATTGCGCTTCACTTCGATAAACAGTTCTGCATAGGCCAAATGAGCGACCGCGCTCTTGCTTTTGCTCTTCTGATGAGCATCCTTCACGCCATCTCGGAAGATACAAACATCTGGCTTGAACGTTCCGAGACCCGGCGATTCAGACCGTGCTGATGTATTCTTGAACGTGAAGCCTGAACATCGACGATGCTTTCCTCGGCCATTCAGCGCAGCAACCTGCAACATTATTGAATCATAATTGGCAGCGAACTGATCTGTGAATCGCAATGACTTACCAAACGAGTGCAGATTTTTGACTCCTCAGCATGCACGGGAATGCTCGCAAAGACTCCAGCTGAAGGAGGCATGCCATCAAAAGACATATTGCCAAAGCCATGACAGAACCGCTTGCAGAAGTCCAAAGGCGGCATTGGACCGAGAATGTACGAATAAGCTTCCTCGGCGAGACGGATGTAATGTTTTTTCTCCTCTAGGATATCAAAGCTATGCTCCAGAAAAGAACTCTCGCATGTGGCGATTGGAACGTGCTGCACGGGCGTTGGTTCGTTTCCAGTTTTATGAGCTCGAGGTATCGTTGACTGTACATCATCACTGAGCGTGCGGTCTCCATAACGTTTCTGGGATAAAATGTTCTTCATGATTGGCGTGCTGCAGTAACAGGAGGATGCTGAGGAAGTTTAAAAAAGACGGGGCGTCCAAAGCGAGCCTTTTATTCTGAAAGGCCAGTGCGTCTGTGCCACCCCGTCTGGCTTGGCAGTGGCACCACGGCCACTTCATGAACGCGCCGATCAATACATGTGTTTCACATGTTATGAAAGCCACCGCGTGAGTTGCTACTCGCGCGTATTGAAACTGCCATAAACGAACGCCAGACAGACAACGACTGCGGATAGCAAGAAACAAATACTTCAAGGCGAATGAAAGCATATAAGGTGCGTGTTTGAATTTGAGGGGCCGAGGAGCACACGGCCACGCATATTTCAGCGTAGAGCATGAGGATAAGTGCGAGCGGCGCAGAGTGGTTGTATGGCGCGAGCGGGTCCGGAAGAGCACACACAGAGAATGGAAGACTTTGGGATTGGGATTGGGGTGACTAGGACGCGTCGTAGTAAGGTATAATAAGCACCAATTAAGTTTCTGTCCCTCATTCAACAACAAGCAGGCGGATGCGCTCGCAGCTAGGACATCCACGAAGTTCGGGGCCAGCGCGAGACATAAGCGCTGGACCGAACGCTCGCTTACTAAGCAGGTGGACGGGAAAGAGACGCGCTCACCTGACATACGCGCCTCTTCCTGCCTCTTCTCCTCGCCACTGCCTCAGCGCGTATACGCGCTTGCTTTGAGATTTCCATCGCTTTTTATCCATTTTCTCTGCCATATAGTCACTCTCCTAGTGATATGTAGTATGAACGTAGGTCGACGTTCTCCTGCTGCCGGAGACAAGTCCGCGGGGCATTTACAGACGGCAGGTTACGTAAGTACCCAAGGCAGGACCGGGACTGGCCGTGGTGGCGGCTTTGCATCTCTTCCTTGGTAAGGAGCTCCAGCGGATATGCTATCGGCCGAGAACAATAGGCGCACAGCGCGCAACGCTCAAACTGAGCGAGCCGGCACGCGAATTAGCGCGTGGCCAGACGAATCTTTTCTCCCACTGGAAACGGTTTTCGAGGCGTAGCAAAATATACTGAAGATATACACAAGAATCGGCCATGACACGGTGACAAGCCGCTTCCAGCTCCACTTCAACTCCATTCTGGCGTTGCCGGACTTCTCCGAGAACTACAAGGCCATCCTACGCTTCGATTGTGAGGTGCGCCACACGTACGTGAGTAAAGCAGCGAGATTTTCCCCACAGGTTCAGCATATCAGAACCGCCCTAATACGAGCAAGTTGCGCGTTATATCCGAGGACGCCAAAGCAGGAAGACAGCCTCAAAGCCATACTTCTCGCATGCCTGCTTCAGATGTTCTTCTCGCTGCTTTCAGAACGCACTGGCACGGACGTACCACACGTACTACGATAGACAATTGGCTTGCTGTTAGCTACACCGTTAATGGCGCGCATTGGTACCAACCGTCTGCAAAAGCTATCTCAAAGGCAGTTCCAACCGCATCGACTCGCCCTAGACGGCCACCTGTTTCTCTCGTACATCTCCATGCTTTATTTTCTAACCTCAATTTGACAGATGCTTTTGACGCTGCTACTTGTGCCTGCATCACTTTCTGATCCGTTTGTCGGTGCGTAAAATCGTTGCGCTCAGTCGTGGTGCAGGCACTTCTTCGTCTCGACGTTCCTTACCTTCTGCATCGCCGATCGCACCGTATCATACAAGAACTCCGCGTCTGGCACCTACTATACATCACTAGCACTGTCCACGGAACAGCACAACTCACGCGCACCTACAACCCATTCCATTCAAAGCCCTTCTCAACCCTGAACCTCGCCACCAACCCCAACTCCTCCATCGCACTACTCCTCCCAACCCTCACACCATACTCCCCCCTCTCCACAACCCACCTCCCAATCCTCTCCTCCCAATAACTCACCGCATACTTATCAAGCTTCAACACCACCTCCCGACTCTCCCCCGGCTTGACATCCTTCACCTTCACGAACGCCTTGAGCGCAAGCGGCGGGTGCGTGAGCTCCGAGGTGGTAGGCATCGACACGTACAGCTGGACGACCTCCGAGCCGGTGACGGGCCCGGTGTTGGTGAGCGTCAGTGTGGCGGTGAGGGTGAGGTCGCCGTTTGCGATGGTCGGAGAGGAGAGAGAGAGGTTGGAGAAGGCGAACGTCGTGTAGGAGAGGCCGTAGCTGAGAACGAAACGAAAAGTAAATCAGTGACTGGCCAGGCGGAGTATAGGATCGACGAACCCAAAGGGCCATTGCGGCGCGATCCCGCGATGATGAAAATGCTTATATCCCTGCACCCACACACATCAGCATCTCATCTCGCCTTCCTTCCACACGCCCCACTCACCACAAACAAATCCTCCCCATACCGCACCCTCCCATTCTCCGACCGAAAATGCCCAAAACTCGCATAATCCTCCAACCTCCTCCCAAACGTCAAGCTCATCCGCCCACACGGATTCACCCTCCCAATCAAAACATCCCCTATCGCCTCGCCCGTCGCGTTCCCCAAATACCACGCATGCACAATCCCCAGCACGCCCGGCTCCTCCGCCCACGGCATCGCGATCGCCGAGCCCGCCTGCGTAACGACCACCGTGCGCTTGCGCTTGTTCGCCCTCGCCACGCGCCACACGAGCTCGTCTGTCCGCCCGGGGAGCGCAAGCGTCGTCCGATCGTACCCCTCCGTCTCCCAGTCCGCGTTCAGTCCTACGACGACGACCACCGCATCCGCCTCAGCCGCCACCCGCTCCGCGCGCGCCATCAATGCATCCGCGTCCTCCACTACCGCCCCGCCGAGCCGCACACCCGGATTAGAGTCCATCACCGCCTCGTCCGGGTCGTCCGCCGCCGGCGCGCGCACGTTGCAGTACTCGACGACGATCTCATGCTTGACGCCTGCCTTGAGCGGGACCACGCCCTTGTCCTCCGTCGATCCCGAGCCGAAGAACGCATCGCCCCGCATCTGGCGCGTCCAGTTGTCGATCACGAGCTTGCCGTCGACGTACAGCTGCGGAGTTGAGCATTAATAGAGAGGTTGCAGGGAGAGACGCACACGCACCTTCGCGCGCCCGGCGGACGAGAGCCCAAACTCAAAGTCGCAGTCGGTCTCGCGCGGCTTGAGGAAGCCCGTCACCTTGAGCGTCCAGCGCTTCGTCAGCTCCGCGGGATAGCTCGTGCTACAGCCTCTCAGCGCTCGCATCCCATGCACAGACCAAGCCCGACCGCGCACCTGAAGAACATCCTCGTCTCGTCGATGTACTGCGTCTTCACCGACATCTTCACGGGCACCATGCTCTCGTCGCTCTCGTGCGCGTACCACGCGCCCATCCACCCGCGCCGGCCGTCCTCGGTGAACATGTCCCAGTCGAGGCTCGGCGTGAGCATGTACGCTGTACGACCGTCAGCCGCGTCTCGTCAGGAAGGAGGAAGACAGCGCGTTACCCCTTGCGCCCTCGCAGTACGTGACCTCGACGTCGGGCGCGACCTCGCCGAGCGCGGCGACGATCCCATCGTATGGACTCACGAAGAAGCTCGGCTTGAGCGCAGCGGACCCGCCGCCGCTCAGCACCGCCGCCTTCGCGTTCCCGCCGACGATCGCGAGCTTCTTGATGCCTTGCGCCTGGCATGCCGGTCAGGGCCGACGTTAGCGAGTGGGGGGTGAATACGGACTCACCTTGGGCTTCAGCGGGAGGACGCCACCCTCGTTCTTGAGCAGCACGATCGACGCCGCGGCAAGTTCGCGCATGAGCGCGCGCTCCTCGGGCGTGTCTTCCGTGCGCTCGAGGCCGTCGCCATCGAGGATCTGGCGCGGGGTGATATTCGAGCCGTCAGACTGAGAGGGAAGAGAGCGGCGGGACGTACCTCGGGCGCGGCCTTTGCACACCGCTGTGCAAGCTCGAGGACCTTGCGCGCGCGCTCTTTCACCGTGCGCTTCATGATCTTCCTGCTCTGGATGCTGTACGCTGCATGTCAGCAAAACACGAGCCGCTCAGAGTGCGACTCACGAGCGGTTCATGAGATCGAGCGTGCGCCACTTGTTCGTGCCCGGCATCTCGAGGTCCAGTCCGGCGTTGATCGCGTGGTCGACCGAGTACGCGCCGAACCTGCGCGCAAAGGTCAGGACGGGTCGAGGAAGAACGGCAGGGACGAACCAGTCACTCATGACGAGCGCGTTGCTGCCCCACTCGTTGCGCAGGATGTCTTGGAGGATCTTTGGATTCTCGGAGACGTGCGTGCCGTTGACGCGGTTGTACCTGGTCGGGGAACGGCAGGTTAGCGTGAATTCACACCACTAAGTGGTTGACATGCGCGCGAAGAGATCAAGCGAGAGCCTGACCGCCAGGCGTGCATTTCGGACTGTCATGGGTGACGGAGTATTGTTGAATAGTCGGTTCATGTCGCTGCTCGCAAGCCCAAGAAAACACTTGCGCCCGATGGACAAATGGACGCCACAAAAGCGCTCCTGTTCACAGCAGATGCTGGCGTCATCGTCGTTATGCAGATCGCCCTATCGGCACCAAACACGCTCGTCTTTGCGAACTCGCGCGAACAGATCTGCGCCGCACCACCATCGCAACCACCAACACGAATACAAGACGAAGGAGACACTCACGCGGTCATAAAGCACCACGGATGGGCGTACTTCTCGGCGAGCATGAACGGCATGAGATATATCTCGCGAAGGGCACGTTCGCTGAGGATGGCGTCGTAGGCCATGCGGTCGTTCTCCTTGTCGTTCGCAACAAAGTGCTTGATGCAGCTCGCGATGCCGCCCTCCTGCACGCCGTTGATGTACGCGGCGGCGCACATGCCGCTCAGGTGGGGGTCCTCGGAGAAGGACTCGAAGGAGCGGCCGCCGAGGGGACTGCGCTGGGTGTTGACCGTTGGACCGAGCCAGACGGATGCGGCCTTGAGGTGGGCCTCGCGCGCGATCAGCTTGCGGCCTGCGGCGTACAGCAGCTCGGGGTCGAACGTGGAGGCGAGGGCGGTGGCAGAGGGGAGGCATTTGGCGGGAGTGCCCATGAAGAAGTGGTTGCCGCGGATCCCGTTAGGCCCGTCCGAGGTCTTGAGCGCGGGGATGGCGAGACGAGGGACGGCGTGGGTGTGCCAGAAGCCGACGCCGGCGGTGAGAAGGATGGCCTCGTCGGTGGTGAGCTGGTCGACGAGCGCGTCGATGTCGGCGCGTGCAATATCGGACGGTGGCATTGTATATCGCGTGTGGTGAGGCGGGGGCGCGAGGAGAAGCGCAGAGGGGCGGCATGGTCGTTGTCTTATGCGCGACGGCGAGAGCAGCTGCACTGCGCGTTCGCCGAGGAAAGTCCGTGTGCGGGGAAAGTTCGGATGGCGTCGCCTCGCCCGACATGCGATCCTCGAGTGCAACTCCGCCTGTTCCTATGTGCCGCTGCTGCATTATGCCCTGCGATACTTATCCACCTGCTTGCGAGCAATGATTAATCGCTAACAGAGCGTCGGTTCGTCTCGTACAAAGAGCGTTTTGAAATAGACCGCTCACGAAGGTGGCGGTAACCGATCTATGTTGTCTGTATCGGAGGACAGCTCACACGATACAGACGTTCCAGGCCCACAACTAATTTGGCGCCGTCTGGAAGGAAAGTGGGATTCTCGCTTCTGCCTCTGGCGACGTTCTCGCCTGATAAGGTGCTCGTACCTGATCTTGCACCGCAGACCATGGTTCTCGATGCAGCACTCCTCAAGTTGACAAACTCCATACGTGCAGGCTGAGCGCGTTCTTCAGTGCTTCGTCGCCGCTGCACACTGCAATCAACGGGTTTACGACAAGTGTATGGTGGACGACACGCAAATCACTCCAACGTCCCAAGGTCTGTTATCGGTCACGAGTCCAAGACATAGTCAAGGTGCATCGGTGAAAATCTGCGCTGGTGACGACTGACGCCTGTGTCTATTAAGAGAACAGGGTTGTGTATGACAGAGAAAGCGGCTCCGAACTTACCATCTACGCCCCGAATATGAACATCTCGCCTGACACAGAAGTTTGAGAAACCTCCTACGTACGTGAGACCGTCCCAGGTAGCATGGTATTTTCCGGATCGTGCATGCGCGGTATTTGGGGAAACTCGACGGGCGAGGCGATCGCGGACGTCTTGGTTGGGCAGGTGAATCCCCTGCGGGCGCATGAGCTTGACGTTCGGGAAGCGGCTGGAGGATTATGCGAGCTATGGGCATTTTCACCGTCTCGGGATTGCACTACAATGGCCCTTTGGGTACGTCAATCCTGTGCTCTACGTGGCCAGTCAGTGAGTCACTTTCGTTCTCAGCTACGGCCTGTCTGAAGCGAGGTTCGCCTTCTCCAACCTGTCTCTCTCCTCTCTGATCATCACGAACGGCGATCTCACGCTCACCGCCACACTCAAGCTCACCAAACATCGGGTCCACGACCGGCTCGGAGGTCGTCCAGCTGTACGTTTTCGATGCCTACTACCTCGGAGCTCACGAACCCCCCTCGCGCTCAAGGCGTTCGCGAAGGTGAAGGATGTCAAGCCGGGAGAGATATGGAAAGTGGCGATGAAACTCGACAAGTACGCGGTGGGCTATTGGGAGGAGCGGATAAAAGGGTGGGCCGTAGAGAGGGCAGAGTATGGTGTGAGGATTGGGAGAAGTAGCGCGCGTTAGGAACTGGGATTGACGGCGATGTTCAAGGTTGAGAAGGGCTCTGAATGGAATGGGCTTTAGTTGATTGCGCAAGGTGCCAAGCGGCGCGCAGTTCTTGTATGATACATGCGATCCGCAATGCAAAAGGTTCGCAATGTCGAGACGAAGGGGAACATGTTCTCATGGCGTGCGTATCTGATTAATGCGATTTTTATCATTAGTGTCATGGATGCCCTACTGGCCTCACCTCAATGTCTCGCATATGCGGCCTTCTGTACCTCGAAGGTCAAATGATAAAGTTGAAGAGCACTATGCCTGAACCCTTCACTAGATGACTTGAATTTCTGTACGTTGAGACCGTGCCTTTGCTTCACCACGCTTACAAATGAGAAATGTTTCAGCTTAGCATCCATGATCTATTACATATATGACTGTGATCCCACTGAAATGCGAGGTCATTTCTTGCGTTCACATAAGATCTATCCATCTAGAGCTTTGACAGATACGAAACGAAAATCCTTGATACCTAGAATCAAAGTACACTGAACGACTTAAACCATGAAGAGGACATCGCGATTCACTCCGATCTCTCCGTGGATTCTTGCAAGGACAACAGGTTACACCTCACGAAGCCCAATCCAGCTACCCACGACTGCCGGAAGGCTTGCGAGTGGACCGACGCGTGGTCAGTGCTGGCACGTTAACAGTTGTCGACTGAGGCGGACGACGTGAGCGAGTTGATCGACGCAGTGGCACATCGTCCGTCAGGCCAATCTGCGTCCCCGAACCAGATGCCTGTGGCTCAGAAGGTAGCATTTGACCACTGAAACCAGCTTCGGAAGAAGACTGCTGATGCGTACGCGAGAGTTTCTCGCCTGTGCTGGCCTTGACTCTGGAGCTTATCTTCCTCGTCTTCGCCCGCTTATTGTCGACCAAAGAAGATGCGCGACGTTTCCTCAGCTGGCCCTTCTCACGCACAGCCTTCGTAGTGTCCTTCTCGCCATCGAGGTCAATGGCGTCTTGTGCGGCACTTCCGCTAGTCTCGGGCTGGTCCATCGAGGTGCTTACTTGGCGATTGCGTCCCTCCCCTCTTCCAGAATCAGGCTCGCCTTTATGCTCTTTGCCTCCGTTGATGACAGACTTCGCCACGCCCTGCTCTCGACTCCTGGAATCCTCCTGGTCTTTGGGATCACATGAGCCGACAGACACGTTGGAGACCCTGTACTGTGTCTGCGCCTCGACACCGGGAACCTCACACTCTACCCTGTCTGGCATATTGTCGAAGGGCTTCGCTAACGCATCGTCCCACAACTTCGCGAATCTTTCTAGGGTCCATTGCGGAAGGTACGTGCCGAAGTTCACTGATCCTACCGGATTATTGAGGTCCAAAGCGGCGGTCAACCAGTCCTGCAGGGGCTCGCATGTGAACTTGAGAGATTTGGTGCACATCCGATTGGCCTTGTTCACCAGCTTCGCTGAACCGCCGAAGCAGATTCCGTCCATCGTTACATTTTTATCCAGAAACCAGGACGATGTCTCTAGCCAGTTGACGCCTTCGTTGTGTTCCGACCACCGTGCAGCACAATCAAGCACTATGTAGAGCAACGACTCCATATCGTCCTCGACAACGTGACGGTAGCTTTCATCTCTGGTCAGCACGTTCATTGACATGAACTGCCAGGTGCCCTGCAAAGACCATTGAGAGAAGTGCTTTGCAGTTCAGAGGAGACTTCTTACGGTAATGCGCCACAGGCGATCTTCCGGCGGACGACTAACATCACAGCCAAACTTCCAGTCTATCAAGTACCCGGTCCTTCTCTCCTCACCAGGACGCCTGTAGAGGATGATGTTGGTCGTGCTTTGACCTCCATGTATTTTATCAGCACTATATGCATCAGTCATCGCTGGAATATGACTCATGTTAAACTCTGGAGAGGATTCTGCAAGAGGTGTGGGTGACGCACCGGTCAGCACATCGCGTGTGCTTTGAAGAAGCTCATGTGAGTCTGCAAAGTACTTCAGCTTGTACCCGGCAATATCCAAGACAAGTCTGTAGTGAATGCGACGTATCACTTTGATTTTTCGACGCCAGGCATTGTTATTCACGATCTCATCTTCATCATGCCTATGCGCAGTCCCGCGGCACACCCAATCTGCATTGTTGTACCTGTGCACGACCGTCGTCTGGAATTCCTTATCTAGTAGCAGAACAGAGAGATCAGAATGAATGGATAAAGACTGTTAAATGGGCAGGGATTGTAATCACCATCTTTGCGGCGCCGCTTTACATCACCATGATACAAAGCTTTGGGCACATTCTGTACATCGTGCTCATTCAGATACCGTATCGTTTTGCCCTCTTGCTCAAACCCTTCACCCCCATGGCGCCAAGTGTCCTTTAGAAAACCGACAGAGCCATCCGCGAACATCGTCCAATATCCGCGCGTGCCTCGGCTTGCAACCGACTTAGGAGATGTGACAGGGCACGAAATCAGAACGCGCTCGACCTGAGTCTCTAATCTCCCTTCGTCGTCTTGCGCCTCATGAAACACGTCGGCCGCTACGACGCTCCCCGGCTGATAGTGATCACGCAGGGCTTCTATCATGCGTTTCGTGTCATCTTCTATTCGCGCCATGTATTGCGCTACTTGCATCTCGTTTCTCCCCAATCGCATGGCGTCTTCCTTCGAGGTGCATAGCAACAGCTGATCCTTCACGTGTTTGGTCATCGCATCCTTGAACATCTTTTCCTCCTTCTCATTCACACTCATCCTCAGCGTCAAGTCATACCCTCGTGCATGATAGCTGGTGTGAGAGAACCACCACAAGAACTTACAGAGGATTTCCGGACGCTCGTGCAAGTCAAACGATTCTGTTACGAGCACGCCACTTCGATCCCAGAAAAAGAACCGCATATGGGAGCCTGACATCGACATAGAGATGAGGAAGCGACGATGTTGGCGGGCGAGAATCTCGGCCGCATATGCAACATTCTGGCCGAGAGCTTTCGTCGCAATCTGGAGGTTTTCTTTGCTTGATAGTGACGAAGGATTGAGAATGAAAACATGTTCGTCGTGCTTCGTGTTCTCCGGGGGATCCATAAGGAAGTCGTTATCTGGCGAGCGCTTCACTTCGATGAAGATCTCTGCATAGCCCATGTACTCCGCCGATGTCGCTCTCTTGTTGGGGATGTTCGCGTTGTCCAAAAAGCCCATGACGTCTGGCTTGAGCCATCCCGCACCCTGTTCTTCTGCTCGGGATGAGGTGTCTATAATCTTCATTCCTGGGCATCTGGACTGGTTGTTCACGCCATTCAACGCAGAGATCTACAATAGCGCGATTAGCGGCGATATGGTTGTGGATTCTAACGATTTACGAATGGGTCGCATATCTGCAATTCTTTCTCGGCCTGCTGGGGAACGTCCTTGAAGGCATCGACAGATGAAGGCATTCCATCAAACGACATCTTGCGGTAGCCGTGGCATACGTTTTTGAGGAATTCGTCGCAGGGCATTGGGCCTAGCACATACGACTGTATTTCCTCAGCATAATGTATGTAGTGCGCTTCCACGTCCTCGCAATCACAAAACTTCTGCTCGTATGTGGAATTCTCGTTACATTCAGTCGGGGTGCTCTTCGTGGAACCGTTGGGAGACCGTTCCCGACTCTTGGGGATGTTAGGCAGAGCTATGGCGTCATCAGAAGCTTGGAAAGGGACAGGTGAAGCCCCACGTTGGGTGGATTGCTGAGGAAAAATATGAAGAGAAGATGAAGATGGTTCATCATTTTCTCGGACAGACATAGAAGAAGGTGAACCGTCCGCCTGAGAGGAGAGCGTTGCAGAACCGACGCAGGAATGGATAGAGTGGCTCATGATGGGCTGGCAGGAGAATGGCGAGGCTGGGGAGGCTGGGGAGCAACGATATATATATACGCATGCATGTCGACCGCGTGATGAGCTCGCCAGACTTGGCGGTCGGGAGGATGGTAGCGGCGGAGTGGCAATGGCCATGCGGTGGCTAAATATATATCATAGAATTGTCGATCGGCGTGCCCACTGCCAAGACAGACGGGTGGCACAGACGGTGTGGCCTTGAGTCACTCACGCAGTTGTAAGAAAAGTAGAATTCGTGTAGAGACCGGATACATACAAGACCTGTTCGCGACGAAGACCGAACGGGAACAGAGAGACCGAGACCGGAGACCAAGACTACAACCTGACAGTAAGAATACTTGCTGAATGTCCTTGCCTTGTCGAGTCAGTACATGGCAGATCGTCAATATGGTTTGGATATTGGTAACATTGAAGTGCCACCGGGCCGGCCTTGTACCATGACAGAAGACTTGGGGAGGGAGTTGAACCCCGTTCTAATTGTACCTTCAAAGGACAAAGGAAGGATCACACGGGATTACAAAGTCCGAAAAGCAGGTTCGTTGTTATTTTCCATCTCCGATCAAAAAGCCGACTTCTCGACAAGACCCATGCGTCAAAAAGTAGACTACTGAATTCACAAGAGCGCTCATCTTCTCATACCAAATCCAGCCCTGAAAGACGGCCTGTAAGCACGGGAAATGTTGTGCTGAAATATTTCACTGACTCGTATTGTAGGTGGCGAGTGTCAGATCTGGACCAGTAACGTACGGTCTAAGAACAATGCGACGTTGGAGGCGACCGGCAGAGGGGGGCGGGAGTGAGTGCGCAGAAGTTATTGCGACAAAGTTATGTGATTGATCGGCGTGTTTTGAACCAGCCGCAGCGCCACTGCCAAGACGAATGGGGTGGCATAGACACTGTGGCCTTTCACTATAAAAGCTCGCTCTGTACACCCTGTTTGTTTTCAAACTTCCTCAACATCTTCCTGCCACTCGCAGCACTAATCATGAAGAACGTTCCATTCCAGAAACCTTATGGAGACCGCACTCTCAGTGACAATGTACAGTCAACCACACCCATTAGCTCCCTTACTTCGCCTCAGGTTCCTAAAACTAGAAATGAACGAACGCCCGTGCAGCACGTTCCAATCGCCACATGCGAGAGCTCTTTGGCGCAGCATGGCTTTGATAGCGAAGAGGAAAACAGACAATACATTCGTCTCACCGAGGAAGCTTATTCGTACGTTCTCGGTCCAATGCCGCCTTCAGACTTCTGCAAGCGGCTCTGTCGTGGCTTTGGCAATATGTCTTTTGATGGCATGCCTCCTTCAGCTGGAGCCTTTGCGAGCATTCCCATGCAGGCTGAGGAGTCAGAAATCTGCACTCACTTGGTAAGTTATGGCGATCCATGGTTCAATTCGCTGCTATCATGATGCATTGACATTGTAGGTTGCTGCACTGAATGGCCGAGAAAAGCAGTGTAGATGTCCAGGCTTCACATTCAAGAATACATCAGCAGGTCCCGGAACATTCAAGCCAGATGTTTGCATCTTCCGAGATGTGGTGGAGGTTCCGCACAAGAAGAGCAAAAGCAAAACTGCGGTCGCTCACATGGGTTATGCAGAACTGTTCATTGAGGTGACGTGCAACCCCTCGCAGGACTTCTTCGCAGATCCCCCAGAGAACACGAATCGCACAACTCACCAATTCATCCTGAACCGTCAGTCATTGACGAGCATGGAGGAGTTCAATCATGCGAAGAAGGCTCTCGGGAAAAATATTGCCTATGCTACAGAGATTCTGGCCCGCCAACATCGTCATTGCCTCTTTTCGATGTCTGTTTGGCTGCTATGTTAGACTGTTCTACTGGGACCGCAGTGGAGTGGTGGTGACAGAAGTGATAAGCATGCATGAGGACCCGGACATCATTTGCAAGTTTCTGTGGTGGTTTTCTCATGCCAGCGACCATGCTCGAGGCTTCGATACGACAGTGGAGTGGGCCGAGCCCGCTGAGGAGAAGAAGTTTGAGCAGGCTATCACTTGGCATATCAAGGAACAGCTGCTGCTCTGCACCTCGAATGATGATGCTACTCGATTAGCGAAGGACGAAGATCAAGAAGCGGAATTGAAGAAACGAATACCAAAAGCCACAGAACGATTGGTAGAAGCTCTGTGCGAACATTACACGTCGGGCAAAGTCGTAGCGGTTTACGTTTTCGACGAGATACCCGACGGTGAAGGCAATGTCAAGGTCGAACCTCATCGTTATCTCGTTTCCCGTCCCATTGCATCATCCATGTCAGTTTTATGCAGAGGTATGCGCGAATACTGGGCAGTGGGCCCAGACGGCTCTGTGAGGCTGCTGAAGGACAGTTGGCCATATCACGATTCAGGCGTAGAACATGAGAGCACCATCATGAGAGACTTAACAGAGTGCGCCATGCGGAATGTTCCCGAGGTTCTGCATTGTGGCAAAGTCAGGCTGTGTTGCGAAGGTGAGTACCGATGCCTTTTTTTTTTTCAAAAATTCCCCAGAATGACCTGTCGTTGATTGAATTTTACCTGTTCTGTTATCAGACATGTGTTCTCAGAAAACACTTGTGGGAATGTTTCTGCTAGAAACGTGGTTATGCATTGGAGACACAGAGAAGGGAAAACTGCGCAAGATCACAGTCTCGCGCCATGTCCACTGCAGGCTCGTTTCAAGTGTCGCTGGTTACACTCCGCGACATTTCACGGACTCAAGGGAACTTCTTGAAAGCACCCGTGACATACTCGACGGTACGTCGTTCATATCTCTCATAGCACATTAACAAGGGTTTGACATGAGTCTGATGCCAGCGATTGCCGATGCCCACAATCTAGCCGAAAAGATCCACCGTAATGTCAGCGTGAACAACGTCATCTTGTACAGAAAACCAGGAGAGGAGCGAAGGCGTGGATATCTGACAAATTGGGAGCTCGGCTGCGACATTAATCCCTCGTCAGAACGTCGCTTGGAGCGCATCATTGTAAGAGATACATATGAGGTTATTGGTTCATTTTCTCACTTGAGGTGTGCAGGGCTGTTGGCAATTCGCGTCGATGAACGTTCTATTAAACGAAGATTACCAGCGCGTTGTAGAGGACGACTTGGAATCATTGCTTTACGTAGTGCTCTTTTGCGCTGCACTGTGGTTGGCTCACAACGGAACACTGAGGCAGTTGGATATGTTCCTTGCCAATTTTTTTGATGAGTACATGCAACACTATGGGAAATACGTACTGGGCGGCATAGGGAAGCTCATGAACAAGTTCGATCGGAGATACACGGAAGAATTCGTGTTTAAATCAAAGCCTATGCAAGTGTGGCTGAACAAGGCCATGGCCCTGAACGGTTCGCCATCGATCGTCTTGAAGAGGTATCCGCCCACCTGGACCTTCGAGAGCCTGGCAGAACTCTGGGATCAAGTATTGAAGATGTCATTCCCCCAAAACCCGGATAGAGCGAGGCGCCAAAAATCCGATGTCCCATGGCATGTTGACCTATTCGTGGCCACAATCACCCCTCTCAGACGCAGATCGGCTTATAGCCGTGATAGGCCAAAACGGAGCTGCAGGAAAGTTGGTACGGCGGGCCAGCGTGAGCTACGCGAGAGCGGTGCACGACGGAAGGCAGATGAAATGGACATCGATCCAGAAAAACCTACCAGTGAGGCTGTCCATGAGAAGACACTCCTCGGGAAACGTCTGGCCTTGAACACGATAGACGACGAACGGCCAACGAAGAAGACGAAGTGGGGTAACTCGGGCACCAAGGACGGCGCAGGCGGACAGCGCATCAGTACACATCAGCGGACTTCTGCTGAACCTAGCCACAGCGACCCATCCACATCCCACTCGTCTCGACCTCGACCGAAACCTTCTGACTCTAAAACGGAGACACAGCAGCGACATCAGGAAAATGTAAACATGTCTTTTTGACGCTTGCACATTCTTATGGTGACTTATACAAGCAAATAAGGCAATAATCGGCACATGCAAACTTATACAAGATGGTTACAGCGTCGACAAGCTGCTACAAGTACGTGGACCTCCTTATATAGGCTTATCTACTCTTGTCAGCAGCCCGAAAGCAATTGGGCAACGGGTACAAGACAACATATACATGAAAGACGCTGGGGCAAATAAGTGTTCCAGCGTTAAAGCGATCTCTCGCAGGCCATCCGCTCAGTGCAAAAGGTCGAATGTATGGTGGTCAGCGAACTTATTAACATAGAATGCACGGTAAAAGTCTAATGAATGATGTTCAGTGAACCCACGCGGAATGCGAGCAGTGCCGAAGACAGGTATCAAATGGGCAGCACGCACGATGGAGTCGATGCGGATCATCGACAGTTGTGGTTTTCGAGCGGCTGTGTAGTCCGGCCGTACAACCCACATTCCGGTACTCTGGTCTGGTGCATCGCCGCAACGACGATACCATCGAATAAGTGCACACGAATATTGAATGCCACGGTACTTGAAGGATGTGAATAGCAGTACGCGTACAATTTCCAAATGATTATGCGTGCCGTCCGCAACTCGCACGAATGCACAGTCAAATCGAGGTGCTGATCCACGCCATTGTGGCGTTGCCCGAATGCGCTCACGACGCATACCGCCGATGCCTGATGGGTCGCTGGGAGCATAGAATGTGGCTGCAGCTGAGTAGTACACATATACGGCATCTTTGATCTCGGGTAACTGATCGAAAGGCACTGGGGCACCCGGTAAAGCCTTGCCGGGATTCAGCTGTTCGAATAAGAAACGTCGGGCAAGCTCAGGAAGGCGTGGTTGATTGATCTCGGCAGCCAATCCTTCGAACGTTCGTGAATGTTTCCGTTCTGTTCCGGATTTCACTCAATGCATATATACCGAGATGGCAAATGTATACGCACGTGCAGTAGCTGCTAGAATGACTGAGTCACGGATTCTTGGCCCTGAAATAGCGCCATCCTCGTCTTTATTTCTGGAGTCCTCCAGTTCCAGCTCTTGTTGTTTCTCTTCAGCTGGGACTGGAGATGTGCTTTGGTCATGTAATGTAAACAAACTAACATAAAAAAATGAACTCACATAGTGCCTTGAGCTCAGCCAACAGACATGAACCTTCAAGCATACCTCGGCTTTCAAAGTCGACGCGTGAGGCTGCAAGCTTGTTCAAACGTTGGTTTGTCAATAACATCTGACCGAGGGCCTTCCACCGACTCGATCGCCGCCAAGGCTTTTTCACAGCTCTGATATGCATCGACTCGGTGATGGAAGAACAGAGTCCATTCGGCGCCCCATACAGCCATATGAGGGGCATGTAGTGGACCAGAGAGTGCTGTCGTGGGAGAGAAAAGCCATTGGGCCGGACACCTGTCGTCTGAAAGATCGTTCGGTATTGATGAAATTGTTTGAGTGAGTCGTCCAATGCCTGTACCGTTCTAGGATTATGCGTATCGCAGCGGGCAATGTAGCAGAATTCCAAGAAGGCACGGATTGCCCGAACCATATCTCTTGGAACGTAATCCGCGATTGCAGGAAGCCATACCTGATGGGAGTTGTTAAAGACGTCTAGAAGAGCCGACAAATAGGCAGACCTTCATTAGCGCTTTGGAATCGTCTCCTGTCCATTGCTTGAAGCCACGGCCTTCTGGGAATCGTCGCAAGCCTGAGAAGGGGGGCACAGCAGCGATGCTAATGCAAGCTTGTCACGTCATGGCCATCAATGGCATGCAAGCGGGCTCACCGTCGGTCAATCTCTGCCATAATGGCTTGTCCTCGAGACTTGCCATGGGTCAATTCAAGATAATCCTCGACCCAGTCTACCAAATGGTCCTTGAAGGTGCCCTTGATTAACTGATGCAGTATATCTGGCGATAACATCTCGTGAATATCTGCGCGAGGAAAGTCGTTGGTGAATGGCTGTGGGTAAAAAGGTTAGCGACAGAAACTAGATATGCAAACAACGAAAGATGATTGGTGAAGTAGAACGTTGAAACCTTGCATGTGCATGATCCTTGCATGACTACGGCTATATCTAGCGCACGAGGAGGCCGCTCAATTGCAGAACGTGCTGATCGCAGCACCTCGCGAAATGAACTCAGGTGGCAATGCAGCGTCGATGGGAGGGCACGAAAAACCATTGGGCTACCGCGGGCATGCCGTTCTGCACATCGCGAACACTGATAGGCTGAAAGACGTCCGCTAAAACCCACGTAAGTATTACGAGTTGACGCTAGCGGAACTTGACACAGGCTCCTCTTTTTGAAGTATGAGGCCATGGAAAGGTCTGAACGCTATTGAAACATGCATCATAGGCACGGCAGAGATAATCGGTTGACCGATACGGGGTGATAGGCCCATTTCATGCTCTATGCTGCGGTAGGGCGAGCAAGCAGCCATTGAATCTGTCCCTCGTTGAAGCTGCGCACGAGCAGAATCTCATCCTTAGAGCTGTCCTTGTGCTTGAGCGCGAGCGTGAAGTTCTTGCTGGGTTGGAAATCCTGGAGGCTGAGGATCGACTCGCGGTCATCGGGCTGCACCTTGTCGTAGTCGGCCGGGTTCGCGTACAATGCGAGCATACCCTGCTTGTTCGAATTTGTCTCGTAGATGTGCGTGAACGACCAGGTGATGATAGCGAGATGCCCAAGAAACGTGATTCAAGTCCAGCGTGCTCGCACGAGGAGCTTTCACTGTAGTTGTAATCATCGATGAAAACCAACTCGATGCCATGGTCGCAGTAGTACGCAGCCATCTGCGGAACAGGGCCATGCTCGCCAGCGACCTGGTTCTGTAAGTTGTTCGCATCGTCGTTCTCAGTGTCGATGGCACCGATCTGACAGTTCTCTGTGCTGAACACAAACAAGAACATCAGACGGGCATGGGTCAAGGAGCAGAGGAAAAATTACGTACGAGAGATGTTCTCAAGATGTCCTCGGTACTTGAGCCAGGGTTCACCAGTGGAGTGTTGTCCGTCGCTACATCGTTCCTGAATGCCTGACCTCCACTCGCATGTTCAAAAGGGGTACTTACTGGAGCTTGATCAGGATGGGGAGGTCCTCAGGAATCTTACCATCCTAGGGCGTGAAGGGCTTCAGCATCTGGAGACGATCGCTCTTCAGGTCGACTGCAACCTGAACACTGGCGCGATCCTTCGGAGGAGGCTGGAAGGCATCCTGTCCGGGATCATAACCTTTGGGCTGGAGCTCCTTATCGACGGGGTCACTGGACACTTGCCATCTGAGCCAATAAGAGTATCCGTGAGGGGGTTGAAGTGGAGGTCACGCGTGAACGCCATCGCAGTCACAATGTCGGGAGAGGTGATGAAACCGTGGGTAGCAAGGTTGGCGTCATTATAGCTGGTAAAGTTATGGTTGTATGACGTGATGACTAGGCAGACACAGAAAAAACGCTTCTGTCCCGAGCGCGTCGAGCAGCTCCGCCTATCGCGTCTTCTTGCCACCGAGCTTCACGCCGCTGCCCTTGAACGCAGGCGTGCGAAGGGATGACGGCGCCGGAGAGGACGTGTGGGCTGTTATAACGGGTGCCGTGTCGTAGCGTTGTGGTACCGGCGCGTAACCTGTGATGCCTCCGCCGAGGTAGCTCCCCGCTCCAGAACCTGCGGATGCAGCGCGTCGTTGTTGCTCCTGGCGCTGCATCTCGAGCTGCTTCGTGTGCTGCTTGAGCTCCTCCTTCGCCTCTGCTTCTCTGTTCTGTGTCCATGGTACGTGTGTGTAGGCGAGACGGAAGAACAAGGCTGGTGCGACTCACCCGCGCGATGATATCCTGGATTCTCTCCTCGTGACTCCCCATCTCGAGAATGTTGCGCACCTGGACGAGGTTGACCTGCTCACGGTAGCCGAGGTTGACGATCTCGTCGAACGCCGAGAAGAGCTCGAACGTGTTCTTGAGGATCTCGCGCTGCTCGGCGCTGCGGCACATGTCCGAGACGAAGCGAGCGAATAGGTGGAGCGTGTCGATGTTCCTGGAGGATATTAGACGCCTTGTTGGTGATGAAGAGGATGTAGAGGTCCTCGAGCGGCTGGTAGACATAGCGAACATCCTCGGTATCGACAGATGTGTGTTGGATGCCAGTAGGGATGAGCTTGGGGAAGGAGGCGAGGAGCGAGTCAATGCGCGCTCGCGTCATGTCGCGGAATTGCCGTGAAATGACGGCTGCAGCATCAGTTAGCTAGAGGATGGAAATGGTGCGCGTATACGTACCTTTCCCTCCTTTCGTGCATATCGAAGCAGCAAGAACTACCTGGATGCCACTTGTGAGACTTCAACCTGCACGGACCTGGGTGAGACGCACCATTGCTTGCTCTCTTCCCCTGTGAGCATGAACACTTGTTCAAGATCCCCCTAAGCGTTCTGCAAGTCGCTCGGATTGTTTAAACCAGAGATGTGGCCGCACAGAACGAGAGACTGAGACACGTCTGTATGGGAACAGGCGCCCATTGTCTGCGCTCCTAGACGCCGGCGACCTCCATCGTTTGTGCGATTGCCACGACACTCTTTGTAATGACCACTGACTGTGTCACAACGAGCTGCTGTTCATTACTGTCTAACTCCTGACTGACTTGCTTGGCCTCTTTGCTGACATCGTCGAGGCCAGGCGTCCGATGTCACTGTTGGTGCTCCATCCATCGCCTAGAACCTCTTGCGGCGCTATGACCTGCTCAGCGGATACCGCCAACCGATGGGTACAAAGAGCCGACGGATCACTTGCTACAGACTATTCGTTGATCTGTGCACCAAGATGGATTTCAACTTCACTGCTGCCTGAGGAACCAGTACTCACTGGAATTCTTCTCCCTCTTCCTGATGTCCTGTCTGTCCCATTGACCAATGCAGGGACCGCATGCATTCACGGGAATGAGATCACCAATCTCTTCGAACGTCGCAATCTGGCCGTCACGATCAATGGTCGCGCGAACCTGCTCGGATCCCGTAGACTTGCTCTTTGCATTCAATTTGTGATCTGCGGCCTCGTGGGCAATCGACGCGGTGTTGTTCATGTCCTCATATGACTAATTCGTGCAGGAACCAATGAGAGAACCTTGAGCTCAGCAGGCCAGCCATTCCTCACAGCAGCCTCCTTGAACTTCGAGATCGGCGTAGCCAAGCCGGGAGTGAAGGGACCATTGATGTGAGGCTCAAGCTCGGACAGGTTGATCTCGATGCGCTGGTCGTCGCGTTCAGGTAGTCGACCATGCGGTGGTTGAAGAGGAGCAGACTCGTCATCGCACCAATCTCGGCACCCATGTTGCAGATCGTTGCCATACACGTGCAGAAAAGTGACTCAGGACCGGAACCTTGTACTCGACTATGGCACGAGTACCACCCTTGATAGTGAGAACGCCTGTGACCTTGAGGATGACATCTGCGGGGGAGGATTAGCACATGGCGGTGACATGGATTCAAAATGCTTACCTTTGGGGGGTCGTCCAGCCGTTGACCTTGCCGACGAGATTCACACCGATGATGTAATGGCACCTGAACTCCCAGAGAATCCCAGCCATGGCGCGGACGTCCACGGCATCCGCACCATCGACACCGCAAGCAAGCATACCGTGACCACCCGCGTTCGGCGTGTGCGAGTTCGGAGTACTGACCATAAGTCCACCAGGGAGTGTATAGTTGTCAAGGATGATCTGGTGTATGATGCCAGAGCCGGGGCTTCCAACAACCGAGACCGTACTGCTGGACGCATCAGAGGCGGATCGTTGGACGGTTAGGAGGCATGCGCACCTTGGCAAGAAGTCGTTAATCTGCTTGTTGGTGCCAATCGCATGCGCGAGATCCTTGGGGCAACAGACCTGGACCTCAATCAAGTGGTCACAGTGGACGATAGTGGGGATGGCGGCAGTGTCCATGCCGGCTGACATAAATTGGAGGACAGCCATCTGCACACATGATGTGATGGCAACCTTCTAGCTTTGTCCTCTGGTACCGCGGTGGCGTCCTGGCACGCAACTCGCTGTAGGGAACGAAGTGAGCGATCGACAGGGACGACGGAGAATGCACGCACGTCAGGATGGAGCTTGAGGTAGCTCTAGCTGCAAGCTATGTCCTGGTAATGCAGGTCGTCGAGATGACAGTATTACAATCTTTGGGTAAGGATGAGGAGTAACCAGAAGCGGTGCCGTTGACGGTGTAGTATTGACGGCGGTTGGATCGGAGAAGGTGACACGGAAGTGTAGACTCTGCGCAGACGCCGTCTTTGTGGCTGAGGCGCCGAGGATGCCACGCCAAGCGCAGTGACTTCCCCAGAGCCTGTTACGACCTCAGGATTCCTCGCACATAGTTCATGTTTCTTGACTTGGATCATGCACAGCGATTCAATGAGCATGCGTGGTAGCAGTGAGTATTGCTACAGTCAACCAGATCTTGACTAGTTGATCTCTGTGCAATAGCAGTGCAACGAGGCAGATTGCGCTCGACTCGTTGTTTGCTAGGAAGCGGAAAAAATAGAAGAATTGGAGAGAAGATGGACGCACCACAATATCGCCGACAAGACCATATTCGACCCATAGCTCTCCTAGCTCCAGCGCACGAACAAGCGTCTCCGTGTGGTTGCGAGATCTGCGTCCATTATTGCTGCCGTCAAGGTCAGTATTCCTTGCTGTGCATCTTGCAGACGAATTAATGGTGATCTAAAACAGATTGCTGGACACTTACTTGGGGCACCAGCCTTGCACGATACATGCCAGAAGCGCTTGCTCGGGATAATCAGCGATATATGGCCCCAATCCGTAGATCACCCGTCTGAAGTGATTATCGGCACACCGAACCACACGCGGAGTTGTCATGTACGGTTTGAGGTCACGTAGGATTCTTGCCAAGGATGAATGGAATAACTGCCGGCGATATTTCCGAAATAGTGGGTCATCAGCATATTCCTTGTCGGCTGTGGACTGATTCAGCATGAGAGGTGGTCAGAGAATCAGAGTCTCTTCAAACCTTTTGGAATGGCAAGGAACCCTAGCAACATGACAGCATCTCGATGTGCACGCCGCACGCTATTGTGAGGATTACCCGTACTCATATATATCGGATAATACTCATTTTGGCCAGTAGCGACAGATACCGTCGTCTTATCGCTTCCGAGGATGATAGGTACGAACGCTGCGCCGTGAGTTCTCTTGTCTGCCGTTATGATATCCTTTAACACCGACCTTCAATAACAGATTCCCTAGCATGTGCATACGATTTGGAAATGAGTGCGTACCGCTTGTTTCCAGGCCCAATCCCCGGACATAAAATCCTTTAATTGCCGTTCGCCATGCAGAAACTCGCGAAATGGGGCGTAATCCATTTCTCGGTCGAAGTCAACGTTGCCTACAATGCGATCGGCGACTGCGAGGGGGTTACGGAACCAAACGTCTGACTTGGCCGTCATCCATGTAGGTACTTCACCATCAGGCAGCTCCCCTTGATATGACATACTGAAGCTCTCCCATTTCACGTCGCCTAATGCTGTCGCATCAATTGTGTGATACAGATCTGTCGTGTTCGTAAATGGTGGATGATCACCATGCTTGACTAAGCTTGCCGCCCACAGATTGAGTAATATGTCAATGTTACCCGCTGACATCTGCTCGCGTTTGAACAGGAATTCAGCGGTCTCGAATCCGATGCGGCTGCCATATGGAGCCCAGTCATCTGAGGCTCTAGGCTCATGAGGAGGCGGAGGCACGTTCGGAGGTAGAAATCTTCCAGCTTTGTCGCATGGTCTCGCTTGCAGGTGAATAGGTCATGAACAGTCAGCTGTCAAGCCTTTAAGTTCACATTTCAAGCGAGATCGCTCACCATCCAGATACGGATGATAATCCCGAGTCAATCCATCCACTTCCACTTCGACACTGCATTCAGAAGACATGTTGTCCTCACAAGGCCACTCCGAAGACGTCTCGGAGCTGTACTGTAAGTCGTCATCAGAATCACTTGTTCCTTCGAGTTCGTCTGACAAAGTCACACGATAGCGATGTTGATTGGCCAGTCTCGAAGCGAAATCTTGATCGCTCCCTCGATAAAATGCCTTCTCTGGTTGTCAATGCAACGTGAGTATAGATGATGCTGTCTTCAAACTGCGATGCTTTGCTTACCATGAAGATCTCTTGTACTCCCCACAGTCTCTTCAATAGAGTCCTCATTGACACCACCATCAGATAACGTGCCGTCTTCCCCATCAGATCCAAGGTCGCGATTGTCAGACAAATCTGAGCCAACGTCTGACATTGGCTTCGGAGGTTCCATGTCCATGTTCAAGTGCCCGTAATTTGTATCAATCTCATCCTGTTCCCCTGCTGAATGAATGGTTGACTCCTCATTACAGTGTTTCGAGAGGTCAGATAGACTCTTGAGTGCAGTTTCAGTTTCGTTGCTCTTGATCTGTGAAACACGGCTGGAACGCACATCATTGTGCTTGTAGGTGTGGGTCGTACTTTGTGTATGTGATATGCGACTGTGCTGTGTGAGTCCCGACTTGTTCTTGAACCGCCGTAGGCACCCCGGAACATCGCATAAATACGGATATATGGTAAGCATGGAGGTTAGTGTCACCGTCTGAGCTGATGGCTTGATTCCAGAACATGAACACATTGTTTGACGCGTTCATATCATGTAAGTCACGGAGCTTTGTAAACTGCATTCCCAGGTATGGTGACGGAGATCATGTTCATTTCAGAACTATTGCCGAGCACGCAATCCACTCGCAACCTTTTCAAGTTCAATTTTGAACTTCAACCACCACGACAGACGTTGTCCGCATTGCTCTCCCACTATCTGCTCATGTCGTCAGCACCAGTTCATCGTACACGTGCTACAAACGCCCTCAAGCATCCTGGGCTTGTCGTTGCGTCTACTCCACGACGGACCACGGCGCAAGTGCAAGCTGACAAAAAGCGTGAGGACCTGAAGAAACAGATGAAGGTTGACAAGAGGAAACGAGCGATAGAGGCAGTTGCTGAGGTAGAGGCCCAGATGGAAGAAGAAGATGAGCATGTGAAAGCAAAGCGCATCACGAAGCGTGTCGCCACAGGTACATATGGTTCATATTTGCATATATTCTGATTACGAATTCACTAGAACCTTCAGCAAAAAGCAAAGTAAAGACGAACACCTCGAAGGCACTGGCAAGTAAGAAGACGGGCAAGGGCAGTCTGACTGAGCCAGAGTCCGACCTCACTGATCTGCCCTCCGAAGATGAGCCACCTCCCAAGAAATCGAAGAAGGATTCTGGTACCAGAGTGGTCATCGAGCAAGCTCGTCTTGAGCTTCTGCATCACAAGCTATCATCAAGCGAAGATATTGGCTCTGAGATGGCCACCATTGAACATCCAGGTGCGCAGATGAAGGCCTCAGCTAGTTATAAAGCGTATGTATGAATGTCTCCACCTGTCGGTGCATGTACTTATTGCGAGAGCTAACAGACGCCTGCCTACACATCATGCGGCTTTGAAGAAGTTTTCTGGAGAATATCCGGCGAGTTGGAAGCCACCTTTTGTTGGATCACACTCAAAGGATCGTGCGCTCTTGTCTAATGTAGCGGCTGCCTCTCAGAATCATCCGATCAAGCTCGGTGGTTCCATGACTGATCCCACACTTAAGACGGACTTCTTGAAAGATGTGTCATTCGACAAGCTATCGCAAGCTGAGCATCATAGCAAACGGCAGAACGATCGAGTCCTTGTGCGAGATAGAGGTTTTGCAAGCGAGTCTGATGAAGATATTGAATGCTTCGCTGCCCTGTCCAGTCCTGTGAAAGGTCCGAACACGCGGCTCACACACAAGGTAAAGCATTTGTTTTTTACGACATTCATCATGCGACAATCTAGCTGCTCACAAATATTCGTAGAATATGATCAAAATAGATGACGTTGATGATATTGATGCGACCCCATTCGCGAAGCCATCCGCATTTAAGGTTTGCCTTCCCACCTAATCTTCTGCGATTTATTGACAGAGTCTACCGCACATTTATTCAGTTCAAATCCTTTAACAGTCAAGAAGTGGCCGACGTAGATGACACACCTCAACCCATACGTACGCGCAAGACACGAGACGTGAGTAGAATTGTCCAGTTAGACTGACAGCATCACTTCACGCAAACTTCAGACCTACGTGAACGTTGAAGATACAGTGACAAGAGAAGCTCCCTCCGTCATCAAGACAGAGCCGTCAGACACTGCGATAATGAATCGATTACGTCCAAGTCGTCAAGTTGGAAAAAGCAAGACGTCTGACCTGCCTGATGGTGCAAATACCAATGGACGGTGGTATCGTGTCTTTCTCCCCACTCTTCGTCGCTACGCAGGAACACTTGTGAATCCGTGGATCATTAAGGATGAAGATTTCATTCACGCACTTCAGATGATCTGGAATGCCATATACGGCAAGGCGGCTTCTTATACGGTTGTCTGCAATGACCATGTCTTCAAACTCGTATGTCCTCACTTGCGATCAACCAGTTTTTAGTCACAAAATAACTGCTGTCGTAATTACAGGCTACGCAGCGCCTCAGTGAATGGCGCAGTGGCTTTGGACAAACTGCTCTGCGCCTGCTCGACACCTTCTTTGCTGACGACAAGGAGAACCTCTACAACACTATTGAGGATCGTCGTGACTTTGCAGAGTATATGCTATCCAAGCTTCGCTTCACATACGAGCATGCAGAAGGGAACAATAAAGCAGTGAGTGATTGTCAATTATTTCGACTTCAATGCCAATAACGAGTGTATTTTTTAGGAGTGGACGGGCCTTTACCAATCTGTATTCATACTGCGACTGCTGGCTTATCACTACACCCACATGAAGGATGCTATCGATGTTCCCGGTCTTACAGGTATGCGAAGACATGAGGATTGTCCTATTGGTGCGATTGCCATGTCCTCTGCCGCCGTACGTAACTTGCATTATCTGCCACCCGAAAATGGCACTATATGAAAGCGAGGCTGATAACAATGTAGACTTACCGTGCGCTGTTGCTATGGGTCAAGGGCGATATGGCATTGGAAAATGGCAAGGGGATATTGCTCAAAAGCATGAATGTTGCTACCGGTGATGCAACGAATAGCGAAACTGCCTTCAGTGAAGCGAAGTATGGAACGTGCACAGTCGGGTATGCGGAGGCAGCACGAAAACTTGGTATCATAAAGCCGAAGAAGATGACTCGCATTGTCGAGCGTGCGATGAAGATAGCATTCGCTGGCAAGTCCATCGGACGAAGGGAAATCATCACCATTGATGATTCTGATCTCGATTCTGACGAAGATCCATCAAAGCTTGTCGACCTTGGTCCTGACAGTGACGCAGAATAGATGGTGTCGATATCAAACTGTCTGGTGAGTTCTCTGATGCCATCGTCACATGGTGTGTCATTCTGAATTCATATTGTTATATTTGTAGTGCATCACTCGTACGATGCTGTTGGGTGATTTGTAGCTTAAGTACTTGTGGCGTGCTTTTCACCGAGTTGTCTGTTTCGATGATATGCTTTCTCTGTTCTCTGCGCTTTTCTGCCTGCACCACATCTTGTAGACTATTGCGCTGATTGTGTTCTGCTATACCTGCTGAATTTATGTGATTTGGCATCTCTTGTGGGCTTTTGGTCAAGCCAAATGCTTATACGAAGCCGCAGACTTATATGTCTTTTTTGCTGGTAAACAGATCAAGCCAGCTCGAAAGTACTTGTACAAGTGATAAAGTAGCCCTCCAAGACCAATTACAGATATCACAAGCATCCAAGGGCATCACAAGACTAGGGGACCTCCTTTCATCTGACGTGCTTGGCGGTTCTTTGTAGCTTGAATAATCACCAAAAAAGCCATCAAAGTCAATTTTAATTTTCCTGATGGATATGCCACGAACCTTCATCGATCGGTTCGATTACGTGAGATGGTTCAATGTACGATTCCCAAACCGTTGTAGCCCGTGACCCATAAATGTACCGAAAATGCTTTCCGTCGCCAAGGATCGTTGAGTCCTTTGGTCCATTTATGAGTGTCTCGAGTGCGGTTTTGGTCCACTTATGGATGTGTCACAGCTCGATACGTAGATACACAACGTTGGCAATAGAAATAACTGGAGTCTATACTGTAAGAACTTCCTCAGATGCGCGACCGCCCACCCAAAGCTCCGTCTTGACCTCGCTTGGACCCTTTGCGGCATGCATCTTGCACTTGGCCTTGTGCCAGTCGGTCCTTCGTTACATCATCGAGCGGTACGCTACTTATCGGCAGCTAGGATGTAAGCGATCAGTAACAGAACAGCGACCCTCGAGGAGTAAGATACAACATGATTCATGATCCTTGGTGCACGCTTTGCTTGCTCCGCCCAACTGAAACGGCATTTTCTTCGCCATGGAATCTCGTAATCTGCGCATCATCCTTCTTTACACACTGTGCAGTGGCTTTCGCTCCAAATTGTCACTGTTTATTGAAGAGTCCTTTGAACTCCGGTCAATCGGCGAGCCGATTCTCGTAGATGCGACTTTGGCCTGTACTTGTATGAGAAAATGACCTTTATTGAAATCACTTAACTCAAAGTGCTTTACGTTGAGGAACAATTATCAATATTCGAGGCAACATGCTATAAGTAAGCGTAGACTTCGACGCAAAATTGAATGATCGTACGGCCCGACGCCACCACGTGATCGCGTTTCAATACCGAAACGCGGTTGTGGCGCATGGTGCGTATAAAATAGCTATCTCGTGGCGCGGCAGGATCAGCGCATATATAATATCTCGCGGCTTACTTGCCAACACCTGCGAAAGACGATCGGGCTGCTGAAGTTCGGAAATGAACAGATCCGGTTTCGAATGCGTACAAGCAACGACCAGCCCGCCATTGATTGCATAATTCTACAGCGATCGCAGGGTGGCGGCCGTAATATACTACATGATCATCCATCGGGCTCCAGATGCCGTCGGCAATACTAGCCATTCAAATATTCACGCTTCATGATGCGCCGGCATCTATGAGAAGGTGGTGGATTTGAGATGTATATCAGCCGAGGGTACGATTAACCGAGATCCGTACACGGACCCATAAATATAAACACACCACAGCCATGTGTTCCATGTGATGTGGCCGAGATGGTTAGGAACGACAAACACCAGAAAAAGCATGCAAGGGAAGACAAGCAGGCATATGCGCATCACATTGGGGTAGGCAGAATGGATGGTCATGTAACACAACGTGACACTTCGCAAAAGAGATCAACGTATCACATCGCAACATTGCACACAATGATATCCCTTCATACCGAGGCGTGAGCCTCGACGCCGATGACACTAACATTTCTCTGCGACAGAATCCAATCAGCATCCCAGGTCAAAAAGCCCACATCACAAAGGCGTCACCTACCTTTCGCGGGCACTCCTCCGTCAACCTCTGACATCCCCACACTTTCACCTCCTCGAGCTCTTTACACTTCTGCAATAGCTCTTTGACGACCCAATTGTCCACCTCCCTGCAGAACCCGATATCTAGTCTTCTCAAGCCCGGTGCGCGGGCAGCGATCTGTTGTAGTGCCGCCTGCGGCACCGCCTTCCAACCATTCACATTCAGATTGGTCAACGACGCCCCAGAATGTGACAGAAGAGCAAGGAGCGCATCACCAGTGAGCTCCTGGTCCCTCGAGAAGTCGGCCAAGCGCAGCTCTGGGTTTGACCAAGTGTTGAAGAACTCCGCGACGCCGGCATCGGTCAGCTCGGGAGTATTTACGAGCACTAAGGAGGCGAGCTGCTTTGTATAAGGCTTCAGCCCTTTGAAGAGGAATGCATCGCCGATGTTGACATTCCCGGATAGGTCGAGATGCTTGAGCGAACCAGCAATGATGGACATCAGATCGATCAGCGCTGCTTCACTCAGTGTTTGAGCGTTGCCAGGGTACGATAGGTCCAAGTACGTGAGGGACGCCGCGAGAGCCTTCATATGCCCGAGGAATGCGTTGTCCAACTTGCCTACCTCTTTGAGCCGGAGCTGTCGCAGTCCTGAGCAATTTTCAGCCAGTGTCCGCATGCATTCGAGATCAAAGCGCGGGCTCTGGGTGATGAGGAAGCTCTCGAGTGCTGGATGTGCCTTGAAGAAGGTCTGCCAGGCGGGGGCCTTCACGAGGAAGGGCCCAAGGAGTTCGAGGCGCCGCAGCTGCGGTAACGATGTGCACCATGCATCAATTACCGAGTCATCCATGCGGCCGCAGAGATCGAGGCGCAGATGTGTCAAATTGGGATTGAGAAAGGCAAGTGTGCATAACGCTGGAGGAACGAGGTCTGCGGGTGTTTTTAATACTCGGAGTTGTAGATAGATCGTGGGGAACGCACTAGTCACATCGTACAGAACGAGTTCTGTGCTTTGGACATCATAGAACAGAGTGGCATTCTGTGGCGTACTGCAGAAACTCTTAGAGAGATGTCACACTTCAATAGCGGTAACAGTACTTACAGGCTCCTGTTCCTAGAGATAGCCTTTGCAATCTCGTCCATGTTGAGACGTCCGATATCCCCCAGCGCTTCAACGTCATCGATATGGTCACTAATGAGCTTCAGCGAAGATACCGATTAGGACCTGCGTAGACCTGTCCGACACGTCGATGACACACCTGGATACACATCGAAGCCAAGCTGGGAAACCGTCTCTCTTCAAAGCTCACGACGACACGTTTATCCGCAGGAACTTTACGTTTCCGAGGTACAGCCGGCTTCTTGAACGGATCTGCCCCACTCGCCTTCGTGCACGGGTGGCACAACCACCCAGGTGGCGGATTTGCGGCAAGCGTATACTTAGTCTATCGCCCAACCCACCGCATGTCATCCTTCGCTCGATGGTTGAACCAAGCAGAACAGCACGTACAACTGTGAACTGCTTGCCGCACTTTGCACATTCTTCGAAGCTCCCAACGGGCGGTTTAGGCAGGTCTCCCTTCCACATGCGCGACAACGCGGTATACGGGTCTTTATCCGAGTCCTGGTAGTCGTCATCGTCGTCTGCTCCTTTCTTCGTCGCTTTGGATTTGCCCTTCCCTTTCGCCTTGGAATCGGCCGCTTTGGACGCCTTGCGCTTCTTAGACGAAGGCATTTCGTCTTCGTCCAGGTTGTCAGAATTGTACTCTTCCCCTTGCTGCAGTGCAGATTCGTCTGATGCATGCCGATGCCTGACAAAAGCCTTCACGCACCTCAGTCTCATCCTGCTCTACGTTAGCTGTGGCACCCTGCCCAGCATTGCTAGGACCTGAGACAGCTTCCTGTGCAGCCGCCTCCCTCGTCCGCACCCGGCGTGCGATGGTTGTCGGAGTGATACCGGATTCCTACGCGACGCGTCGGTGCTGTAACAGAAACTTTATGGCATAGTACTTACGCGGAGGAACTCTGTGAGGGCCGACGTAGGTCCTCGGACATTATTTCTGCGGCTCATCTCAAGGTAGGCCTTTTGGCGGACGAAAGTGCTTTGATGCGGAACGTCGTCTTGCACGACAAGGTGGCTTTTGTCGGGCAGACGCCCGCTAGCGCGTCTCATTAGTGCCAAATAAGCCATCACAAGGTCGTCTCCTCACGCCACAACCGCGATGTTGTGGCCACTGGCCACCGCCACAGTGACTCGAGTCCCGCTCCATCTTGCAGACACAGCTCCAGCAGTGTGACGTGCGGTGAAATTATTCTATATTGACTCACGGGTGCATGAACTGATCTCGAGGTTCTCAACCCTCGCTTTGCGTCAATTGGTCGCACGGAATTCTCTATTTTGACGATAAATTTGTTGTCTCGCGCTTACTACCTCACCCTCCAGCACGGTAAACATGCATCGTATCAGACGGCGAGCGACCGCATTTATTTACCTTTAATTGTGTCAATGAAGAGTGCGGTCGAAGCCATGCGGTCTCAAGGCGGATACAAGTACACAGGCCATAGGCGCCGCCGTCCTAGTGATCTCTCGTTCCCGATGGCTTCACTCGCGCGTATATATCGGTGATCCTCCCAAGAGGACAGAATGATTCTCGTGTGGGTGCAACGAACGGAATTGCCCTTTCACATCGATGATATAACAACCAGGGTGCGGATGTTTCGGAACTATAGTCCCGAACCATCGAAGCATTCTGTTGAATGGATAGTAAAGCCGAGGAGTGAACTTGTCGCTACAAATGAGAAATCATGGTATTTGATTCGTCTGGTGAGTACATCCTGCATAGGACCAGGAGGAAGCCACGCATGACTCAAACCTCATTATTAGTCCTCGAGAGGCAGAAAGAGTGGGTGTATCGTCCTATGATGTACAGTCATCAGATTGAACACTGCGACGAGCACACGTAACGAGACATCGTATCTATGTCTATTGATTATGATATCCATTCCGCTGAAGACCACAGATCGCGCCATGGTCAATGCATGCAATGAATATAATTCCTGGATTGCGATGTCCCCTGAGGACCTGAGGGCCCATCCTCATTGAGAAGCATCCATTCTCGGAACTGCGAGCTTCGCAGTCCATATGTGCTACGCCTCAGCGGTCAATCTTCTCACAGCAGCATGTGCAAGCTCCGCGCACTCTTTTCGACTCCTTGGCAGAGAGTTGGACTTGATGATGTGCCGACCTGTACTCCTACTTGTTGAAGTCTTCAGGTATCTTTACTAGTCTAACGTGCATCCGTACCATCTTTTCTGCTAATCCCTAATATTTCCTGACCCCTGTCCCATTAGCTCATCAGCTTCCGCTCCCATGGTTTAGCGCGGCAATTGACTGCGCATCCATTCATCCTGTTCAAGAGATACGTCGCCACACGCATCGCAGATCGCATGAGGTAAGTAGGCCATCATGATGTGTGGTTCGATGGCTCTCACGTCAGATCCTCGGCTTATGAAATCTCCGACGCGCAGTAGGTTTTAGACAGCGGTATCTATGCTATGCGTCAATCATGATCACGCAAGGTCCGACTTACATATCCCCGCAAAGTATCCGGATAGTGAGACTCACGTCATCGTTTCGTGTTTCATCATCGACCTTCCAAATGCATGCCAACCGCCCAACCTTCAGATTTCAAGGCTTATTGCCAGCCTAGATTACGGCTAAGCACAAGATATTCTGTGCTGTGAGTGGTTGGTCTATCCACACTTTGACGAGATGTCAACTACTCTTGCGTTTGAAACGGCTCTCTGGATGCATCAAAGGCGGCCGCGCTATGCTATTTGAAGCTCGATGCATTCGTCACGAAGCTTTCGTACAGAGTGTGGGATATGTGGTCTGCAGCTAGCAACTGACGCTGCGCCTTCTATAAAACCCCGTTCACCCCTCCCGTCGCATGCGCTTAAAGCTCCGAGTTTGACATTAATTTGCCTTCGACTGTCATGGACGTCTCCTCCTTTCACTTAGAAGGCGAAATCAGTAATTCTTCCCCAGTCAACTCTAAGGTGCCGCAAATGAGAAGCGGACCTTGTGCCGAGTATGTTCAGCGTCGCATATTCCGTCGTACATCCATATTCTGATCTGTTGTCAGGAAATCTGCGGTTGCTGATCACAATGATCCGCCTCCTACTCGGTCTACGCACCCTCACAGAGGACGGCTGAACGTTCTGAGATCGTCTGCGACTTCCGCCGATAAACAGGCTCATTCTCCCCCACTCGTTGCAACGCCCAACGGAAAAGGCGTATATTCTCATACGGCTACACCTATGCATGAACATACGCATTCTATACCGTCGCATACAGCATCTAACGAAGAATCGCAATGCCCTCCTGGATCGTTGGGATCCCATAAAGGGTCAGATCCTCCGACGACAGAGACAGCTCGGGAAAATGCGAAGTCCACTCCTTCTGCACAAGATATACAACATGATAAGGATGACATTGCATGTGATCGATGCAAAGCCACGAAGGATGGGAGAAAGCTTGTAGTTTGTCTTGATGGCACTAAGAACCAGTTTGGGTTAAAGGTGTGTTCGAGATTGTCGGACATCTTTTCTTCCGGACTTATGCCTGGCCACGCAGAACACGAATGTCGTGCAGATCTACGCTCGTATTGAGAAGAACGATAAACAGCTCACGTATTACAACAGCGGCATTGGTACATACGCCAATCCCTCGCGCCATTTCTCCTGGGCGCTCATCAAGACATGGTATTCGAGCACGATAGACCTAGCAATAGCATGGTTAGACGCATTTCGAATTGTGAGCTCTCTCCTACTAACAATCCCATCAGGGACTTCCAGAAAATCATACTTGCTGCATACCGATGGTTATCGGAACATTATAGGCCAGGAGACCAGATTTTCCTCTTTGGTGTGTCCATTTCCATCGAGTCGCATATATGGTCTACAGCTGCTCGTCAGGATTTTCTCGTGGTGCCTATCAGGCGCGAGTCTTGGCCGGGATGATAGAGACAGTACGTTTTTTTCCTATCGAGCATCCAGACTGGTTTCGAATGCGATACATATTCAGGTTGGACTTATATTCCCCGGAAACGAAGAGCAGATTCCATTGTGAGCTATCATCTGTTATTTGTCTACAATTTGATGGCGTGATCTTTCAGTGCGTACGAGCTGTATGCGAATGAGCCTGAAGAAACGACGATTGCACAGTATGTAACATCTAATAAAGTAATGTCGTTTGATGCCGAGGACTTTGACCCATGACATCATCGTAGAGATAAGAGCCTGGCAGGTCGATTCAAGCGCACATTCTCACATCCAGATGTCCACGTACACTTCATTGGTGCTTGGTGAGCGAGCATGCGCTGTGAGAGAGCCGGCGTTCTCTGACACTACACATATAGGGATACAGTCTCGTCGGTTGGCATTACACGACCAAGGTATTTGCCCAACATACGAATCGTTAGGCACGTGTGTTACTTTCGACACGCTCTTGCACTTGACGAACGGCGGGTCAAGTTTCCTCCGGAGGACGTGATGCGTCTCCCGCGAGAGGTGTATCTCGGAACAAGTAGCGAAGAATCCTTCAGCAGGAATAAGGCCCAAACCCCTCGTGGTCCCGCAACAAAGAGTGACATAGACGGACTGTTCGTACCGGATAACAACAGTGATGATGGTGATGGAGAAAGGACCCTCGAGCGAGTGAAAGAAGTATGGTTTGCTGGATGTCATTCGGATGTGTACGCACTTCTCAGATGGTCTTCGCTGCTGCACTGTGTCCGACCGACTTCACAGAGGAGGTGGGAACGAACAAGACGAGAAGCTATTAATGGACGGGATATCTGCGCTGTGGATGGCGAATGAAGCACGCCTCGCAGGTCTGATCTTTGCTCCCTCTGCATTCAAAGCGGAGCCAAACCAGTTCAAAACACAGCAAGTCACAGAGTCGTTAGATTGGAGATGGTGGATTTTGGAGCTCTTACCTGGAATGAGTAGTGAAAGCGACTTAGCAATCCGTCGTCACCGGTCAGCAAACCTCCATAATCTTGTAGCAAGAGCTTATCTATGTTTCAGGTGGTGGCCTCATCTCGGGCACCATCGCTACATCCGCCCTGACCAGAAGATCCATGTGTCTGTTGCATTTATGTCAGACTATGTCCCCCGAGCACATTTCCTGTCTTCAGGGGACAGTGCAAGGTCATGGTCTTGGGATTATCTCCTCGGCAAAAACTTCGACAATGATCAGTGGGAGCTCACTCGGATGTCCGATATCCTAGAACTTGATTTACATGACATCTCATCTGCGAAACGGGATGTGCAACAGCTCAAGGCCAAGGACGGACGGGAGGAGGCATTAGTTCGCGTGCTCGGACTATCCTTACATGGTATATTTTGCGCCACTAGAAGAAGCAGGCATCTTACCAATTGTGATAGAATCCGGGACTTGGGCCATTGCTGATGCTGATGAAAATATCGGCAGCACGCTATTGAGCTTGTTGACGGGAGAGGGGACGAGTGACAATGTCAAACAAAATGTCAGGACACTGTTGGAAAGGATGGCATGTCATGGTGAGTATGCGAAGCACCCTCCACAATCGGAATTCGCTGAGATATCTTTGTCGCTTTATATTAGCAGACGGAGTGACCGTTTTGCACAAGTCTGAGACATTGATCAAGTTTTTCAAAGAAAGGGCGAAAAAAGCAGTAAGCAAGATGCGGTCTCAAAGAGAAGACGAAGAATCAATTTCGCTGGAGCTAGAAGAGCTGCAGATCTTCCTGAAGTTGCATCCACGATCATATCCTTTCATCAAGTTTGTCGACGTCGATGCAGACACAGTCCAGATCATCAAAGACTCGATGCGCACCTCTCTTTCTGACCTTGCTGCTTCCGCTATCATCAGTATGGTACAACGTGATGGTATGTCTTTCGCCAGGTTGAATGCTCGCTCAGTGACTTTATTCTCGTAGGAATTTATGCTCAAGAGGCCTTCACCTACCTATGCGAATACTTCAGTACTGTGGGTGTCAAAGATCAACATCGCATGCTTGCTATACCGGGCTTATCGAGTTTCATAAAAGGATGTATGTGCTACTCGCTTAATCCATTCGAATGTCTTCTGATTGGCACCCCATAGTCGGACACAGGCTCTCGAACGAGTCCGACCTCAAGCTAGAGAACGTCGTGCAAACTCTATATACAATGCTTGATCATCCTCTGCAAAAGGGCGCGTTGAAGTCCGCCATGGCCCGATTGCCACAATACTTAGAACAATGTCCGTGAAGTTTGCGAAGCTTGTAACATACCACTGACTTATTGAGACTGGTTACGTTTTGATTCAGGGCGTATCGCCTCAATGACAAGGCGAAGTGGCCTAAGCAAATTGAAGGCATTATTTTCCACCCAGAGCTCTGGTGCAATGAACCCAGGTGCGTTTTTGGAACCATTGAGGCGCTCAGCTCAAGTCTCTGAAGCCTTTTAACGTGACATGTGTGCCGTTTAGGTATAGAATTACTATCACTTTCGACCGAAGTTATCAAAGAAGTGTCCCGACTTGCGGGTAAATGGACTGCTTTGAAGTCGTCAAATTGTTACTAAAAAGTAGTCATTCCTGAAGATAAATATGGGGATCATATACTTGAAGCGATCTTGCGGAAACCGACAATGGAAATAGAGATTCTGGATCCGGGTAAGTTGAAATAACTTCTGTCGTAGTTGCTGATGCGAAACTGCAAATCCGTGCACATAGACAACCTCAGAGAAGAATTCGTCACATGGTTACATCGGTTCATTGAAGACGAGACCTCACGCATGCGTTCATCCATACTGCTAGCAATATCAAACATTGTACAGGTAATCACTCCTCGAGAGACGTCGCCATCGTACACCATAGATGATGCAAGCACTGGCAAATCGTTAACGACCGAGCAATTGACCGCGTTGGCGACAAAAATAATTGAAACCTACCACGACCTGCACGGAGATCACGCAGCGCTCGAAGCTTCTCAAGTCCTCTATAACGTTGCGCCGTCATGTAAGCATGCCTGCGCGCTGGATTCGCTCACGAATGTTTTCGTCAAATGAGCTGATGACAATCATCGTAGTCCGCAAGTCTCTGTCTTCCCCTCCGGAAAATAGCAAACTGGCGGATTTACTCCACAGACTGCTTGAGAAGAATGACAGAAATGTCCAATCCTACGCCCTCTGCGCAACAGTTCAACTGGTAAAACTCGGTACGCCTCGTCAATGCTCACCTTGAAAAGATTTTAATAATAGACCATGAAATAGAGAGCCTACGTAGCCGACTCCTCGAGCTTGGGTTTCTGGATGTCATCATCGAACAGATACAAATGAATGACGGCTTCTCTGAAGTTATATGTGGGAATTTAGATGGACTCGCTGAGTACGGTATGACATTTGCGGTCGACTTCAGATATACCACTTGATACTCACGATTATAGAGGACATACGCCAGCAGTTCATTACTCGAGGGGTCTTGTTCAAAATCGGCCAGCACATGCTTCAGTGCAGTTCACGAAGCCGTTCCATCTATGCTCAGGAGCTGATTTGGATGTTCAAGAGCGGTGCGTGGTGCTGAAAATGTGTATAAAAATATAATCCGATAGCAGTAATATCCTATAGATTATGACCGGTACCAGAACGATCGTAGTTGCGAGGATGATCCACCACATGACATCGAGTTCACTCCAGATTACTCACGAGATAGTGATCATACTATTTGTGAAGATAGCCTGCACCATTATATCCTGAAAGATCGCAACCTTGTCAGAACGATGAGGACCATACTGGAAGGCAAGAATGAAGAGAGCGATGATCTTGTATGGGTCTTATCCTGGACACAATTGCTCCGAATCAGTACGCTTCAGAACACTTTTGTTCTGCACACCATCGTACTGAACGCAGCTTGCAGGGGCATTTCGAAGCGAATTCATTCATGGGGGATGCCTACCACCACTTATTCGATTCATCACGAATTCTCAAGAAGCGTCGAATGTACGTGCACGCGCGATGGTGTGCCTGGAGGACTGCATAACGTTCGGTATGGATTACTTCCAATCTTGGTCGCTCGCTATTTGCTGAAATTAGCAATCGTGCGCGAATGTAGACGGTAATCAACCCGAAATCGTCTACAGCTCCATGGTGGAAGCATTAATAGAACTCATGAATGATAATGAGCAATTCTTTCGTACGATTGCGATAGATGCTTTTCGGAGACTTTTACCCTTTGGTAGGTTATAATATTTCGCTATGCGAGCGTCTTTTGACCAGATTGCCCAGGCTACGTACGGAGTCAAGTTCTGCAAGAAGGCCGGATGGAGACATTGATCACGATGCTCATGAACATACGAGAAACCATTGATGGCTCGATCAATGCGCTGCGTGACTTGGCTATCTATGGTGAGATCTCATCCTGCCTCCGCTGCTGCGAGCTCATGCATTCTATAATCATTGCGAGCCAGACGAAGGACGTGCCGTTCTAAACCGCCACTCTGCGTTGGAAACATTTGAGAGCTCTAGTATGGGCCAACAGGGCCTTAGCCATCAATCCAGGGGAATCCATGGAAACGCCGTCCGCCAGCCCCCACCCTCATATCGAGCACAGAGCAATCATACTAGGTCGACATCAATAGGTCTGTCATTCCACATAAGTTGATGCTATGGGAATGGAGGCTCGTGTTGGGAAATAAGGAAAGGCAACTTCCATGTGCCGATGTCTTTGATATTGTCCAATTGAATCGCAGGAGACGTTTTGGCATGATAATGGCATGATGGTATCAGTAACATTTGACATAGGACGGACGCTGCCCGTTGTGAGCTGCAGCAAACCGTTGTTACGAACGAAAACAGCCGTTAGCATTCGACAGCACTGAGGCTTTACAATGCTAACTGTCGGCAGCTGATAATTAAGGTAGAGTGAGAGATCGTAAGAAAAGCGATATACGAGGGCGAACGATTTAGTCAAGCACATGCACATTGAAGGTCTACGATCTGCGAGTTGGCGAGACGACGAGCTTGTAACGTGGCCGCCATAAGCCAAGAGCTATGTTTGAGAATGTCTTCTAACGAGAGTGTACTTATTGAAAGAATGTCACACAGGCTGTTGCTTTGTCTCATATGTGCTCTGAGCGACCAAATGAGCCTGCTTCTTAGTTTGATCCAATTTATGAATCTCTCATCTCATTCGAGTCATCTTCTTGCAATGCGTAATATTTGCAACCGCCTTTGCATGAATTATCACAAAGAACCTACCGCCAGATAGACCATTCTCAGCGATGGTCTATGTCTGATTGCGTATGTCACTGAGCTCAGCGGTTGTGCAGTCTAGCGGTCGACGGGCCGCCTCACCCAACTAACATCTATTGTGGCGGCCAAGCCAGAAACGAAGCTGTTGCCAAACACCCATAAACAACCGCTCCACTGCAGTCACGACCATCACGACCATCGCACGATCCATCTCGACTATACATCTCAAGTTAAAGTCCCATGTGCACGATTGCTGAACAGAAGCCATCAGGAGTATGAAGATCAGAGTCGCTCTGAGGGAGAACAGTCTCGAATAAATCCCTCAGTGAGTTTGTAACACCCGAATTGGAGCATGTCGCGTATGATATCGTTATTAGTGCTGACGGGCAGAAACATCGTCCTATTGCTCATCAGCATAATTTGACATAAATACATAAAAATGCTTATGGATAGTTTCTATTAATCATGACATTCGTTCCATTAGAACAGCATACCCTCGCTCAAAGTCAAAAGCCGTTCACACGAGCTTCTCTGCGAGAGAGAACAGAACAAATCTCAGTCTAGTCACGAAGCAGCCTGACATAGCGACTCTTACATATTATTTCGAAATCAATGGGACCAGGAGCGTCGTACTCATCTTCCCACACCTCCAATGCCGGTCGTAGCGCCCGACAGGCCCAGGGATTGATGATATTCCAATCATGACGCTGGTGGTAGTCCGTCACTGCGTAGTACGTGTTTCCCACGATATGCTTGATTCCTAGCACACCAAGCTCCTCGATCCCAATCACGCCGGATGGCCAAAACGCCCATGCGGCCCCATTTCCTTCCTCAGGCATCCATCTTCTCGACTGTTGGATGACGGGTATCACAGCTCAGCATACACGTGCGGAATACATATCAAATTCGCCGCACCATGATATATGCATGATACATCCAAGCAATCCGCCTCGCAAGTTGATTACGGGTGATCAGTATGCCATCGCTATTCACCAGCTCAATCGTCTCGTGGTGGTCCTGGTTCGGATAAGCCAGCCACTTTGCTGAGGTGAGCCTTAGCCTCAGGTGACATGGGAAGGTCTGCTTACGCAGATAACGAAGTCTATCTTGGCCACCCCTGTACCGAGAAATACGGATTCATATGGCCTGTCTACCGTGGCCAAATCTGTCCCTGCATATTCCAGAGGGTACCCCTCGGATCTGCATTCGGGACAAAAGGAGAGGTACGACAGTTGATCCGGTACTGCTTCTACTTGATGCGAGATTCCATATGAAGGAGCGGTATACGCGGGCTGTGGGACAATCTGTCCATGGATCGGCCCTCGGCCTGCGAGCGTAGAATCCTCTCCAAGGGTTGTGGATCGAAGCATCGACGCCAATGTCGATATCTGCAGATCGTTCGTGGTGCTGCCTGTCGTCGTTAATGGGACCCTACGACTAGTGAGGGTATTTGCGTCTCTTGTCCTCTCTTCCAGAGAAACCGACTGTAACCTTGATGTCAAGGCCGATATATCGAGGTTGTTGGCGGCTGGATCAGAGAGGCCCGGTGAGGCCTCAACTATAGAGGATGCGAGCTCCCTCATATACGACAAATTCAAACAGCTGACGTGAGTTTTGCAGGTGAACACAAGAGATGAACACAAAAGCCGTAACTACTGTGTAGAGAGTGGCGGTGGGTTTCAAATCAAGGGATGCGACGCGTAGTGGTTGTAGTTATGTTTGCCACCCGCGCGAACAATGGGTGTTCAACAAGACCATGTGACCAGAGCGAGCCACGAACATCGCCGCCACAGGCCCGTTTACACAAAGGCAATGCCACTTATTCCATTGCTCTACCCTATGACTCTGTTTATTGTACATGGCAAGGATCTGGCTATCGAAGAGGTACGACTTCATCGTTCTTTCTATACTGTATCATTCAAAACAAGAACAGCGATTTTGGTGCGGCACCTCGTACGTGCAGAAAGCTAGATCCCCTGCCTATAAGGTGACTTTATCTCAGCGAGATCAGACCAACATGCTCCTGATTGACTTCGAGCTCGTCTACCCTACAGGCTCGATTATGACTTTCTGTAAGTGTCTTTCTCCGACTCCGAAATCGTTCCAGAGCTGATCTAGCTGGACCTCATTGCTTTATGGGTGATTGTGTTACCCAATGCATCTTTCAGGTGTTGCGCGACCGACTATGTGGAAACATAATGGGTTTCAAGAATGACTTTCGAGCCATAGTTCTTCCTTACTTTTTTCACTCATTGATATGAGTCGCGTTTGCCTCGCAAAGCTGTTCACTGTTGTGTCGATGGATCGCGAAAGTCCGGACATGTTCCAGTACTGTCAACACCTACTACGCGAGAAAGGCTGATACATGAAGCGATGTGACACTGCGTCATAGGCTCGTTTTGACAAGGCTCTAGTGTAACGGCTACATCCCATCTCTTCCCATTCATGATAGATACGACGACATGCGGCCTCAATGAAAGGCTCCAATATCATCGCTTCCAACATTCGAGTGAGTCCACGATTTGGCTCTTGAGCTCGACACAAAACGTGTCTTCTGATACCCGATACATCGAAATCAGCCGGAGCTGCTCATATCTGAGCTTGCCATCTGGGGCAAACACCCAACGCCGGTCCGCGCCAGGAGCACAGGCGGTCTCGCTGCATATCTAGCGCCCAATTATCAAACCGCATAACCTTGAGCCAGCTCAATTCAACACTCACCTTGACAAACTGTTTGATATAATAGATGAGACACCACAGGATGTAGTGGGTGGTAACAAGATGGTTCTTTCCTTCTCCAGTGTAAGTCAAAGGGATCATCCGATGGAATTCCACGGACGAATAAGAGACCCACTGTCAAAAGGAGACTGGCTGATCAGGTTCGTCCTCAGCCTAGCTCAGTAGAAGAACGTACGTGGATACACAGAATAACCTCTTTCAGGCTGTATGGCAGGCGCATCTCGAAGAAGGGTTCACGTAAACCGTTGAAGACATGCTCCGCGGACAGCAGGCCACGCATGCGCTCAAAGTGAGCCAAATTAATTCCAACATCTAACGGCTGACCCTTCAGCCCGAAATGTATGGCCTGAGGCATGTATGCTTGCGCGAACACAGCGACGGACATTCGTGGGATGTCTTGCAGAGTCGTAGCCATCAGCGGAGGGAGCCTCATGGTGCTGGAGAGCAGCCATGCTGTGTAAGGATCGATGATGGGCGGTAACGGTAGCTCTGCGTCCTTGACAAGGTTCTGTCTTGCGTATTCCACCTCGACGTCGGTGCCCACCTGTAAGTTATGAGGCACGGGCAAGAATCGTGAGTGTGAGCTAGGCACAAGCTGCGGGAAATTCATGAAGAGGAGACGATGCAGCCATTTCTCCCAATTAGCTCGCTTAAATGTAGCACGCTGCAAAATTGACGGCACTTTACGCCGAAGCCGTGGTCTGAGCGGTGTGCTGCGCGACCGCGTTCCGAGTGGCCAAAACGTGTCTCCCGCGTGTGTGTGGCCAAACTGAGTGGCCCCATTGCCAAGACGCACGAAAAAATCAGCGCTGTGGCCGGCTCTGCGACTTTCGTGGATTTCAGCATTTGGAAGAGTGCATCTGCCCATGGCACCAAGTTGCGGCTCTAGATGAGTTAATTCATAACAATCTTATACGGACAAAGATATCATGATTCATGATGTAGTCGCGCGGCTGGTCTACTGCGATCAATGTAGACAGGTACTCAAGACAAAGAATCAAAAGTGTCCTATGCGTAATACTCGGCATGCTTCTTGAGCGCCATCAGAAGGGAATGTTTTGTGACCGGACGCATCTCAACGTTGTCGACTTCGTACTAGGGGAGATCACTTGGGAAGAGGAACAGGATGACCATCACCACATAGATGAAGGAGGTATTCACTTGCTCCTTTCGCAAAGATCTTATGTATGTCAGTACTAGCAATATCTGTGCACTTCGAATATGCTTCATCGAGCGGCCGATTTCTATGTAATATCCTGATCGTCACGTCGCCGACTAGCTTGCGACCGATGAAGTCTTTCGTGAGGCCATTACGAGCAGAGTCCTCATATAGAATCACAAGTCTCAAGAAAAGTTTACGTGTGGTCACAGCGATCCGACTATGTCCTCAACGAAAGATGGTTGGTCAGGCAAGCTTCAGGAGTGATAAAAGCCGTAGGAAAGCTGTCGTCAATCACACAAACAGTGCGCCACAACTTGCGCTGGCGCCACTAAGCGCGCGTGAGGCGTGCACTAAGCGTGCATGAGGCGGCAATTTCCCCAGGCCCCGCCACAATCAGAACCGCACCATCTCAGCAATCATTAATCAGCGCTCACATCCATCTCAAGGTTGCTGCTCATTCATTAGACCTGTACATTATCCCTATGGCTACAGTATCGCGACAGGACGCAGAACGACAGGTTCGCGAATGGGGGTTCCCTTGCGTTTATACTTGGACTGATACTCCGTACGTCCTGATGGAGGCTGAGACCTTTGCAGACGTTCGAGCACTCATCGTTGGTCATCATATCCTTCAATGCAACAGTAATTACCACTATCATCCCCATTCTCACTCTGGATTGACAACTCATTTGATTCTGTCCGGCCAATTCACTGTGGCCTATCCGAAGGATGACCTAAACGGAACCAAGGAAACCTTCGGGCCAGGGGCACGTGTTGATGTACCTGGCGGAAAAGTCCACGAAGTATGGATTGGGGACGAGGGATGCACATATGTCATCGGTGAATGATGCCATCATGGTTTCCCTCGCTACAGCAACCATCCGAAGTAGGAGTTTAAGTGCTGCTATGATGTACGTTTGGTCTCGTAACCTGATTCGTCACCTCTTCTCTATCTTTCCACGAAGAAAGTGAAATCTGATCAGTCGCTTGTACTGCAATCCTCAGTCTCGTTCACTGCGCGGTGGAGCTGATGCGCAACAGATTTTCATAACATGGAATCTCTCGTTTCTGTACCATCTATATACCGCGATACTGATCCACTTAGTTGATCGAATGTACATCTTACTTCCCTCCCACCGCCTTGCTCCGCGCAACATAGTCTATGATCGGCAGTGAAGATCATCAGCGATCACTGTCATCGCGTTCATCGCCATACCATTCACAACGAACCGCCAATCGCAACCACCTCAGCTTCATTGGCGAGGTTCGTACAGCACTTCTGCTTGATAGGTGTTCTCAGTGACGTATCGCAATCCGAGAAGCCACAGGTCTTGGAAATCTACATCTCCCTGCGGCTGGAAAGCCCATGCAACATCACCCTCGACAGGCCTGTCCCGATGTTCCTATGTCATTCTCCATGAGTTGTCGCTCGCTCAAATCGGGAACCACGAACTGACGTTAATGAATTCTCTATACGAGACGGTTACGTATCGGGCGAGCTGCTCGCGCGTCATCGCCATGTGTCCTCGGCCGTGCAGCTGCAAGATGCGATGATACTCCGCATACGGATACGCGGGCCACTATGCAAATCAGTGAACAGCTCACTCAGTCATATGTTGCTTTTGCGCACCTTGATCCGGAAGTCTATCTCGGTGATGCCGGAGCCAAGGAAGACTGCGTCATGGGGGTCTGCAACGGATATTTCTTCTTCATACAGACTCGCCATATGGAACCCGCCGTACGGGGCCCCTTCTTCGAACCAGAACGAGATGTATTGCACTCTATCTGTTATTGGGACCGTGAAGCGACGGAAGCCTGGCGGGACGCGGTATGCGGGTTGAGGGACGAGTCGTCGACGTGCATAAGACCGGTGCAGATTCTGCTGCTTCATCGTGTTTGTCTCCAACCCGCAGTCGCTGAATCTGGCCACCAATGAGGATATGTCATTGGGAGCCTCCTTATGACGTTGCTCATCGTTCAGGGAGATCCTCGTCGGCTGCAAGCGCACCTGGTTGAACGTCGCGATAAGATGATTCATGCTGCAGACGGGCAGTGGCAAACCGTGCGATGTGACAGACCTATAAAAAGGCGAGAAGGACAAGTGCCACAGTCCACGCAAGGTTCAAGTTGATAATGCATGCAGGGCAAGAAGCGCGATGCCATCGTGATAGGCGACCGCCATGTGATAACATCGAAGGCCACATGCATGGGAACAGCCAATGCCATGCAGTGGCATCCGGCTGCAAGCGAGTGTATTATGAAGGGCTTCTTTGGCCACGCCAGTCCTTCGGGACTGCTGTGCCTGCTCATGTCGGTGTTCACCGCCGCAGAAGCATTGGTATTTGACTCTCGTGTCCGTTTGTGGCCGCTGGTCTGCGAATGCTCTGTTCTGAGGGCCACATTAGAGCGAACTTCTCTTATTTGAAGAATGCAGCATCACTGTCATACTCGTCCTCACGAACATCGGCATACGGATGACGGACTGGTTTTATTGTGTCGATCGAGTTTCACGTCGCGAGGCGTACTTTCTAAGAGGAATGACTCTCAGTAAGCAATCTGCATCAAGCTTCGAGGAAAGTGCTGCAATGCGACTCACGTTCCATTCAGCTATTTGACTTTGACTAACGTTTTCATTTCTGCCAAGCTTCGCCTACGCTCCCAGAAGGCGCGATGCCCAGCACGTTCCATCGAATCAGGTCTCGATATTTACTATTCATCTATCTCAGAGGTGCTTTCTGTCATCATACTCCAACGCACGTTATGTCGCATGAGATGCTTGATGATGCCGGTCGCTATGAGCCATTCTGTACAAGCCCAGAGACGTGCAACAGTAGCAGCATAAAAACCCAGACTGCTTAGACCTATGACATATACGAATCAAGTTACCGACTCCTGACTTCGACGAGAACTGCAGCGTATACGTACCGGGCTTCAAATATCATATATCATCCCTCAACTGCGTTTGAACTGCATATGTGGTGGTAAGCGACGTGACAGAGTAGCCGAGCAGGCCCGAGCCTATCACATAATAGACACGATTGTCACTATGTCTGGGATTTGGCGTAGATGTGACGAGGAACTCACCTTGAGCTAAGTTGTACACATTTCTCGGTGGTAGATGCCTCTCACGTCAAGTTCGGTGGCAGCCAAGGGCGCGATCTGAGGTCCTGATGTCATAGTATCCGGTCGGACAGTTCGTTTGGTTGTTTGGCCTCCAAACATTTCTAAAAGGAACCTATTGATTTGATGGACTTTGGAGTCAAATCAGCAATTGTTCCATCAGTCGGAAATGACCCGGAAACCACCGCATCCCCAGCGCTCCAGAACTCGTTTGATCAGTGACAGTCACCCTTGTAAACGTGGAGAAAACGAGTAAGTCGAACCTATCAGCGGGCTGTCTCTAGAGACTCAAGTATTGACTACTGGCAGAGCAAGCTCAGTAGTGGAAGCGCTCCACTGATCGATCAATTGTTGATTGCATTTAGAGTCGCAGATGGAAGTCATAACTGTTATAAAAGCCTCCATTTGGATTGGTTCAATCAATAATGCACCAGATCAGAAGGGTAACAAAGAAGCTTCTGATTCTACGCTGACTTCGGCAAATGGCGATGCCTACAGTACAATGCATATGCGGAGCACAGAACGGAAGTGTACGCGAGGGATGCACAGCAGCAAGTACACTCGACTCGTACAGTAGGGTGGGATAGCAACATGAGAGATCATTAGGGCACACAAGCAGGACACTGTTCAACAATGCTCGAACCACAGGAGGACTTATTTGAGGCCTGCTCAGGCCCTCGACTTCCCATTCGTCGGTATCGCATGCAGCGTCGGCACGGCTCCACGCGCATGCGCGTTCTCCTTCGCCTCCGCGGTCACGGTCGTCGGCATTGGCGTACTGAGCTTGGGTACGGGCACCACGCGGTCGAGGTCGCCGCCGAGTGACAGGCTCTGCGGGCTCTGGCCGTCATCCATGTCTACTGGCTTCATCGCATCCATGTCCGAGCCTATGAGAAGCTGCCGCCCGTCCACGCCGGAGCTCGCTGCGGCCGCCCTGCGCCGACGCTCCTCCTCCATGCGCCGCATCACATCAATCTCGCCTTGCACAACGATGCCGTCCAGCCACCGGTGATGGACGAGCTCGCTGGCCGGTGCACGCTTCTCGGGATGTAGACGAAGCATAGGTATGAGGAAGGAGCCGATGATCTCGGCCTCTTCCTTCGGCAGTAGGTACTTCTGCTCAAGCACGGCGTCTAATGGCCAGAACCGTAATTTCTGGATGTGCCGCAGCTCCCCTAAGAGATGCAGGTGAGCGATCGGCGCATGATACACAGACAAACTGATCTCGGTCACCTTTCCGGTTGAAGAAGTCTGAGCTGTATTTGCCCGAGAAGGCGATACTCTTCGGGAACTCGCCCATCAGCTCCATGATCTGTGCGATATGGTCATCGTCCTTGCTATATCGAGATCCTGATGCTGGGTCAAACAGGTAGTCGCCTCCTGTCAACAGCTCGAAAATCTAGACAAACCGATACTGTCAGCCTTCTAGACGCACTCTTGAATCGGTTGCACGTACGACACATGCAACGCTCCAGATGTCCGCACTGGGGCCCCACTTCGCTCCGAGGATCACTTCAGGACAGCGGTATTGTCGCGTCTGGATATCATCCGTAAAGTGATGCTCGACCCACGTAGCTTGCGACGAGGACGTAAGGGGTTAACCTCGGCGCACCACGAGACCAATCAGACCCCATCACCACTCACCATTGCCCAGATCGGCGATCTTCACCGTGATCTTCTCCATCCCTTCCATCGCAGGAAGCGCATCCACAGACATCGCGCTCGTCCCGGGCGCCGGTATTGAGGCGCCCTCCTGGAAGCTACCTGGCTTCGACGTGTACGGCGGCGGCGACGGCGGCGGGTGCGCGTTCGAGGGGCCGGACACTGGCTGAGGGGCAACACCGTGCCCAGGTGCCTGCTGCGACAGTAGCGATGGGCCTGCTGCCAGCTTCGCCTTCTCGGGGCGCGTCTTCTCGCCAAATGGCGACGCGTCAAGCGTGACGCCCGACATGCGCTCCGCAGCCTGCTCCGTCGAATCGGCGCGCTTCCCCTTCGCGCCTGCCCCGTCATCGCTGCCCGTGGATTCCGCTCTGCTGACCGCACCGTCGTTCTCGATCTTGCTCATGCCGAACGCCCAGCGGTCGAGATGCGAGGTAGAGCCAAAGGAGGAGGAGGGAGATGGTAGCGGCTGCGAGCCAGTGATGAAGATGGATTCAGAGCGCGGCGTTTGGTTGCCGCCACGTCCTCGAGAGGGGGGCACGCCGACGAGGCGTGTTGGTGGCGGGGTGGCTGAGGCGGATTGTGCGGCGAGCTCTGTGTCAATGATGGACTCGACATCATCTATACAGATCAGGACGTTCTCGGGCTTGAGATCTACGCGAGCGAGGTAAGCAAGCGGTCATCGGATATTCGAGCGAGCAGCACACAGGCAGAATGCAACGCCTCAACTGCGCCGGATCACGGGAGCGGCGTGGTGGAGCTGCAACGTATCACTCGGGCTGACGTCTCCCAGCCCGAAGGTCGGCTACGACACGCCTAATGCATACATGAGCTCAGCGTACGTCTGACCACCGCAAGAAGTATGTACAGAGGTAGGACGCTGAGGAATGACGGCGGACGTCCGCTCAAGTTGCGAGACCTCGAGCGATTCCAGTGATCTCGCGAGACACTGTCAGGGACGACTGATGACGGCATCTCCGCTGGGCAGGCGATGTGCGAATGAACTCACCAGTGTGAATGACACCGCAACAGCGGTGCATGTAATCGAGGCCAAGAAGGATCTGCTTCGCAATCTGCTTGACGAGGGGTATCGGAACGCCCTTGTTCTGGTGGCGCTTAATCAAACCAAGCAGATTCTCCCCCAATACCTCAAACACCATGCAGACGTGAGTGCCGTTAGGCCCCTTATGGCGAAAATGGTCGAGGAAGGAGATGACATGCGAGCGGCCGGGGTGAGTTTGGGACGGCGATGGCGGTGGATTTGGGTTTTCGAGTGTTGGTTCTACTGGCGGAGTGGAGGAAGTGATTAGTCGTTGAAGGAGCTTGATCTCGTCGAGGGCTGTCTCTGTGTAGCGTGGCGCGGACTTGACGACTTTGAGCGCGACGTGACGGTGCATTCTGCGGGCGATGAGGAGGATAGGTCGCAGGCGACCGAGAGAGGGCACTCACTTTGTGTCTTTTGCCAGCCAGACGGTAGAGAAGTGGCCCCAACCGAGCTTGCGGACGACGATGTAGCGGCCATCGGAGAAGGCGTCGCCGATGTGGACGGGGTGGTAGCCTCCCTTGACATAGTCTTCCCAATCCTCTTCGTCTTCGGTCATGACAGAATGAGAGTAAGAGGAGTCGTAGGAGCCGGCGTGTGACATCCTCGCCGGGTAGCTGTGATGAGCGATAAGCCTGGGCGGCACCCTCGCAGATAAGCACCCACCTGCCTATTCCGTGCGCTTCCGGGTCTTGATCGCGTGTGCGGGGTATTTCCGGGGCTGCGGGGGTCCAGCGGCGCAGTGTCGACGTCGGTGGGCACAACGAGCAAGGGGCTGAGGACGGCGAGGACGAGGGCCACGGGCAAGCAACGCAGGGTTGCCCAATCAGGATACGACCTTTCCAAAGGATCGCATCACGTAAGCAAGCTGACCTAAGCTATTCGCCGCGGAGTCGCCCATCCCAGAATGGCAACTCTTCTCGTTCGTCGGTGACATGTCCTGTCACCTTGAGCCTCAACATTCTTGAAAGGGCACAATCGACTCTGGAATACAAGTTATATACAAGGATTTCCTGATCGAGGAGCGAGGTCTACGTACGGTATATCACAGCGCAATGAACACGCCATCTCTACCGTCGACCTTTGCCCTTCGATGATCCCTGCTCAAACTCCTGTCTCTCCGACTCCTCTCGCTCTCTCCTCTCTAGCTCATCAAAGACCCCGTCCTTCTCCGCTCTCTGCCAAACTGCCTGCTCGTATGCCTTCTGTGCTTTCATTCGGTACCTCTGTCGCTCAAAGCTCCTCCTCTCGCTCGCGGGATCAGGTTTGGTCCACTCGTATACTCTGATTTTCTCCTCGGCCTTGTGGATCGACACGAGGTTGGCCATGAGCCGGTAGTCACTGATGTCATCTTCGGTCAACGCAAAGTATTGCCGAATCGCCGCAATCGTCGCAGGATCGAAATGCATGCTGTCGATGTCGAAAATCCTTCCTTCGTCCTCTAGGGAGGATTCTCGATGACTCCGATCCTCTTCAAAATCTGCGCTCAACACCTGCATAACCTCCGCTTCGGATGCTCTAAGCATTGTCTCGCGCCTAGGCAGCCCAAGGAGGTCCAGTGCCGGCGATCCTTTCTTACGTGACGGTGATTCGACCTCATTGTCGTAGTACCACCGCAAGTGGATGCCTTTGCCATTTGGCGTTGAGCAGACGGTAAGCTGCTCGAGCTGGCTTCGAGAATAGTTAGAGTTCTGGAGGAATTGTCGTTGGACATTCTTGCCGGCTCCACCTGTTTCCGAGGACTGCAAGAGGCAGTGTCCAAGATGATGAACACATTGAAAACAAGACGAATGCTTACCTTGATATCTCTTGGTGCAGACATTTTCTGGTCTCAAGTTGAAACGAGAGAAAGGATGTGGCAGATGGTCTCGGTGAGTAGTCAAGTAAGCTAGTCTACCTGTGTTTGTTTATAGCCTCGCGTTATTTGTACGCGTATTTATATTCTTGGCATGGCCGTCGCGTCCTTACCGCCAATACTATTACGTCGGTGGCCCAAACTCCGCGATCGTGCTTGTTGCGGCCACACAGCCACGAGGCACGGCCACTGCATGCATGGTCTATTCGAAACGAACATCCGCGTGGACATCACGCGAGGGTTGGTATCCACAGCCACATAGGATTGGTCCATCATTTTACTTCGTTTCATTCCTTAGCATAATTAGGACGTACTCCAAAAAGAAGCGCAAATTATCGTGGCGTATAAGACCTATACAAACATTCCCAGATCAAGCTGCAGGTCTTGAACGTTGCTCATAGGCTAAAGCACATTCGTCGCATACACTAGGACCATCATCGTCTTGTGCGGCCTCTACCCTTCGACGATCCCTGCTCAAACTCCTGCCGCTTACGCTCCTCTTGTTCCCTGCTCTCTAGTTCATCAAATGCCCCCGCTTCCTCCCCTCTTTTCCACATCGCCTGCTCATATGCCTTCTGCGCCTTCATCCTGTACCTCTGCTGCTCCAAATTCCTCCGTTCCCTCGCGGGATCTTGTGCATCAGCCTGGTATGTCGTGTGGGCTTCGTGTGCCTTGTGCATAGATACTAAGTTGGCGAGCAGACGGTAGTCGCTGATCTCGTCCATGCCTAGCGCGAAGTAGTCACGGACTGCAGTGATCGTCGCCGGATCGAAGGGCACGCTTTCAATGTCGTAGATCCTCGGTTCGGTGTCCAGAAGATGTGTAGAAGGTGCTTGCAGGTTCTCGTCTTCTTCCCCAGACCGCGCTCTCAACAGTTGTAGGGCCTCTGTTTCCGAGGCGGTTAGCGTTGCCTCATGATCCAGCAGCCCGAGGACATCCAGTGCCGGCGACCCTTTCTTCCATGAGTGATCTTCAACCATCTCGTCATAATACCAGCGAATGTGGACGCCTTTGCCATTGGGCGTGGACGAGACGGTGGCATCCTCCAGCTGGCCCCGAGAGTAGTTGGAGTTCATCAGGAATCGTCGTTGAGCATTCTTGTTGACTCCCTCTGTCTTCGGGGACAGCAAGAATTGGTGATGAAGCACGTGGAAACGTTGAATAGAAGGTGACAGCTTACCTCGTGATCTTTTGACGCGAACATTTGAGCGTACGAGGATCAAATCGAGAGGAAGCCTGCACTTATGTTGATGAGCCGGTGTGTAGAAAAAGCCAGACCAGCTCGTTCTGCTGAGGCTTTATATAATCCCTGCGTGGCTCGTATGTGATTCTCAATCCTTTGTTTGGCCCTCATGGCGCCAAGGTTCAACACTAATGCTATTATGCATGTGGCAAAAACTCCGCGAGAGTGTTTGTTGTGGCCGCATTTAGCCACGAGGTACGGCCACTGCTTGTTATGTCTGATTGAACCTTGGCACCAGCGTTCGAAATGACAATCTTCGTGAACATCGAGTGCTGGAACTGGCTCTGACACGACTACTATATCGACCTCTTCCTGCGGAATTACATTGATAACACTTCGTCTCCTTGAAGTCTAAATTTGGCGAAGATGGGTACAACGCCTTCGGTTTGTGTAGGTCGGCATGTCTATTCTTCAGCCGTCTGCCAGTGCCACTGCGAGCGCCGTGAGAATTAGGGCTGCTGATTTTAGTCCATACCGCACCCGTTGGTAAGCGTCCCAGTGCTTCTTAAGCAAGCTCACAGGGACCTCGCACCTAAAACGTATTTGCCTTCGCGTGCTGGAGCATCAACGCCACTATCATAACAAGGCTGAAGGCTTACGAAGAAATATCCCAGCTATGGCCATACTGTCGCCCTTGGAGTCAGAAAATTGAACGCGTTATGGAGGTCTCAGACCTCAACACCGATAAACCTGGATCACAAGCTGAACCAACAAGTCTCGGTGGTTTCGTGCAGGTGACCGTACTACGTTGCAGCCTGTAATACGATAATCGTACAAGCACGGAGTTCGAAGACAGTTGAAGGACTGATATCGTTTACCTTTGATATCCCCACTGGCCTTGTATTGCGCACGACAGATAAATTGTCACGAAGCCGTTCGTACGAATCGCGAAATGGGACTCGATATATCGCCGGCATGCTGTGAGAAAGCGTGACAAAGGAAGAGTGATATTGATCACATGCCGTGTGACGCATCGCGTTCGCCAGCCAGGGCGCCTCGGAGTTGGGCGCTCGCAGTTTGGACCTCAACCATGAGCTCGAGCTTCGAGCTTTCTCACCCCCGTGTCTCAGCTAGTGCAGGCGTCACGTCCTGCGACGTTTGCCTCTTCGTTGTTTGTTTTTGAGCTTTTCCAGATCTCAAAGCCGTGCAGTTCCACGAACGTACCACGACATGCATCGCTCGGCTTAACCCTTTCCAATGCTGCTGTGAATGAGGGGTGCCCGTATCCGCACGGATACGATGTTCTTCCAAAAGCATAACTTCTGCAGTCGAGGCGTTATCTCAAACACAAGAGCCAGCTGTACTCTGCCGTTGCATCACCGTATCAACAGAGCATCTCACGCCACGAGGTCTTCCTGGGCGGCCACATGAAGACCACATGGGCATATCTGTGTGCGATGTGAACGATTGATACTGAACTCTTGAGGCTGCCTCACTTTGCTCGCTGTATTTTCGAGCCTTGGCTAGGACGGCCGGTCTACTCACCCTGCAGGGCCGCCACTTATCGCCATGCTGTTCGTCGTCCCGGTGCCGCATGCACGATGCCGAACATCGCTTTCACGCATCTCAGAAGCGAGCATGTTCCATCATACGTACCAGGCCAATGATACCACCGAGAATCGCATGGTAATTACGGGCAATCAAGGCCAGTGTGAGTACATCGGTAGCCTGATTGTGACGGTATCTTCTTGGGAAGCCTCACGGATCAACACCTCGCTGCAGGGAAGGATTTCACCCACCACAACTATTCGCTGTCGTGTATCTTCGAGCCCATATGCAGCGCGAACACGGCAGTTTCCATATGAACAATGTAGGCAACATCTCATTCTCTGAGATAGAACTCGGCACTTCGTTTCATGCGCTCGCACAATCTCGTCGCATTCGAGACTTTCCATGAGCAGTCGCGCACATGGACGGTCTTGGCGGCTATTATATATCGCTCGCGCCTGGCGATACGAGCAGCAAGGTGTGCGTCCCTTCGCCTTCGAGATGATTGCTCCTAGTACGCTCGTTCTCGCTCTCTGTGTACTGGTGGTGGGCACACCCGTCCGTCGAAGCCTGGAGGTACACGAGACTCGAGATGCGATTCCCGCTGGCTTTGCTCTGCAGGGTGCTGCCGATCCTGATACTGTGCTGAACCTGCGTCTTGGTCTTGCGAGCAGCGATGCGAATGGGCTGATCGAGGCACTTTACGACGTCAGCTCGCCCAGCAGCACGAACTATGGTCAGCACCTGTCGAAGGCAGAGGTGGGCTTTTGGACAGGCACAGCGACTGATATATTGACATTGCACATTGAACCAGGTTGACCAATACATCGCACCAAAGCCGGAAACTCTTGCCGCGGTGACCGAGTGGCTCACCGAGAACAGCGTGACGGCGACTACGCTCTCTTCTGCAGGCGATTGGCTTGCGATCTCTGTGCCTGTCGCGCAGGCAAACACGATGCTCGGTGCGGAGTTTGCCGTGTATGTAGATCAAAGCAGTGGCGAGCAGCTCGTACGCACGCTCGCGTATTCGATTCCCACGGACTTGAAGGGCCACCTCGATCTCGTACACCCGACGACTACGTACGTGCGCACCTTAGGCTTAGCGGAGATGGAGCGAGCTCATGATAGGGTCGTGTGGCTGGTGCAGGTTCGCGGCGTCGGGAAACGCGAAGCTGCCTCTGCAGGCGACGTTGTATTCGAGCAGTAAGAAGCGCGCGGCGGAGGCCAATTCCGCATGCAGTGACTACGTTGAGCCGGCATGTCTCGAGTCGCTCTATGGGATACCCACGACGCCTGCGACGGATTCGTCCAACTATATCGTCGTAACTGGGTACGACGATGAATATCCCAGCACGACCGATCTCCAGGTGGGCGCTTCTGCGTGCGGAATTGGCGCGTGTTCATTGTGGATGATGCCAGAACTTCCTGGAAAACTACCGCACGGACATATCGAGCTCGACGACGTACACCGTTGTGGAGCTAGATGACGGGAGCTATGACCCGAGCGATCCTGGAGATGAGGCCGTATGTATGCACTCTTATTGGACCCGGGTAGCATTGACATTGTTGTTGGCACCGTAGGACCTCGACATACAGTACACGGTTGGACTCGCGACTGATGTCCCTGTGACCTTCATCTCCGTCGGCGAGTCGGCGAACGATGGGGTGTATGGGTTCTTGGACACTGCGAACTACATCCTCGATCTGAGCAATCCGCCGTCAGTGATGACGACCAGCTATGGCTCTAACGAGGAGTATATCTCGAGCAGTGTTGCGAAGTACGTGCAAGTTGTGTCGTTGTGAACGCCAGCTGACGCGACATGTTCGTGATGACCATAGCAAGCTCTGCATTGCATATGCTTCTCTGGGTGCGATCGGCGTTTCCGTTCTGTTCGCGTCGGGAGATGGAGGCGTGTCAGGCTCCCAGAGTGAGTCCTGCACGGACTTCGTCCCCACTTTCCCGTCGGGATGTCCTTAGTACGCCATGCATCCACTTTTTCACACCTTGAATTTCAACTGATATCCGCAGTGTGACGTCCGTCGGCGCAACAACGGGCACAGACCCTGAGACTGCCGCATCCTTCTCCGCTGGCGGGTTCTCCAACATCTTCGCTCGCCCCTCCTTCCAAGACACCGCCGTCTCCTCTTACCTCACCTACCTCGGGAGCACGTACAGCGGGATGTACAACACGTCGGGGCGCGCGTACCCGGACGTGTCCACGCAGGGCGAGGACTTCATCATCGGATACGAGGGCGATTTCTACGCGGTATCGGGCACGAGCTGCGCGAGCCCGACGTTTGCGAGTGTCATTGCGTTGCTGAATGATAGGCTGTTGGCGGCGGGGAAGAGCACGCTGGGGTGGCTGAACCCGTTTTTGTATTCGACGGGCGCGTCGGCGTTGACGGATATCACGTCGGGAGATAACCCGGGATGCGATACGAATGGGTTCTCGGCGACCACCGGGTGGGACCCGGTGAGTATATGGCGTCTTTCTTTTGGTAAGCCTTGGCCGGTGCTGATTGTGTCGGCTTCAGGTCACAGGCCTGGGAACGCCGATCTTTGACTCTCTCCTGACTGCTGTTGGACTGTAGTATCAAGCTTCGCTAAGGGACAAAACTTGTATGAGAGGACAGTTGGGCCGGGTACATGCTGAAACGAATGAATGAGCGATCACGAAGTTCTAGACCAGTGCGATCCGAGAGCAATATTGAGACCTTGTCGATCGTTGGCGCGAAAGAACAGCTAATGATGGTACGTGGACTGGCCGAGATCCCCGCCGGCTGCCTTGAGAGGTTTAATGCTGTCTCGTGCAATCGTGCGACAAGAAGTCGCGTCGCGGACAGAGTGCAAGCGACCTATCGCATAGCCGTAATCGACGAGTGTGCCAGACTGCACCCGCGTCGGGGGTGGACGTGCAAGCCTTTGGTTGGTCCAAGACTTAAAGCTTGAGGCCTTTCTGCATACGGTGAAATAATTGTTGAGTGAATTGTGAGCTGTACCGAGGCTCTCTACTGTAATACCGTTTACGGCTCGCAAGTTCATGGATGTTGGTGCAATCTATAGTGAGATGTCGCTTGATCAACTGCACGCGGAAACTGGCGAAAATGAAATAGGCCTCGTCCTCTCTGTTCATATGACTTGCCAAGTGTTTCCCCCGCGGCTTGGTATTACGTGCCCCGACTCCTTGTTCTTGGCGAGATGTCGTCGTGGTATGGAGAAGATGCAACATGTCGCAGCCAGAGTGCGAATTTTTCGAGGTCGAACGTTTACGACGCGCAAAAAGCGGAAGAACCTTCGGCCGTAGTCTGTTCGAGAAATATGGAGGCGTACCGCGGCGATCACGAAGATCCTGGGGAGTGCCTTTCGTCAAGTGACTCGGTTAAGAGTAAATTTGAGCGGTCTTTGCATTTCCCTGGGTGCTGCTAGCGCTGATGGCCATGATACAGTGAGGGGTTATGCGATGTGCTCGAGCAGGATGGAGGAGAATGCACAATATTGTATAAAGGAAAATGGCTGCTCAAGTGGGGGATGATCGAGATAGAGATGTACGCACGATCACCATTGATGGCCGAATAGGACTCCGCGCGACGCTTGCGGCCCTGGATTCTGATGCGCGCGGCCCGGACGTCTGTCAGCATCCTTCTTCTTGCTCGCCACCCTCTTCTGCTGATACGGTACTTTATGGTCACCTCGTCACACGGCTAACATGGTAGCAAGTGTATTCCAAGTTTTGATGGTATCCGCGCCACCGTATGCGTGTGTCCCGCTTCTCGACAGATCGTGCCACCGCCGTGGAAGAACAGAGCAAGTGAGACGGGTTTACGACAGCCCTGGCCCTGGGGACGTGTCAAATGTTGTGTACGATGAATCACGCGCCACGTCGCGTCCGTTAAATTTTGCGTGCCAGTGCTATTACTAGCGTCGCTCTAGCCTCGAACAAGCATGATCACCTCAGGAGATCAGGTCCGGGGCCCCGCACTCAGGATATCCACCCTGATTCTGTCGTCGAATCTGCACGGTTGCCGTCGCCAGCTAACGTAGGCATTCGCGAAGCCCGCTGTCACGGTGAGCCGCAGGGATCTCTTCCAATTGTGCGAAGTCTGAAATCTGACTACGCCCTCGGTGAGTACCCCGGGTGGCTCGGAACTGCCCAGCAGTAAGGCATCTCATGGGCGCGCCGGTCACCATGCGACACGCCGCACCGCAGGCCAAACGCATTTTCCTCTTCCTCGGCTGTTTTCATGCCATCAGCTAGCGCCGCCCCCGGGACCTTCCCTATTTATTATAATGCACTTAGTGACCGAGCACGGCGCACACCCCGCTCCTTCGCTCGTTCTGCTATTAGACCTTCCCACTGCATCGTGCATGTAGGTAGACTCCGCACGCACGAGCATGATGGTGGCGGTGACCCCGGATAATCTGCATGCGAGCTTGGGCGGGCTCATTATTGGTGGGCTGGCCGCGACGGCGTGAGTGGTGCTCCCTCTTTTCTTGCTGTCGGAAGATTTATCTCAAGGTGTGTGCAGGCTGTCTGGTGTCGTGGCCATGCAGACTGTCCTTTATTTCAGGCTGTTTGAGAAGGACCATCTCGTTCTCAAGCTATGGGTAAGTGTTTATCCTAATTGTGATTGTGGAGTGCTTCTGATGGCTTGAGGTAGGTCGGAAGCATCTGGTGAGGGCGATGCTTGGCTGGGTGTCGGCGGTCTGACGTATAATTTTTTGCGCAGCATCCTGGACATCGTACATACGTGCTTAGTGTGGGCTGCCGACTGGCAATACTGCGTCGATGGTTTCGGGAGCGAGGACATCACTGACCACGTCTTTTGGTAAGTGCTTCTGACCGCATACTTTGCTGTGCTGGCTCATTAGTGGGACTTCGTAGGAGTGCTGGGGTACGTGCCGCCACATTCTTTCATAGCGCCGCGCATGAATAACTCGCATGTATGCGCAGCTAACAATAGCGTTCACTGTGCGTCCGCCTGTTTGCTTTTTTCGTGACGTTGTGCTGAGCGTTGCGGCCAGGCGATCACCACGATCCTCGTCCACCTGTGAGCGATGTCGTCTCTGAAATTTGCTACGTTGCGAATCGCAGGCTCTGTGACAGGTTCTTCTCGTACCGCTTGTTTAGACGTGAGTCAGCATTGGCCGTGACTGGGCGCTGGCGCTGCGTGACTCAGTGTATGCGCATATAGTCAGCAAGGGCAACTATATCATTACGGCGCCGATGGTGAGGATATTTTGCTCGTCTTCAGACATAGCCGATACTCAATGTGTCTTCGTAGGTTATCTTGGCGACCTTTCGGCTGGGTAGGTTGCGATTGAATGACTGGGATTATGGATCTAACTGTTGACGCGTATTCTTAATGTTGATAGCATCTGCAGTTGGTGAGTACCCGCTGAGGTTCATCAATCAGGTGCTGTATTCATTTGGTTCCCAGCCACATCGGCAGAGTTGTATGAATCTTTTTTTGTCATTCCTACGATTCTCCTGACATTGCTTTTTGCATTCTAGAATCCGCCTCGGGAGTTTCTCCGAGTTCTACATGCACTACCGAGTACGCTTCTTTCATCTCTCCATCCAACTCTGTTAATGCAGTCTATCTCCCGCAGTGGCTGTTTACCCTCGGCCTCGTGCTCTCGACTGCCCTAGACATCATGATCACGACGAGCCTCTGCGCACTGCTCCGGCGGAGCAGGCGGGGCGGGAGCGGAAGGTACGGTTTCAACCTCGAGCTTACCCTACCAATGGCGCGTGGCTGAGCTGAAATTGGCGCAGGTTAGACCAGATCTTGAACTCGATGACGCTGTATACGATAGAGAATGGGCTTGTGACTTCGTGAGTGTTGTGTTCACTTTGGTTGGAGGGTTTGAGAGGGGGTTGGGCTGATGGTGCGATGGGTAGGGTGACGACGACGCTGTCGCTTATCTTTGTGAGTCGGATGTGGATCGGCGGAGATGGTGCTGATAGGGACTGTTGTGCAGTGGCTCGTCAAACCGCATGCGCTCATCTACCTCGGGCTGCATTTTACGATTAGCAAGCGTACGTTCCTTGCATCCTTCTCTTACTCTTTCGCACGACTGACGGACGGGCTTGGCCAGTATATGCAAATTCGTTCCTCGCATCGTGAGTGCCCTTCATGCATTCATGGGTCAGGTGTTGTGGCGACTGACGTGAGTTGCCCAGGATGAATGCACGTAAGCTCTTGCGAGCACAAAACCCGTCGTCAGGGTCCTCCGGACATCGGCTGCCCACGATCCTCTCCAACGTTCGGTTTTCACACAGACCGCCGGTGAGTAAAGTCACTCCATTCTCAGGCACGTCAGCTCATTTGCGTGATACGCGCAGCCGGAGACGGTCGACCTCACCGGTACCAAGGTAATTGTTTGCGCTGGTTGAGTCGATGGGTGTGCTGATGGGATGACGTGCATGTGAACAGGTGCAGATCACGGTGGACCGGACGGTGGATTACGCGTCGGACGACCCGATCCCGCTCGCGCAGACGCACCGCGTACACGAGGAAGACGACGTCAAGGCGGGCCCGGTGAAAATTGTCTGAGGGCGCTCCAGCTCCGGATCCAAATGCCAACCTCGAAGCCGACGCGAGCTCCTTGCTGGGCGTATACATTCGTTCAGAATATGCGACTGAAATATGTAGATAAGTATGTCAATATGGTACCGATCTAGCTCCGCATACAAGGATATACTGTATGCCGATTGATAATGGTTTGTGCGACTGTGAGAGTGCCATGTTGATCGACGTCGCCATCATTCGCAAATTTGAAGACGCGCGCTCGCGTCCGCCACCACCGCGACGCCGCACACCACCACAGCCAGCTAACACTGCATCGACCCGCTCGCGTGCACTGAGCTTGTTCGTCGTGCATGATCTCGTCGTGGGCGGCTGCGTCCGCGCGGGGCGTGCTGGGACGAGCACAGCGGTCGAGCATACACGTACGCGTGCCCGCCGTCGGTCACATTGCCGCGGAATGTCGAGCCCATGTGCGCATCGATGGCACTGGCGTATCTGATTGCAGCGCCTGGCGCCGTCTGCACACGTCCGCTGCTCCTTTGTTTCGACCCACACGCTCACTAGGGGCTGCCTCCCGGACCCGTGATCTCATTCCAAGTGCAAGTCACAGGACGCTCAGACTGCCCGAGGCCGTTATACGCGTACGCCCCTACTGCTCGTTCCACGCTGCCCTTGATCCTGGATACACCACCATGTCCTCCGCTGCGGACCCCAACAATGTCGATTATCGTCTGCCGACGAACGTCAAACCGACGCACTATGACCTCACCGTGCGCACGGACCTCCCCGCCGCGCGCTTCGACGGTGTCGTGAAGATCAGGTACGTGGTGCCTATCCTGTGTCCGCCCGCCCACACCACAGATCTCGAAATCGCTGACATCGCGATATTTCCGTGCGCCAGCCTGGATGTGAAGGAGGAGACATCGTCGATCGTCCTCAATACCAAGGAGCTCAAGCTCAGTGGCGTCTCGCTTTCGTGGGGAAGCCCCCGCGCGGAGATGGCGCCCAAGGATATGGCGTTCGATACTGCGATGGAGAGGGGGATATTGACGTTTCCTAGCAAGCTACCGAAAGGCGCGAAAGCGCAGCTTAGGATTGCATTTGAAGGCGAGCTTACGGGCGCGATGATGGGATATTACAAGTCGGTTGGAGGCGCAGATGGGAAGGAGGTGTATGCGCTGACGCAGTTCGAGGTGCGCCTGATGCGTTCAGTTCTACGTTAGGAGAGGATGTGCTGATCGTGCGAACCAGCCTACCGCCGCGCGCAAGGCGTTCCCGTGCTGGGACGAGCCCCTGCTCAAGGCGACCTTCGCGGTCACGCTCATCTCGCGCGCAGACACGGTCGCCCTGAGCAACATGTCCGCCAAGTCTGAGTCGGTGTACGAGCCTGGCGCAGACGACAAGGACGGCACCGTCGCGTGGCTCGCGGAGAAACTTGCGGCTCTGACGATCACGGAGAAAGATGCGCAGGCGGATAAGTGGAAGATCACCAAGTTCGAGACGAGCCCACCGGTGAGTGATGTGTGCTTGCAGGTCGCTTGAGAGGGTGGGCTGAGCGTGCTCTGGCGTTGTGTGCCTAGATGTCGACGTATTTGGTCGCGTTTGCGAATGGCCGGTTCAAGTACCTGGAGGACTCATACACCAGTCCACTCAGCGGGAAGACGCGCCCTTTGCGTGTCTACGGTAAGTACATTCGTATCAGCAGGGTTGCTACATAACTAAAATTGGGAGGGTAGCGACGGAGGAAATCATCGGCAAAGCTGCGTTCGGGCTCGAGGTCAAGAAGAAGGTTCTCCCGCTCTACGAAAAGGTGTTCGATATTGAGTATCCGCTGCCGAAGCTCGACACGCTCGTTGCGCACGACTACGATGCTGGTGCGCTCGGCTCACTTATCATAATAGTACTACTTACAGACGGCACGGCGCAGGCGCAATGGAGAACTGGGTACGTTGCTGATCTTGGATTGGGTGTGAGCTGTGGTGTTAAAGTGAGATGAATATTAGGGCTTGATTACGGGGCGGACGACAGCGTACCTGCTTGATCCCAAGTCGGGCGACCTGCAGACGAAGAAGGCGATCGCGAGCACGCAGTGCCACGAGGTCGCGCATATGTGGTGTGTACGCATGCCCCTTGCTGGTGAGATCGGGGAGTGCTGATGACGGCCAGGTTCGGAGATATCACGACGATGGCATGGTGGGACAACTTGTATTTGAATGAAGGTGAGAGTGGAACGTTTACGCTTTTGAGGGGAAAAATGGTTGATGGCGTGATGTAGGTTTTGCGACTCTGGTGAGCAGATCTCGGGTACTTTTGGGTGAGCCTCTCAATAACGACGGTCTTATGTAGATGGGCGAGGTTATTATCCTTGGTGAGCCTGCTTCCGTATGCCCTGACTCGGCGTTTTAACAAAGGCTATAGACAAGTAAGCCACGAGCAAAGTCCAGATATTCATATAGCACATGTTCACCACTAAACAAGGATCTTTCCGGAGTGGAAGTTGCACTCGGCGTTCATCTCTAATCACCTCGTGTATGCAATGGGTGTAGATGCCAAATTGTCTTCACACCCCATCGAAGTCGAATGTCCGGATGCGAACATGGTCAACCAGGTATGCATATCGAATTTTCGTTGTACGGTGTTTTGATAAGGTGGCACTCGTACCGGTAGATTTTCGATGGACTCTCGTACTCCAAGGCTGCTTCAGGTGATCATTATCAACACTACGACTGTGAGAGAACGCTTTTCTGATGTACGCTCTGTACAGTGCTACGCATGCTCTCGAATTACGTCGGCGAGGATCGCTTCCTCAAGGGCGTGTCGATCTACCTCAAGAAGCATCTTTTCGCGAACAGTGTCACGACGGACCTCTGGGAGGGCATCCAGACTGCGACGGGTAAGTGCGCGAGCGGTTTCGTGGCCGTCACTTACAAGACTAAATGTACCATGCAGGTCTGGACATCCCAAAGATGATGGATGCTTGGGTCAAGAAGGTGAGTGTTAGGGGGGGTTCCGGTGGAGTGTGGGCATTAGCTGAGTAGGTGTGGTGATAGATGGGCTATCCGGTCATAACTGTCAAAGAGTTAGATGGTGGGATTCAGATCCGCCAGGATCGTTTCCTCGAGACGGGGCCCTCGGAGGCGAAGGACAATGAGACTCTCTGGTGTGTCCTCCTTCGAAAGTCCTTTCACGAGCATACTGACTTATTCTCCGTAGGACCATCCCTTTGAGCCTCTTGACCGTGACCAAGACGGGTGAAGTGACCGTAAATAAGGATGCCGTCCTCAACGAGCGCGAAAGGTTTATCCCGCTCGACGTCAGCCAGCCTTTCAAGCTGAACGCGGGGACAGTCAGCTTTTGTATGTCACACACTCTACTCCCTGTCTTGTGCAGAGCTCATCTTGTCGTCTATACAGGCCGTGTGCTTTACTCTCCGGAACGGCTCGTCAAGATCGGCCAGGAGGCGGTCAAGACGCCGTCGCCGCTATCGATCGAGGACCGTATGGGCCTCGTCGACGACGCGCTCGCGCTTGCCAAGGCAGGGTTCACGAAAGTCAGCAGCGCGCTTTCCCTCATCGACGTGTTTCGCCACGAGCAGGAATGTGAGTGTTTTGAGCGATTGTTTGTTCCGGTGCGGGACGGGCGTTGATGCGTGTGGAACAGACTTGGTGTGGAGCAGTATTGCTGCAAACCTTACGTTGCTTAGGTCAGTATGGTGGGAGCATGAGAACATTGTGGAGAATGTGCAGAAGCTCCGCAGGGTACGTATTTTTGAAGCTGAAGCGTCCGGATACTCAAATAACCACATCGTGAATAGACACTGCTCGGCCCTATCGTAGAGCGCCTTGGCTACAAGTATTCAGACTCAGATTCGGCAGACACGCGCGAGCTACGCACGCTCGCGATCTCGCAGGCAGCGGGAGCACAGCATCCAAGGTCGGAGTCTTTGCGTACTTGTTGATCGATTGCGCGCTGATGCAGAGTTTTGTTCAGCGTTGTAAAGGAGTTGCGTGAGCGCTTTGCACATTATATGAAGACGGGCGATGACTCGAACATCCCGTCGGAGCTCGAGCGTCAGGTCTATAGCACGGTACGCCTCTCATGCCCATTATTACTGCGAGGCCCTCTGTTCACGGTGGATCCAGGCTGTGTACCACGGCGGTCGTGCGGAGTGGGACGCTGTCCAGGCAGTTCTGAAGAAGCCAAAGAACCCGACGACCGCGGTCGCAGCGATGCTAGCGATGGGTAATACGCAGGATTTGCAGCTTGCGCAGGAGACGTTTGATTATATGATGAAGGAGGCGAGGGACCAGGATGTTATGTACTTCTTCGTGGGGTTGTCGAGAAACGACAAGACGAGGAGGTTCTTGGCGAAGGCGTTTAAGGATAACTACGATGCGGTGCGTTGAGCGTTTGTTGACTTGGATCGGGTTGTTGATGTCTCTTTTTTTGTAGTTGTACAAGCGGTTGGAGGGGAACTTTAGCATGCAGAACCTCGTCAAAGTGAGTGTTCGGTGGCTTTATGTGTTGTTGTCACTAAACGGTTCGCGTCCTTCGCAGTTCTCGTTTAGGACACTCTCAACGGACACTGACTACGAGGAGACGGCTGAGTTCTTCAAGGTAAGCGCCTGAGAGCTACATTGAACATTCCTGCGGTTGCTCATGGTCTTCATGTACAGGGTAAAGACACCTCGAAGTACGACATGGCGCTGAAGCAGACTCTGGAGGACATCGCGTCGAAGGCATCGTGGATCAAAGTGAGTGCGACGTCGTGTGTGTTGGAAAATGGGTACTGATGTAGAGCAGCGATCGACGACGGATATTCAGCAATGGTTCAAGGAAAAGAATGGCGGAGCGAGCCTATGAGGGTTAGTCGCTATCGTCAGAAGGAGGGGTTGTTAGGAAGGAGGAGGTCGAGCAAGCGCCGGGGGAGGGTATGTTCAACGGACACGAAGCATATTGTGCTAATTAGTATTGTATAACTGACCATTTGGTTATCGATTCCTGAAAGACCGTATCACCACGTTCGTCCCAGGGAAAGCTTGTCGTTCATCATACGATGAGCTTTATGCCGCTGACTGCGATCGATTAATACTCCAGTCACCGCGGGATGACACACTACAGAGAATTGTGCGGGACGATGCAGCAGGACCGATGCGCTGATAGACGCTTGGTGATGCCGGATGCGTCTGTACACGACTTTTCAGCCACAACCGCGACGGCCCCCAATCTAGCGGCCGTTCGACGTTTCAAATTTCAATGTTCAGCTTGCAATGCACCTGGAGAACTAGGTCCGTCATACAACACATGCGGCCGCAGCCTTGCAGCTAGCGATTGCGCGCTTCACGTTAGCATGTGCAGGTCGTCTACGCTGCAGCACATGGACGCCTCGATATCGTCACGGGTAACCTCGGTGCCGCCCAAGAGGCGCGCTGCTGACTCGACTGTGCGGATGCGCATGGTTCAGAGTCTCTGGATGCGCCATCCTATAGGGAGCACGATGCACGAGAAGCCATCGCGTACTGCTGTGTTATTCTATCGTCCACTCTTCTCGACTCACCATGGCATCTGCTGTTGCTGCCCAGGCCGCTGGTCATCGCCTTCCGACTAACGTTTTGCCTGTCCATTATGACTTGACGATCGTTACTGACCTTCATAAATGCACGTTCGACGGAATCGTTAAGATCAGGTGAGCCATTGAGTTCGCTTGCCCAATCTATGAAGCCCGCTGATCGCTATCCTTCGCGTCTGACAGCTTGGACGTCAAGGAAGAGACGAATAAGATTGTGCTTAACACCAGGGACCTCAAGCTCACCCAGGTCACAGTGTATTTGAACGACGCGGATATCGAGATGAGACCGGTGGACATGTCCTTCGATAAGACCGCGGAGCTCGTCACCTTCTCATTACCGGAGTCGCTCCCGAGGGGTTCCAAAGCCCAGCTCGAGATTATTTTTGAGGCCCAGCTCACAGATATCATGCGAGGATACTATCGCTCCCGTGGAGGGACGGATGACAAGGAAATCTACAGTATTACGCAGTTCGAGGTATAACAATCCCACTCGTCGGGGCACAAGCCAATCTGACGCTTCCATTTTCAGCCTATTTCTGCGCGAAGAGCCTTCCCTTGCTGCGATGAGCCCCTTCTGAAGGCGACGTTTGCGATCCAGCTCGTTTCTCGCGCCGATACAGTAAATCTGAGCAACATGCCCGTAAAATCCGAAGTGATCTACGAGCCCAGCTCCAATATTGTGCCAGAACAGGTGTCTGGGTGGCTTACGAGCAAATTGTCTTCCCTCATGAGCGGTGAGGCTGGCGCCGACAAATGGAAGGTCACGCAATTCGAGGCTACCCCAAAGGTAAGCTCGCTGAGGTAACATAAGGTCGTTCTTTTGTTCATTTCATACAGGTCTCCACGTATCTCATTGCCTATGCGAACGGCCACTTCAAGCACCTCGAAGATTCGTACACGAGTCCTCTCAGCGGTAAGGTGCGCCCTCTGCGTATTTACGTTATGTGCGCACATAGATTTCGCGTCCCGAGGTTTGAGACCAGGAATGATACATAGCAACGGAGGAGATCATCGATAAGACAGCGTATGCGCTTGAGGTCACGAAGAAGGTGCTGCCGTTGTACGAGAAGGTATTCGATATCGAGTATCCGCTGCCGAAGTTGGACACTCTAGTCGCTCACGACCTTGATGCCGGTAAGTGAATCATGGCATGCATAGCTGAGCTAATACTCACTGCTCTGATGAGCCAGGCGCAATGGAAAATTGGGTGCGTCGGCCCTCGTGCGTTGTGGTGGATGGTCCTGACTTGACATTGATGACCAGGGTTTGATCACTGGGCGGAAGACGTCTTACTTGCTTGATCCTAAATCGGGCAACCTACAAGTCAAGAAGCGGATCGCGGCTGATCAGTGCCATGAGATCGCTCATATGTGGTACGTGCGCTCGACAGTCGTCGGCTTTGCTTGTTCGAGGAGGTTGCTGACAATCTTGCTTTTATAGGTTCGGAAATATCACCACCATGGCGTGGTGGGATAACTTGTATCTCAACGAAGGTGAGAGTCTCCCCCCGTAGTGGCAGTTGACGTGCAGCCAACGGACCTGTAATCCGTAATGTACAGGATTTGCCACTCTTGTAAGCAGCTCACGATGTACATTGTGAGAGAAGATGGGCTATTGACACTGCGTAGATGGGTGAAGTCGTCATTCCTAGTCAGTCGGCCCTAGTAAGTCGGCACTGATGACATTTCTCATATCATGCTAGACTAACGATTGCCTATAGGCAAGTAAGCTGTAACCGCCAAACTGTAAGGAGATGCCTCTTATTGCTATTGTTATCATGCTTTGTTAGGCTATTTCCCGAGTGGAAACTCCCATCGGCTTTCATCGCGGAGCACATAACGGCTGCGATGGCCATCGATTCCAAATTGTCTTCTCATCCCATCGAAGTCGACTGTCCAGATGCCAATATGGTCGGCCAGGTGTGTTTGTAGTACTTTGCCACTACATAAGAGTTTCGTTTTTCAAGTTGTATCCTTGCCAGATATTTGACAGGCTCTCGTACTCCAAGGCCGCTTCTGGTGAGCTTTCGTGTCTAAAAGACTGTCTTTCATAGATGAGCCTGACTTCCTTCAGTGCTTCGAATGCTGTCAGACTATGTCGGTGAGGAGCGCTTCCTCAAGGGAGTGTCCATCTACCTGAAGAAGCACCTGTTCGCGAACAGTGTCACTACGGACCTCTGGGAGGGTATCAGCGAAGCAACTGGTGAGTCTATGCACGATCACGGGAGATGCACGATTGAACCTTGAGGGCAGGTCTCGACATCCCGAAGGTGATGGATGACTGGATCAAGACGGTAGGTGTCTGGCGGCAAAATTGCGCGAAGTTCGGGCTGAATGTTGATATTTTGATTCATATTCAGAAAGGATTTCCTGTGCTTACAGTCAAGGAGATTGTTGGTGGCATTCTTGTTCGCCAGGATCGCTTCCTTGAGACAGGTCCTGCAGAACATCAAGAGAATGGGACCATATGGCACGTCACTGTTTACTTCAGAAGGGCAATGGGCTGACATAAAAGTTCACCAGGACTGTCCCTCTGAGCATTCTGACCGTGTCTGAGGAGCGAGAAGTTAAGGTGGACAAGGCTGCGATCCTGGACGAACGAGAGAAGATGATCGCTCTCGACGTAACGCGAACGTTCAAGCTGAATGCAGGGACTGTTAGCTTCTGTGAGCATGGCGCTGCTCTATCTACGACCACGTTTCATGACACCGCGGTAATCCACCAGGCCGCATATTGTATACTCCTGAGCGGTTGGTCAAGATTGGGAGGGAGGCCGGCAAGACGGTGTCGATGTTCTCAATCGAGGACCGCATGGGCCTGGTGGACGACGCCTTTGCTCTTGCAAAGGCTGGTTATTCCACCGTAGGTGGTGCGCTGTCCCTCGTGGAGAATCTTCGCAACGAGCAGGAATGTGAGTAGATCAGTTTTGACCCTGTGAAGGTGACGGGAGGTGACGACGATATGGACTAGATATGGTATGGCAGATCATTGCGGAGGGCCTCGCGCAGCTTCGTTCGGTTTGGTGGGAACATGAGGACGTTGTGGAGAACATCCAGCGGATCTGTCGCGTGAGCGCGCTTCACATTGGTACCGATGCTTGTGTTCATCGCTCTGGCCCGTGCTAGGAACTCTTCGGACCCATCGTTGAGCGTGTCGGCTTCGAATATTCCGACAACGACTCTGCGGACACTCGAGAATTACGCACGCTGGCAATAACACATGCAGCAGATGCCGAACACCCTGCGTGGGTGGACCTAACCATCTTGTTATCATTGTTGTCGCTGATGCTCGATTTAGTGTGGTAAAGGAATTGAAGGAACGCTTTGCGCATTACTTGAAGACAGGAGACGACTCAAGCATCCCGTCCGAGCTCGAACGGGCGATATTCACCACGGTGCGCCTTTCGTGGCTTGTTGTCGTTATTGTTTCCTGATTATATTTGTAGGCGGTGTACCACGGCGGCCGAGCGGAGTGGGAGGCCGTCAAACGGATCGCAGCTAAGCCGAAGGACCCGTCGACCGGAACTGCTGCGAACCTTTCTTTGGGTAATTCGCAAGACTTGAAGCTCATTCGGGAGACGTTTGAGTATGTTATGAAGGAGGCAAGGGACCAGGATGTCGATCGGTTTGTTCAGGGGATGGCTGCAAACCCGAAGGCGAGGAGGTACCTCGTGACGGCGTTCAAGGAGAATTATGATGCGGTGCGTCTATATAAAATAGTGTCGAGCACTCTGCTGACCTTTTTGATTGGAAAGATGTATAAACGACTGGAGGGGAATTTTGCATGGCAGTTTTTGGTGCCGGTACGTTTGGGTGGCGCATGGCTGGGCTAGCACCTAACTACATGTCTACTCTCAGATGCCGTTCACCAAGCTATCCTCAGAGAAAGATTACCAAGATACCAAAGAATTCTTCACGGTCCGTAGAGTGATGTGAGGTGAACATTCTGGGAGACTAATGCAATACGCGCCTGACAGAACGTCAATACGAGCAAATATGAGATGGCGGCGCAGCAAACCGTGGAAGAGATCAAGATAAGGGCTGCGTGGGTCAAGGTGTGTGTTTCGTTGCTGCGAGTGAGAAAAACGCTAGAGGGATTGTATGTAGCGTTCGACATCCGATATTCGACAGTGGTTCGAGACTACCAGGACCGTCGGCTGATTTCTGTCAGGAGCCGTTTCGTTTCGGTTCATTGCATTCGCACTAGATTGACCTGTACTGATTTGTTGATATGCTGTTACAGAATAGTGAGTTGCTTATGGGAACGTGTATGCAAACTAGCAATATCGAATGCGGGTGTTCAGATTTGATTACGAACGGTGTGCTAGGACGGCCATCGCCGGCCTTGTCGGTAGGTCGTCGAAGCCGAATAATCTTCCAAGCGTAACCGGCAATGATCGCTTCAACGTACGATCGAGGCCCGTTCATGTCAAAAACGATGTTCGATTTTAACGATGTTCCCTACGTTGGCCGAACTTTCGCGCTGTCTCTCATGAATCTCATTGCCTGCGATATTTGCGACCGTGCGGATGGCAGTTGATGATATTTGCGCATTTACGTTCGGGAGTCTTCTTGTCTTTGATAGACAACGTGGCTGCAATCTGGATGTGTGTACTGTTGACGTCAGGCCCGAGAGACCGCTGTCAGCATTGAGTTTCTCCACTTGGACGTGACAGATTTCCGCGGCCTTGCCTAGTCCGATACCATGCTCTTATAACCAGCCGTGCGTGTTCGAGTGCGAAGCAGTAGCAGAGAACTCGAACATCCCCTCCCACCTCTCCTCCCTCTCTGGTGTAAAAAGTAAGGCTATGGCATCCCCCTCCACTTTGCCCACTTCGCTCGACGCTGTCACTCCTCGTGCTGAATATAACCCGGCGCACATGTCTCGCGACCATGGCAATGCATGTGGTTCTGTGTGTTTGACCTCGGAAGGTTCGTCACAGCCCACAGCCCACACTTGAACAGCACGTCTTCGTTATAGAGACTCACCACCGCATATAGCGATCACATACGGTCTGTTGACTCCGCGTGGTGATTCTGTAATATCGTGCAGCAAGGCGAGTTCTTGTGCTCGGCAATGAGACTGAACTTGATAGTATATGCTATAGGAGACAGGCCCTGCGGCCACTTTTCTTACAGTATCCAATCCGAACGAAAATGAATCTGCGCTCCTGTGCGCTCCTGTACGTAAGTAGCTCATGTATGCGTTGAGTTGGCATACAACCGATGCTTACAGCTCGCTGAAGTGCCACTCTCCGAATATTCGAACATTACTGAGACGTTCTTCTCGTCCACGCGTACCGTAGTTGTTTGCAAGCCCTCCTCCATGTCTATCCGCCGCCTGGCGTCAAATATGCCAGCACTGCAGGGCAAGGTTGAACTCCCTCCAATTCCCTCGTTCTCGCCCGCATCGGGACGTTCGCGCACCCCTAGTTCTGGTTCTGGCGTTCTTGCTACCACGCTTCCGCCATCTCCTTTCTCCTTCAGGCGGCCCTCTCTAGTGTGGTCAGGGAAAGAGAAAAATAGCACGTCACCTGTCACACCTGCAGACCAGATAATGCCCCGCATCCCGCTCGCCCCTCCGGAACTAGCACGGTCGCAAACACATAAGGCTCGGAGAGTGTCTCGTCTGCGCTCGATGTCTCGGTCATCATCTCTCCAGATGTCTCCACTGGCCTCTCCTTGCCTGCCCTTCACCCCGCTTCATTGCGAGGCGCGCTCTGGCCGAAACTCTGAATTAGGCAACAGTACTGGGAAGACTGCCTTAGAGCTCGAGACGTATGCTTCCGATGATGTACCTGTAAAGATTTGGGAAAGCGCCGGGGCCCAAAAACATAAGTCAATCAAGTCGGAAGTTCTGAAGAAAGTCCGAGAAGGACGAAGGTTCTCGCTGCGCGCACCCGTATCCGCAAGCTGCCCCAACTCCTTGGCCCGTCCGCAGGCTTCGCGTGTCTCTCTTCCTCGTCGGCTCTCATATAACATGTATCCTAGCATAAGCAACGCTGCGGCGAAAAGCCCTCTGAAAGCCGAAGTACGCTTGGCATCCCCTGCGATCATACGCTCTGTTCTCCTGTCTTCGATGAAAAACAAAGAAGGTGTCGCGTTGGGTAGCCCGGGAGGCACGCTTGGGACACCTATGTGCTCGCCTACGATGGTGATGGATGCGGCCGCGGGATATTTCGCTGTATAATGTTGGCCTTTGATTTCGTCCACTGTCGCCTTTTTGTACAATAATTGGCCCACATAATGTGTGAATTATATAGCCCCCCGGCAAGGCAAGTCGATTACTGGAAGATCATCGAACGTATATAGGAATCATGTTGAGTGTGGCTGAATCCTGGGTCGACGCGAGTGTTGAAATTAAATTATACAGTGATCGGAATCATTGTTGATGGCAACAGTGGCTGAATTATTGTTGTATGGCCACCCCACCGCGAGCGGCTGTGGGTGGTCCCCATCGTCCGCGAACCACCATTTGTCTTTTTCTCCGCTTTTCCTGGTGTAATCATCTCATCTTCCATCTTCCTCTGTAGGCCGATCTATCAATTCGTGTAATCTGGAGACAGGTTGTGGAAGTTTACATCGTGACGGTCATGGAGGCATCTATCACGACTACAACGAGCACAAAGCCCCCAAATGTAACAATATTAATATCAAAGGTAGGTGGCAAGGCAAGTATGATTCCTTGACCTTGATCGAATGCTTTACCTGCAGGAAAAGATCATCTCGAGACAGAGACTGAGGAAGGTGCGTCCCGTACTGTGCGACATGTCACGAAGACCTTGTGGCGCTGACTACCCGTCTCCAGTATTCCTGGCTGCCAGATGTACTGAGAGTGAAGGGCAGCGTAAGTGGCATGCTTTCTCACAATTTGCGTAACGTCGAATAGACCCGGGCATGCAGATCGTCCCGCGTATCATTGGGCCCGTTCTGACCGTCACGATCTTTGCGAGCCTTGCTGCATATCTGTGGGACCGTGGCACGGACGTGGCGCTTACGAACCAGGTGGTGCCGCTCTTGTCTGTGGTGGTAAGAGTATTAGTATTTTCCATGTGGATTTTACTTGACTCTAGCTGGGCCACACAGGTTGGCTTGATCTTAGTGTTCAGGTACGTACGCGTTGTTTAGAGTAACTAAGGAGAGGCTGAAGGTGTTATGTGCTGATGTCAGGAATGGGTACGTTATGACATGTGTTCATCCTTATTCTAATCTAACGATTGATCAGCACGTCTTATGATCGTTATTACGAGGGCCGTAAGGACTTCGCGTCTATGGTCTCTCATGTACGTGTCAACTTCTTCATTCAGGCCTCACAGAGTCTCTGACAGCAGTGACTTTAGATTCGCAGCTTCTCGCGGCTTATCTGGGTGAACATAGCCGTCCCGCCCGCAGACGACAGCTCCAAGGGCAAAGGTCCACAGGCGCAACTGACCACGGCCCAGCTCCGACGACGCAAAGTCGACGCGCTCCGTCTATGCATCGCGTTTTCATACGCGGTAAAGCACTACCTGCGCGGCGAGGATGGGCTCGGCTGGGAGGACTACGCGGGCGTCATCCCTGCTTCGGTTGTGCGCCTTGCGCAGAGCGGAGGCAGCTCGCGTCGGACGTCGGCGTATGTGTCGTACGGTGCGAGTGGCGCGACCTCGCCGACGGAGAGTGAAAGCGGGCGGGAGCAGAGCCCGGCGAGAATCCTCGAAGTAGACGCGACGAAGAGGGTGAGGGTGAAGAGGAGCAAGGATAAGTTGAGGCAGCCCGGACAGAAGACGTCGAAGACGCCGTTGTTGAGCGCCCTGCATCAGACGATTGACTTCAACGAGCATCCGGAGCAGCTGTCGACGCCCCTGCCCTTGATGTAGGTCTGTTGCTTCGGGCGCTGAGTACAGTGAGTGCTTATGGATCGTTAGCATTGCACACGAGCTGTCGCGAGCAATATTCTTGTTCAAGCGGGATGGGTACTTAGAGACTGTTGGCCCTGCAGGTGAGCATCTTGCGCGGACAGCTAGTAAGGTACTGCTACTGATGACCGCATATAGGTACGAATGCCCTGAGCGCTCAGTATGCCACCCGCATTTCCGTTCACCGGTACTCGCACTGATGCCCACCCAGTGTGCAGGGTATGGTCGACATGATGACGGCGATGGAGCGCGTGGCGAACACGCCGATCCCGCGCTCATACAGCATCCACCTCAAGCAATGCGTGACGCTCTACCTATTCGTGCTCCCGTTCACGCTCATCAAGGAGCTCGGGTGGGGCATGGTACCCATCGTCACCGTCGTCGCATTCACGCTTATGGGCATCGAGGGTATCGCGGATGAGATCGAGATGCCATTTGGGTTGGGTAAATCGGATTTGCCGCTGGGTAAGTAGGAGTGTGCGTTTGGTGTTGCATGCGCTGATGAGGTTTCGGTTGTAGACCGCTATTGTGAAGACTTGAAAGAAGAGATTGAGTTCGTGCAGTTGCTGTGCTTTTCCCCTCCACTTTCTGATATCTATTGGTTGCAGGTATATTGTTGAGCGGCTGCCGGAGGGAGGACAAGGCATGTACGGCATCGATGATGGTGAAGGAGATGACTGATATGGAGAGAACGGAGATTTTTCACGATACCGCATGGAAGGATACCCCTTCATACCCGCATATTTCACGAATTTTTCACTTTCACACCCAGTTTTTGTTGTACATTGCACGATTGCCGGAAAGTGTACGAAATCAACAGGACTATGACCATAGCGAGACGGATCATCATCTATGCAAACTCTGGCGAGCAGAACTCTCCCGGACCGTATGGCTGGGAGCACAGAGGCATTATTGAGCACGGCGAGTGAATGGTAAAGGTGAATGGAATCTACCTTGGACGAGAGGGCGGTCAGGCCAGCAGAGTTCTCGCTCGTATGCCGGCCGCCCTGTGGGCCGGACTTTGGCTTCTGGCCCTTGGCGAAAGCCTGCAGCACCTTCTTAGTTGTCTCGGGAGTGAGATCCTCCTGGATATGTATAGCGTGGACAGTAAGAAGCTGCGTAAGAAGGAAGTGACTGAACGACAGGGACTCACGTAGAAGTCATCGTTCACCACCATCATTGGCGCATTGCTGCACGCACCCTGGCACTCGACCTCGATAACGGTGAACTTTCCGTCCTTGGTCGTCATGCCGGGTTTGATTCCGCCAAGCGTTTGACAGACGGTATCGAGGATCTCATACGAGCCGCGCAGCATGCACGGCGTCGTCGTGCACACCTGAACAAAATTCTGGCCGATCGGTTCCCTATCGAGTGTCCGATGTTCAACGTTTAGCGGCTACGAACGGGGATTGACTATGTGGATGAATGCGCACCGGTTGAACATGGTGTAGAAGGTGGCGACTTCGTACACGCGCATGGGCGGCATCTCGAGGAGCTTCGCGACGTAATTCATGACGCTGATGCTTGTCCAGCCCTTGTTCTGGCGCTGGCCAAGGTCGAGTAGCGGGATGACGGCGGCCTTCTTGTACTGTGGCGGGTAGTGCGAGATGATCTCTTCTGCGCGTTTCATGTTCTCCGTGGAAAATTCGAACGGTATCTGTCAATATCTGCAGCGTAAGCTTGACACAGCAAGAAATATGAGCGGGAACACGCCTTAGGGTTGTTGTATGGTGTGTCCCGATGCTACAGCATCCCAGTGTGAGCTTCACGAACAGGCCCGTTGATCGAAAGGCTCTACGCACCACAAAGAGTGCGTCTGACCGTATACATGATGTGGTAGACAGAGTCCTGCGAATAGGAAGGGGGCGGAGGAGGCGCTTTGCAGCAAACATGACAACCAGAGCAGCGTGAGCGTACTGACGCTGCCGGCAGCTGCCGGCTCGACGTTTTCGGACGCCTCCCCGTTGCGCAGTGCACGTGATATAACTGCTTTGGGACTCGGGCGCTTGGAACGCTCAGCCAGTGAGCGCCAAGCAATTAAGCCACCACGATTGTCGCAGACTCTCAGCGACTCAACAACTACACCAGTGTGAATTTGCTACTACGAAAAAGGCGTTCGAGACTTGAAGCTGACGCTGAAGCTTTGCAAGCCTGAGGTCTGGATCCTGATGCGTTAAGAGTCGAGATTGCCTTAAGGACGTTATGCGACCATCAATTCAGCCGTGATGTGTGGTTTTTTGAAGGTATCATTAACAACGGCCAAGCCTAGACTACGGTACAATCAAGAGGTACGAAATGGGCTCTCAAGATGCAAATTGCGTGCGATACAGTCGCAGTCCACGCTGACAGAGAACGCTGGGCTTGTTTCAATCGACGAAAGATGACGGCAAATCGCATACGAACCTTTTGAATCGTGGCCGTACATTGTGATGGTCGCTATGTGCTCGACAGATGGGAGGCGCCTTCTGCAGTAAAAACCCGTTGATGCCATTTGCTTCGGAGTTCAAGAAGGCTTCTTTTGATCAGAGAGCTCGAGGTATCGCGATGGCGAGCGAAGCGTCGCGATCGAAGCAGAAGGCAAGAAACCAAGCTGGGCTCGCATTCGAGGGTGGCACAACACCGCCGTGAGAGCATACGAAGCGCGTTCTTGGTCAAGGTCGCAGTTCGCATTCGCTAAGACTGCGGAACTTCACCGCCAATCCTGGATGGAGCAACCGAAGAGCACCAGCCAGCTGGGCACTGCGGATCTCGTGGTTGAAGTCTTCGCGTTGCCTTGCCTTGATTGCGATGGAAGGCGGCATCATGCAGCCCGTCCGCGAACCTGCTCAGTCAGCCCTCGGCCAGACGTTCGCGAACGCGTGCCATTGACTTGGATTCTGCTACTGCGAATTGATGTCGCAAGAGATACCGGGCGACCGAGGAAATGCATATAGGCCAATGAAAGGATCAGCTAACGGTGATCGAGTGGGCTGGAGGGCGGCGCATTGACCGCGAGAGAGCGAGAGATGACTGGCGAGAACGCCCACGGAGTGTTCCGCCGGCATGCGCGCATTCATGAGAACAACAGAGGACATGATAAGCAGTCGCGCAGCAAAAATGGGCGGGAAGGCTCTCACGCGATAGCCTTGGCCACAAAGGCGGAAATGCGCATGCACTAGTGCGGGCGTACGGAGTCATAAAATCGACTTCGGATGAATGTCGCGAAGTGTAGGCAGCGCGCCAACATTGACACATACGTGGACCTGCAGATGGCAGCGGAGAGGGAGGATGGCAAGGGGCGGGTCGACGGCGGTTGTTGTTTGGGTGTGGCGCGGACGGGTCTGCTGATCGCTTCTTCCCGCGCCTCGTCTTCACACTCTCCTCTCTTTCCTCCTCCCTCACCGCCGCCAGTTCGCCTTTCTGTTCTTCCTCACTGTCGCTCGCCGTCGTCCTCAAAACACTTACTCTACGCGGGCCTAGTGTCCCCCTTCTTCCCGCATCGTCCGTATATTGTTAGTGCCCGTCTCCAACGCCCGCCCGCCCGCTCCATCCTCCAGGAACATTCCTGTATCACTACCATCTACCTCTGTTCAAATGGCAACTCACGGCCCCATCAACGGCGTGAAGATTTCTCGTGAGTCTCCCATACATTCCCCGTCCATCCCTCGCGATCGGTGCGTGTGTCGACGCACGCGTCGTGGCCGGTCCCATTCGCGACATACATCAATTTTCTCTCCTGCTATCCACAACCCGCCCGCCCGTTCTGTTGTGCACATCTAATGCCCACCTGCTCCAGCTGTGGATGATCCGCGCAAGATCGTCAAGGTCGTTGCTTCCGACGGCAGGAGCGGCGACGTCAAGGACCTCGTGTACACCAACTGCAAAGTCATTGGCAATGGGTCCTTTGGCATCGTCTTCCAAGCGAAACTTCTCGACGAGACCGATGGCTCCTCTGAGATAGCTATCAAGAAGGTCTTGCAGGATAAGAGGTTCAAGGTGCGCACGCTTTTCTCTCCTGCTCCAAGACCCGCCAGGTTGTACGAGCTGTTACACGGCGTTTCCTTTGAAAGGCCCTGCTCATGTTCATTCTGCCAGAACCGTGAACTGCAAATAATGAGGCTCGTGTCACATCCCAACGTTGTCGATCTCAAAGCCTTCTTCTACTCTAATGGTGACAAGGTGAGCGTTTGGCCGTCCGACCCGCGCGTGAACGAGGCGAGACCAGTCGACTGACTCTATCGGCAAAAGAAAGACGAAGTGTACCTTAATCTTGTGCTTGAATACGTCCCCGAGACGGTATACCGCGCAAGCCGCCATTATGCAAAGCTGAAGCAGCCGATGCCGACGCTCCAAATCAAGTTGTACATGTACCAACTCCTGCGTTCACTGATGTACATTCACTCCATCGGTATATGTCACCGAGACATCAAGCCCCAGAACCTACTGCTAAATCCGGCCACCGGTATCTTGAAGCTCTGCGACTTTGGTTCCGCGAAGATCCTGGTGGCTGGCGAGCCTAACGTCAGCTACATCTGCTCGAGGTACTATCGAGCGCCAGAACTTATTTTCGGTGCGACAAACTACACGACCAATATTGGTGAGCGTCTATATCGCACGAGTGTTACGTGTCGACTGACCAAGTGCATAGACATTTGGTCGACGGGGTGCGTCATGGCAGAGTTGATGCTAGGGCAGCCGCTCTTCCCCGGAGAGAGCGGCATCGATCAATTGGTGGAGATCATCAAGGTTCTCGGAACACCGTCGAGAGAGCAGATCAAGACGATGAACCCGAACTACATGGAACACAAGTTTCCGCAGATCAAACCTCACCCCTTCTCAAAGGCAGGTTCCTTTTGCTGTGCTTATTTGACACACGACAGTGACTGAGCTTTCATTAGGTCTTCCGACCTCGTACGCCAGGCGAAGCGATCGATCTCGTTTCGAAACTGCTGGAGTACACACCCGAGGCACGCCTCAGTGCTGTAGAGGCGATGTGCCACCCTTTCTTCGATGAACTGAAACAGGATGGAGCAAAGATGCCCAATGGGAAGGAGTTTCCGCCGCTGTACAACTTTACACGAGAAGGTAAGTTTGCGCGTTTCCCGCGCCTTCTGGCATGCTTGATGTCGCCTTCCGCTCACATCCACTCTCGCTTGCAGAGCTGTCCGTGCGACCAGACCTGATTAGGCAGTTGGTGCCGCCGCATTGCGAGAAGGAGCTGGCCTCGCGCTCGATTCTCTTGGACAGTTTCAAGCCGATACCACTTGAGCAGCTGAGGATCTCCCTGGACTGACAGGCCTGGGTGCCCGGTGCATGGGACTTGTCTGTGGTTGCTGTTGTTCATGTTTCTTTCCTGCCCGAGATACACAGCTCCGGTTGCTCTTTCAATTGTCCAACTGCCATCGCCTCTATATATCTTGACTTGACCGCATTCCTCGCTGAGATGTATAAGATTGATGACATGTCATGACGGTTTCCCGCTGGGCCGGCATCTTCTTTGTCGCATAAGTTAGCGTATATTGTGATGAATTTTTGATGAACGAGACTTGCTCGTCGGCCATGCATCATGTCGTATGTCCGAATTTTCGCAGGCAATGCGGTAAATATGACTTTAGGAGAATTGCGTGATGGCGCGCACTCTTTACGCGACGCCGATCCTCCGGCGCTTAAATGTTGTGCTCGCGCGCGTGTGTCAAACTCGAACTCATTACTGGTCTTCCTCCTCCTTACCATCCACCACCACCACCTCTTCGCTGTCGCCGCACTCTGTCATGTCCTCGTCGTCGTCGACGACCACGCAGTACATGTGCGACACCATCCCACCAGCTCGCATTGTGTCAGAGTCGACATCTCGCACCTCGTCTCCCCCGCCACAATCCGCTCCTTCGCTCATGCCCTTCAACGCATCTGTCATCGACAACTCGTCGCTCCAGCTTGTAACCAAGCCGGATGTAACGCAGGCTGCTTCTTCCCAGCCTCCATCGCCGGAACAGTCTCCTGCGCGAAAGCTTTGCGTGAGGCACCAGCGAATGGCGGACGAGGGGACCAATCTTAAGCTACAGCAGGTGAGTCATCCTCCCAGGGGAGGTGAGAAACGGCTCGTGTTTGCGCGATATGCTCGGTTCGAGAGTTATGGCACGAGTCCAGATGATCGTCAGGGCCATTCTTTATCGGCTTCGTAGACACCGCGAAGTTGTGATAACGTTCGCTAACCGACTTTTCAGGCACTCGACGCTCTACCGGTTGAGGAAAGAGAAGCCGTCAACGCAGTCTGGTCCAATTTCTCCTCCTCGTCACATCCTCGGCGTTCCCTGATCCTTCAGGGCCTGCTCACGATGTGCTGCTTCTCGCAACTGTCACTCCTGTCCGAGCAGCTTGCGCAGCTCATTCGCCTTGACCCTTTCGCGGTCCTCCCACGGGAAGTCGCTCTCAAGATCCTCGGATATCTCGACGCAACATCGCTTTGTCGCGCGGCTCAGGTCAATAGGCCGTGGAAAACCCTCGCAGACGACGATATCCTCTGGAGAGGGATTTGCGAGCAACACATTGGGCAGAAGTGTCTCAAGTGCGGTTGGGGGCTGCCTATCTTGGAAAAACGTCGTCTTGTTCGTACGTCCTCAACGGCGCCGTCACCATGTTCCCCGCCTCCTTTACACGATACCACCGTAGCTCAGCCGAAGCGCCCATACCAGCCCGATGCGACCTCAATCGATTCTTCAACTAAACGTGCGCGCCGTGACGTTGAGACCTTGCCACCACCGTATTCACCGTCCCCTTCAGCGTCACCATCACATCAGCCAGACGAAGCTGTCAAATCTATATCTCGACTGACTCCTCCGCCGCCTCAAGCGCACTCGCCGCCGACTCATATGATTACAAGACCATGGAAGGATGTCTATTGCGAGCGCCTGCGTATCGAGCGCAATTGGCGGCGCGGTCGATGTACTGTGCGTACCCTGAAGGGTCATACAGACGGCGTGATGTGCTTGCAGTTCAACGAGACGCTCTCGCATCCCGCCTTCCCTGTACTTATCACCGGCTCGTACGACCGCACGGTGCGTGTGTGGAATCTCGAGACTGGCACGGAGGTACACTGTCTTACGGGGCACACGAGTGCCGTCCGTGCGCTACAGTTCGACGAGTTCAAGCTCATCACTGGTAGCTTGGACCATACGATGCGCGTGTGGAATTGGCGGACAGGCCAGTGCCTGCGGATTCTGGAGGGCCACACGGAGGGTGTGCTTTGCTTGAACTTTGACTCGTGCCTGCTTGCGAGCGGTAGTGTGGACAACACCATCAAGGTGTGGAACCTCATCACGGGCGAGTGCTTCACGCTGCGTGGGCATTCGGACTGGGTCAACTCGGTTCAACTGTGGGATGCCAGCGGGAGCGGCACTACCAGCTCGTCCGTGTTCGACTGCAACCCCGTCGAATCGGCCCCGCCATCTAGTTCATCGTCTAAGGTCGGCAATGGAAAGATGCTATTCTCTGCCTCAGACGATGGCACAATCCGGTTGTGGGATCTCTCGTTGCGGTCCTGCGTGCGGGTGTTCCACGGCCATGTCGGGCAGGTTCAAAGTCTCAAGCTCCTAGTAGTCGACGAAGGTTGCGAAGGCGGCGACAGCACACCGGAACCTCAAGAAATTGCGGCTCCAACGTTGAACATGAACACGTATTGGCATCCAGATCATTCGCACGCACTCCCCGCGCCGACAGAGTCCTACAGCGGCTCTCCTAACGCAGCAAATACAGCCTTGGCCCATCGTCGCTCTTCTCCTGCACACTCTCCCAACACGTATGCGGATGCGACCGCTGTCGACCAGCGCCCGGCTGTCTCGCGCGCAGGTTCGCCCACAAAGCGCCAGAAGCCGGTGCTCATCTCAGGCAGCTTGGATAATACGATCAAGCTGTGGGATATCGAGACGGGGAAGGCAGTTAAAACACTCTTTGGGCACATTGAGGGCGTGTGGGCCGTTGCGAGCGATAAACTGCGACTTGTGAGTGGCAGTCATGATCGGACAATCAAGGCGAGTTTATGGCGATTCATTATTCGTAAATAGTACACTAACCTTATGTTGTAGGTGTGGGTACGTGAAGAAGGCCGGTGTATGGCGACACTTGTCGGCCACAGGGGTGCGGTGACATGTCTCGCGTTGGGCGAGGATAAAATCGTATCGGGTAGTGATGACGGTGATGTTAGGCTTTGGAGCTTCTCAGGGTGAATGTGGCGTTCGTTTGCTGTTTCCCTTTGGTCATCTTCTGCAATTTATGTATCACAGCCGTCCGGCTCAATCACTCCATACGCAATGTCGAACTGAAATAGCATACTACGCCGGGAGGAATCAAACAAATATTATAATATCATTTCGCAGAAATGAAGTCGGTGACGTGGCCGAGTTGGTCCAAGGCGTGGGATTTAAGAAGTTTTCTTGCCTCCCCATGGGCGCGAGCCCGCGCGAGTTCGAACCTCGCCGTCACCATGAATATCATGTCAAGTGTGGTTTTTTTTAAAAATTCTCCCATGTCGCAGAAGTACACTCGACTATTGTACCAAGTGAGCGCATTCCTATACATCTTGTACATTTAATATGTATGTACAGTGCTGTCGACATGCCTGACATCCGCCAGTTTGCTTGATTACAGCTATTTCGCAGAAACACCAAGAAAATCCATCGCTAATTGGCGAAATCTGTATGTGCCCATCCAGGGTTCAGAACAACTGAAATGATGACGTGCGAGACCGCTGAGTTCAACCCGTCAATTGAACATTGAAATACTCACAGACGAGATATTGTCTTTGCCGCCTGGCGTCTCTCTTACGCTGAGTATGCAAGCACTTAAGTAGCATGTCACATGGATACCGCGAGGATGTACAGACCGACGCGTCGGCTTGAACTGCGGAGTTTCATCTGCATCGTCTCCCCAGAAGCTGCCCACGCCGGAGGTGGAACGCTTGCTCCTGTGCGGTTCTCAAAAACTCAGATTGCTGTTTTCGGAGTGACAGTGGACAGCGAACCTAGCCCTCGCCGGAGTCGTATCTTCCACAGCGGTATAAGTATTCTCTGCCTGCGGGAGTTGCTCAGGCTGAGTCTTCTCGATGGCGGGAGGCGAAACTGGCTTCACAAATTGTGTGAAGAAACTGGTCAGGTTCATGATGTACGGAAATTCTTACTTCATGACGGGGAGGGGCGCTCGCGAGTGGGTCTCCATTGTCATGGACGCCGAAGATGTCGTGTGTGATACCGCCGGGAGCGGTGCGAACCCGTCGGGTTGGCCGAAACGCGGGCTGGGTTGACTGCGCATGTACGACGACAGCGGCTACGATATGCGTAAGGGACGAGTAGTTGGAATGTGGAAAAGTAGACCAACCTGGAGATGCTTCAGCAGCAATGGGGGGAGGCGGTTCGCTCGGCCCTTCGGCAGGAGCTGAGGACAGCTTCCCAAAGCGCGCATACTCTGCCACAGGCGAGATTCGTCAGCCCAAGAACCCAACAGTCTTCCACCACGTACTTGGAAGTTTTTGTATCTTTGTGAAGTTGGGATCAACAGTGACACCCGCATATCTGCGATCATTCATTTAGCGAGAATATACGGGTAAGCGAATAACGCAATGATGACATGCTAACTTGAGAAATTCCAGTAAGGAGCGCTTCGTAAAGACAATGTTGGTGGTATCCCAGTCCATCATACCTGGCCAATGGTGTCAGCGATGAGAGACGACATCATTGAATGCCACTGCGATACCCAGGTTGGCAGCCCACTCTTTCTCTTTCTCCATGTCGACGACAAGGGAAGGGTTGAACCTGCCTTGTGAGTGTCACGACGCGCTAATCTGGTAATCGCAAGGCGCATACACATACGTGCATGCCATGGTGGACGTTGTGTTGAAAGCGTTGCAGCATGATCCCAAACGTCACGGAGATGGGAGATCACATTATCACGTGATCTGGACGAGTTGTAGTTGACTCTAGCCTTCTTATGCAACGGTGCCTTTCTACTGAGCTTGCGTATCAGATAATCTCCGACATGCTCATTGCAGCTCTCAGAAATTCATCCCAATGTTGTCCGCGCCGATCTACACTGGCAGCGTTGAGGCGCTCTCTGGGTACGCAGACTGGGAACCCATCCGCGGTCTACCTCGACATTAGCAAGGAGCAAGACCCTTCAGTCCGGACGACACCCGAACAGCTGCGGAAAGGACAGAGACGTGCGCTGGAGAGCGCGCTGCGGGTGGACCAGGCAGGAGAGTTGGCCGCAAACTATATATACATGGGGCAGAAAGCCGTCCTAGGACGCGATCCTGTGACGGGGTCCCTGATACAGGTGTGCTGAGACATCCATAGGGGCTAAATGTAGACTGACAGCGTTTGAAATGCGTGAGGAAATGTGGGACCAAGAGAAGAAACACCTTGCGGTGATGAACAAGCTTCAGGTTCAGCATCAGGTACGACCCACCATGCTGTGGAACGTCGCCCTGGTTGCGGGATATGGGCTTGGCGCTGTCACAGCACTGATGGGAAGGGAAGCAGCCATGGCCTGCACGGAGGCGGTGGAGACGATCATAGGTGAACATTATGATGAGTGAGTGCTATTTTCTGACTTTGGATTCGTGGTAGTTGAAGGTAGGATCCAGTCAACTGAAGGAAATGGAGGACTTGCCCACCTCTCATCCGAGCGTGCCGCTGTTGAGGAAGGTCATCGTAGAGTTCCGGGATGACGAGCTAGAACATTTGAATATTGCTGTCGAAAATTACTCACAGCGGGCACCTGCACACGCGCTGCTGAGTACCGTAGTGGGGGCCGGGTGCAAGGTTGCTATTGAGCTTTGCAAGAGGTTCTAGACTTGTGATGCATCATATACAGTCATGTCATGTAGTCATATCGTAACCGAGCATGCTGTAGAGCGATTCTACTTATTGCAATGAAAATGTACACCTTCACTCCTCGGATTCTGGAGCTGGTGGGGGGACGCGATACAGCGTTTCGCTCTTCAGCTTGCCGGCCCAACTCCACTTCAACTATGGCATAGAGGTGAAAATGACAACAGATATGAGGAAGTCAATGGCGTACATCTTGATCGTAGGCAAGGTAGAACAATGCCCCAGGAATGACAATCATTCCCACGATTGATTGTATGGTGGTCTTCGGCGTGAAGCGAAAGTGTTTATACACATCAGTGCGCTGTGGAGACGGGTTAGTGCGTCCGACCAGGGCAGTGAGTGAGGATCGCCTACATACCATAGCACCCCATCGCTCAATGGCGGGATCATGCTGCAATAAGCAGCACCTTAGTAATCACAACGAGACGGCAGAGAGTATATACTCGCTTTCACGTAACCTGAATTTCACGAGACATGTTAGCGAGGGACAACCACGCAGCGAGATCAAACCGACCGTGGCCAGCTGCCATGATGGTGGTGTTAGCTTGAGAAGTTGTTGACGATTATTTGAGTCTCGCCACAACATCTCTTCTTCGTTCAACCACCATCACGTCCTATTACCAACCACTTGCTGCTCTCCTTTGTGCTCACAACGTGCTGAAAGAGTCTGTTTCTAATGTCTCACAACCGAGAATGGGACAGAGGGAAGTACCCGTCAGACGACGGGCATTCGTGGCAATATGGAATAGCTAGGAGGGATGAGGAATATCATGGTGAAGGAAAGCGTAGAAAATTCAATGATGGCGTAAGTTGTCCAGTTTCGCATGCAATATGATGTGCCTCAGCTGTAGACGCAGAGCTACGAGGGATCTCAAGGCTACGAACAAGTTACTGAGGAGGGCGCGCACAATACTAGTTATGGTCAAGCTCGCCAGACCGACGTCGCTCAAGAGCACTTCGCGGATGATCGCTTCCAGAAAGGTAGCGGATACATCAAGAAACGGCTGGTTCCCAGCGAACCGAGCCTCCATGTCATTTTCCTGGGACTGGATCCTGACTTCACCGAGGCCGACGTTCGTGGCTCGTCCATGCGTATACATACCCTGTCGAGCAGCATGACTTACGTGTGCATCTGTGCAGCTCCAAGCGTACCTCACAAGCAACAACTGCAATGTACAAACGGTCACCATAATCCGAGACAGATCCACAGGCACTTGCCCCTTCGTCCTTCGTGCTTTTCTGCAGCGCATTGACATTCTTCTCTTATTTGCCCGCACGATTGCGATACCATTCGCGTCATGAAGGTTCCTCAAAGGGCTTCGGATTCGCTCAGTTCACAAGCGTCGAGCATGCGCGTGCGTTCGTCGACCCGCTCTTTCCGTTCATCCAGGTGCCGCCGCCCGCATCTCACGGCGCCTCCGCATCCGCCGCGTTCTACAAGGCGCTCGAGGCGGGGAGTCCCGTGCCACCGGGTGGACGCCGCGTCAAGATCGACTACTCGCAGAGCGCAAACCCCGCGGAACGCCGCGCACGGGGCCCGCCGTTCGCGAACGATGGCACGCGTGACATCGGGAACGCACAGGCACCAGTGCTCCTCTTCCGTGGGCTCGATCCGCTCTCGGGCCCGCAGGCAATCGCGCAAGCAATGAAGAACGCCGCAGGCCCTGGAAAGGAGGGCGCACGGGGGATGCGGAGGATCATCCTCATCAAGGACAAGGTCACCACGGCGAGCTGGGGGTTTGCATTTGTCGAATTTGTAGACGTGCAGGTCAGTGGGCTTCCATTTCATGGCATTTGGCAGGGTTGATGCTGGTTGGTAGTCTGCATCTGCGGCCCTCGGCATGATTATTTCGCCTCAAATTCACCCATCCGGGTTCCGCATCTCGGACCGACCGGTCGCAGCCTCGTTCGCTCATCCGTACTCGTTCCAACCTCTCGCAGACCATTTGCTTCGCGATGACGCGTGCCTCATGTCCACATCAAGCCTTGGAGGCGTGGAGGGGACGTGGGTGAGATATTGGGATGAGGCATCGACTGCTGCTATTCTGGAGTTCAAGATCGAAGAGATGGTGCAGCCAATCCCGACACAGACGGCCGAGAGGGACAAAAAGAAGAAATCAAAAGGTCAGCTTTCGTCCAGTCACGTTCCTCACTTCGCTGATCCGAAGCACAGCTGCTGCTACTCCCGCAGCGGAGCGCCCAGCGGAGGCATCCGCTCTCCCTGTCTCTGATAAGCCGGTCACGCTGAGCTTCAAGGGTGGCCTGGCTAACAAGCAAGGCCTCTCAAGCGTATCAATGGCAGCGGGGTCTGTAAAGAAGGCCGCGCCAGTTACAGTGGGGTTTTCGATGGCAGACGATGTCCCCACTGCTGGTGGTAATGATGTGGAGGCTAATGCGGATGATGAGAGCGAGCAGCGTAAAGCCTCTTCCGATGACCTCAAGGGTTGGTTTTATACGTTGAGGCTACTGGATGCAGAGAGGACGAGTGTTGACGTATTCGTTGTGATGCTGTCCAGTGTTTGCGGCGAAGAGGGTTGCGCCGCTGATTGCGAGCAAGAAGGTGGGCAGTGGTCATCCTTGGAGAAGCCACTGTTCCAAGTTGACTGATTGTCTGGACATTGGCATAAAGGTGGTTAACAACATCAATAAATGGAATCAGGTACAGGAGGTGCTTCATGACGGCAACCCACCGGAGTTGGTAACCCAAGCGTCTGCAGTGAGTCTTCGGCACTCTCCTCGTTAATTGATGCTGACCGTTTGCATTTCTGTGCAGAGCACATCCTCCACTGCACCGGCTGCCCCGATCAAGGCAAAATCCGCGACCCCGACACCAGCAGAATCAGAATTCGAGTTTTCAGACACACATGCGATGACGTGCTTGCTGTGTGCGCGCCAGTTCAAATCACTCGATCAGATGAAGCGTCATAACAAAGAGTCCGACCTGCACAAGGCAAGCATGCCCAGCTCCTGCTCGATGATGCCCTACTGTACTGATACGCTTTTGGACATGACAACAGAAGAATTATAAAGACGCGAATCTCCGCGAACTCGCCCGCGAGAAAGCGAACGTTTTGCGCGCGAAAGCTGAGCAACCCAAATATCGCGATCGAGCGTCGGAGCGCCGGATCATGCACAACCAGCCCGACGTCCCTCTGCCGACGGAGGCAGCTAAAACGACGGGAAAGAGGAAGTATGCGGAAGGTCCGCCAAAGCCTCCCACGCCGCCGCCGCCCCCTGTGAGCCTTGGAAAAGATGAGAGTAATGTGGGGAACAAGTTGCTGAAGATGATGGGCTGGAAGGAGGGCACGGGGCTGGGAACAGGTGGTGAGGGGAGGGTGGATCCCATGTAAGCGTGCCCAAGGCTGCTACAGGCTTGTGATATTGATTGACGAACCACCCGGCCTTCAGACAGACTGCAATCTACGCGCAGGGCGTTGGGTTGGGCGCGAGCAAGGCGAAGGAGATCGGAAAGTATGCAGAGGGCTACTCTGGCTACGTGCACATGGCACAAGATGCTGTGAGTGATCTGCAGTTGATCATTACATTCCGAAAGTTTTGAAGCTGATCCTTTCTAGGCTCGAGAGCGGTATGGGAGCTAAACCATTAGTTGCGATTGGCGTCGACTGGCCCTTAGGGTACGAATTGCATATGTATGGCTTGTGACCTCCCGCATGGCATGGCTGGATTTCGTGATGAAATGTTGTCTTTGAAAGTGCTAGTGATCTGTCGCAGTGGTGAAGGACGGCTGAGAGCAACGATCTTATCTTATCTAGCCGTTGTTAGAGGTTCATTGATCTGACTGGCCATCAGGCCTGTCCGTGGGTGTGCTCTTGTGGTTAGCCCTCTTGCTGTTCGTCGCGCTCTCTGGTCTGCGCGACGCGCTCACCAGCCCAATCGTCGCTCATGGAGACATTCTTCAAGAAGAAATCGCGTCCAAGAGTGTCGTCGCTTTCCGCCCAGGACGCTCAGGAACGCTCTTCACGTCCGCAATCGTACAGTTCCGTTGCTACGACTCGGTCAGACTCTAGCCGGCAATCCCGCCATCCTCATCCCTCCATGTCTCCCTCCGACAGCAGCCATCCCCACCTCTCCAGCCTCTCCTCGCACCTCCATCGTTTCGGCGCCTCAGATGAGTTCTACTTCCCCAGGCCAGAGAACGAGGAGGAAATCGAGGCCTTGTTCCAGAACATCGTCCAACTGCGCGGCCTCGCCGTGCCTAACCTCACTATCGACCAGAAGTGGCACATCGTATACAATGACGAGCAGATTCGGTGGAAGGAAGAAAAGCAGCGCGAGGAGCAGGCCAAGAAACAGGTTGAGGCCGGCCAGTCGCCTGCCTTCATAGAGGGTACCCCGGAGTGGTACATCCGGAAATTTGTCGACAAGACTATCACCGCGAAGCAGGCCGCCGGCCTGAACGTCTCGCTGCGCAGCAAAGAACTGATGTAAGTCGCTGATAGTCGACGACATGTAAGTCATGTACCTGATCGTCCCCTCAGTTGGTTTAAACAATTCGTGACCTGCCAAGGTACATCGGTGCTCGCGCAGACTCTCAGTCACATCAGTCGCAAGGGTGCTCAAAGGCAAGCGTGGAGCTATTTCTATGTTTTGTTCGCTCATGTAGAGGTGCAGACGGAAGGAGGATATTGATCTTGAATATGAGGTTGCAAAGTGTCTCAAGCACATCTTTAACCACTCGGTACGCCCTCTGTTCGGGCCAGAAGCATACGTCTAAAGTGTACTGTCAGTTTGCAGTCCAGGCCATTCTTTCACATCATCAAGTCGTAACACAACTCGCGTCGTCTCTTAACACGCCACACTTGCCCACACGGAAGATCTTAATTGAGGGGTTGGTCGGCCTTGCATACTTAAACAATCATGCAGCACATCCGCTTGTCGTCACAGCGTTAGAATCCCTCAGTACTGCCAATGACGAGCCTGCAAACCCATACTCATACTGGTTCAAGTCTTTGGAGACGGCGCTCGCTGGTAGAGGTAGGATGGGCACGTTGGTCGGCGCGAGCGAAGAAGTGAAGAGACACGGTGGCATCGATAGCTCACTGAATGACTATGCGGTAAGCCTTCTTCGTTTGGGTTTTCAGGCGTATGCCTAATAGTCACGCAGCTGGCCAATCTGTTTCTCGTCACTGGTATATTGGATGGATATGATGACCTAGATCTCCGACTGCACCATCGTGCCCAGATGGAAAGCGCAGGATTGCAGCGGGTGATATTGCAGTGTCAAGCGTTCGGCGTCTCGGGCGTGGACAAACAGCTCGACGTACTGCAGCGCCTGCTCGAGGACGACGAGCGGAAGCTGAAGGAGCGGATGGATGCGGAGATCTTACGCGACCTCGCAAACCCCGAGGACGTGTATGAGGCGCTGCAAGCACGCACGAAACATTCGAAAGCAAAAGACTACTTGCTATCCGTAATGCAACATCTGTTGCTTATCCGCGAGGAAGGGCCCGATCTGGTGCACTACTACCAGATCATCGACTCGATCGTCACGGATATTGTCATGGACAAGAAGCTAGCGCGGGGAGAGCAACGGCTCGGACAGTCTGTATCGAGGATCATAGCGCAACTGAACGAGGCGGATAGATACCAGGACGTCGAGGACGAGCTCGCTAGGGCGCATGCTGCCGCTCTCAAATATCGCCTAGAAAAGGAAGCCCTGGAGGAAGAACTCGCGCAAGGCGAGGACGGTCTCGTAGGGGCTTTGAAAACCAAGGTTGTCCGACTGGAAGAGAAGCTGCAAATATCGCGCGACAATACCGCGAGGTTGCAATCGCAGCTTGAGACGCAGAAGGCGGGATATGAAGAGCAGATTGAGCAGCTGGAGGCGCAGATCATGGAGCTGTTCCGCATGCTGAAAGAAGTCAGTAAGGGACGCGTGGACAAGGCGTTTGACCACGCTGGTGCCATGGATCGCAAGACCCTTATAGAGACTCTGGAGAGACACCTCGAAAGGGACAAGACCATTAGCATACTAGAAGGTCGGGACAAGCGTCGGCGCCGTAAGCAATCTACGGATATACAAGAAGACGAGGTTTCTGAAGAAGACGAGAACGCGCCGAGGAAATCTGGCGGTGTCCACAAGAGACATCCACATCACTCTAAAGGCCAGTCGATGCACTCGCACGCTTCCAGAGCATCCGACGCGGCAAATGGGCACCCCTCGCAGTTTATGGATGCCGACGATGCCATTGTGCAAGAGCAGATACAGCAGCAGATTGCAGAGGGTGCTATGGTAAGCTTGTTCGTTCTATCTATGTATAGGTATATGAGTGACCAGAATCGATTAGTACTCGAACCGTGGGGGCCCATCGTCGAGCCCACGAAGTGTACGAGGGTCTCCTCGGCGCAAGGGCGACCGACCTCCCCTCACCGAACACAACGGTTCGACCTCGAAGTTGAGCAATGTCGTGGTGTCTTTAGACGACCGCGCGAGTGAGCGCAGCGTCGATTCTGCTGATCTCGGTGACGAGCAAGATCTAGAGAGCGAGTATGCGCCAACAGCGTCGATCAGAAGTAGGTCATCTGCACTGACGGAGGCCACCTCGGTTGCGTCTACGGAAAACCTCCGTATGCCCGCGCCTGGGTCATTGGCAGACCAGCTTCGCAAGCAGTTGGCTGCGAAGGGCCGGCCTCCGTCTGAGGCAAGCCCGCGTTCATCCCCTCCATTGCCCACGCTCCCAGAAGAAGCATGTGGCTCAGATTTGGCACGGGGAGCAACGTATGGGTCTGAGTCCTCATCCTCCCTTACTGCAAACGGCTCGCTACTTCTGTGTGCACCAGCTTCGAGCGAAACATCTGCAGCTCCGCCACCACCTCCGCCTCCACCACCTCCGCCTCCGCCGCCTCCGCCTCCACCTCCGCCTCCAATTTTTTCCCGCTCAAGAGCTGGTTCCTCGATGCAACCTGCTGCGGGACCTCCGCCGCCACCTCCCCCGCCGCCACCGCCGCCGCCAAATGTCCGCATGCCCATACTCACCGCCTCCGCAAGCGCTCCCATCCCGCCGCCACCGCCAGGTATGAGTCGATCAGCAGGAGTATCAGCAAGCAACTCCGCCCCAGGCACCGCACGATCGTCGGCGTTGATCAATAATCTACTCACCACACGTAAGGACTTGTCTATCACACCAAGCACGAAAATGAAGCAGCTACAATGGGACAAGCTGCCCCAGCAGCAGGCGATGAAGACCGTGTTTAGTGAAGAGGAGACGTTGAAGGAGGAGGAGTGGTTGCAAAAGCTGCGGATTGATGGAGTGTGGATGGAGATGGAGGAGGACTTCAAGGCGAAGCAGCTGGTCATTAACCTGATGGGTAAGCAGCTGCAGACTGACTCCCGGACATTTTGTTGACGAAGAATGATGTGTAGCGAAGCAGAGACGTGCTGAGCTTAAGAGTGTACTCGACCCTCAGACCAAGAAACGTGTCGGTAAGTCGCCATATAGCCTCCGCCTAATGAGAACGGGCTAATTTCTCTTGCCAGAAATCCTCATTCAGACAGTCAAGAAACTGCAGCCGGAAGAGATAGCCATGAAAATCAAACATTTCGATGGGCAAGTTTGCACCCAGGTGTTCCTCAGCGAACTCAAGCCTGTGCTGCCTAACCCGGAACAGGTCAAACTAGTGTATTATGTTTGACAGCTAAAAGAATTGACGGTTCTCCTAGGTCGGGAAGCTGAACGTATATCGCAACGCCGACGCCGAAGAGCTGGCCGGATTGCATCCATCCGATCGACTGATGGTTCAGCTTATCAAGATCGATAGACTCGGGCCACGGATTGAGGGCATGTTGTACCGATGCATGTTTGACGAGACATGGTCGTTACTAGATGACGTAGGTTGTTAATTGTAATTGTTGCGATCAAACCGAGGCTGACACATTCAAAGAGCGCTCGAAAGCTCTCAGAGGCTGGCAATGCCTTGCTTCATGCAAAGCACTTCAAGGAGCTTCTGAGTGTAAGCGTGTTTCTACTTGTCTGCAAAGCAAGCTCACGACCTTCTTGGCACGACACCAGCTCATCTTGCTAATCGGAAACTATATGAATGGTACTGGTGTCAAAGGAGGTGCCTTCGGGTACAGAGTGAGCAGTATCAATAAGGCAAGTTGTCCGATTCTATCATACGTCTTTCTTCTAATGCACCTATGCTTCTAGCTCGTGGACACTAAGTCTGTACATAACACGACACTGCTGCACTTTCTTGAACGCACTGTGAACAAGCATTTTCCTGAGATGGAAGCATTCCTGGACGAGTTGAATGCACCCGCGGAAGCCTACAGAGGTTCGTGCATTACGATTAAGAGAGGTTCCATTCACCCATTTTTGTCACAGTCAGTCTGCAAGATGTCCGCAAGAGTCTCGGGGAATTGCGCGAAGGCCTAAGAGCCATTCGGAAAGAGTTGACAGAGCGCTTCTCCGATATAGACCAGAACGATCGTTATGGCAAACAGATGTGGTCATTTGTGGGGAGAGCTACGGCTCAGCTCGAAGATTTGGTCGACGATGTCAATCATGCCGATTCCATCTATTCAGAAGTGATCAAGTATTATGGTGAAGACGAGACAAACATGAACTCCACCGAGTTTTATGGTATCTTTAAGACTTTCGTTACATCTTATAGGGTGAGCAAACATCGCTTTTCTGCCTCTTGTTGTGTCCGGTGCGGGTCTAATACATAATCCATGACAGAAATGCAAGACAGACAATCAGAATCTAGCGGAAGAGCGAATGGCCGCGGAAAAGCGGCGGCAGGTTGCTGAGCAGTCTAGAGCCAACAGACAGAAGGCAGCCGAGGAAGTTGCTGCTCAAGAGAGCGAAGAGAACTCTGTCCTTGATGACCTGCTGGAGAAGCTTCGCAATGGTGAAAACGTGGGTCGGAAGGCGCGCAGGATGCGTCCGAGCGTTGCAGTCCGTCCAACAGCTTCAGTTGCTCTGAGCACAGACGTGTTGCTTGGCAGTGCGTCTGGAACTGCAAGCGATACTGCCGACATTGCTAAGGGCATGCTTGCCCGATTGAAATCTGATGGGTTCGATGCGACACCGCTCGCTTTCACTGGTGGGACACGCCCCCATCGGCGAGTAAGAAGGGGGTCAAGCCATGCAGCCGCGCAGGCTGAACTATCGACGGGAGAATATTCAACTTCTCCTGATGATCGTGACGCACTCAATGAAGGCTCAACCGTAGGCGACTTTGTTCAAGACCCGGAACTGGAGAACGATATCATGGATGTGGTTATCTGATCAGCTCTCATTCAGTTACCTATGCAACTCATTTATACCCATCCATGCACTTTTCACTATTGATTTGCTCTTCTTTGTTGGCCGTGGACATACTAAATTATTGGACTGCAAATGTTGTATTGCTATCTACCTAATTTGTGTTCCTGACATTCTGGAGATGTGTGAATGAATCTTGAAGTCAGTAACAGTGAAAGCATAATCCAACCTCATCTAGGTTGACATGCCCATAAAGCTACTGTAGCTATGGTTGCTACCTTCTTTGCTTGCAGCTTATTGCATGACCAAATCTTTGCAGAGAGATTTCAATTGACGGCATGTAAGTATGGTTGATGAGTCTAATCTCATTATTAACATGAAACAACATGTATTTGATTGGCACACTCTGTCACAGATTTGACCATATCTTATCTCATTATCACAGTGTTCATCCTTTCAGCTCACACATCTTACTGGATGCAACATCCAGTACTATGAACCAGTAGACTGTAATGTAATTGAGACAGTATTTTTAACCTTCTTCAAGAATTGTCACATGAAATATTGAAAAGGATTTGAAATATCTTCATCATCTTTGGCAGCAGAATATTGAAAAGAGATTCTAAATATTTACTACAAATTATTGTTTTACAATATTCTTCCAATCATTTGCACTGCAAAGAAAGCACTCTTTCCCTACATGAGAAAGGTGAGAGAAAGTGAAATGTTTCTCATGCCTTTATTCAAGTGCTTAATGCTATGTACAGCTTGACAAGACCTGAGTATATAAAGGTGCTGTAGAGCCTATCAACAGGGAGAGAAGGCATGGAATATACCTTTTTCAAAGCTTTCTTTCACATTTGACTACTTAAGAAATGCTTAGATTTCCAATTCAGTTCTAATGCCTTTCCTGTGATAAGAAAGGGTCATTTCTTTGCTGTGCTGTGGTGAGGAGATGCTAAACATGGTAAACACATTTCAAATCCTTTTTCAACCTTTTTAACTAAATCCAATAAAGAGATTAAACCTATTTTCTCAATTCTATCACAATGTGTTGGTACATAGTGTTGGATCTTCACTCTATGCTTCCAAATGCATGCATTCTGACCTCCCCTTTCATATGAGCAGAATTTATACACATATAATTTTATTTTTCTTAATGTTTTGAATTATTGCTTCACATATCTATTCTCAAATGTGAACATAGCTGTAACGGTGCACTCCATAGAGCACTGACACTTGTTCTCCCAGCCACAGCCCCATTTTAGCTGTGGCTGAGCTATTTCCTTTTCTAGTCACTCTCCACTTTTACTTAACTGTTTCACTCATTTCCCCCCTATGCTCCTTTGAATCCCTTAAAATTTACCTACAGGCTCTACGTATAAATAGAGGCCTGAAAACCCCATGTGTAGGGCAGCACTCATATTACTGAAAATTCAGAGTCCTATAACCTGTCTCTTCCTGCACGTGATGCTCTCGCTCGTGTGATGCCACCAACTACCAAAAGTAGCTGCGAACGTCACATATTTTTGACAGTACAAGACTTACTTGCTTGACTCTATAACTCTCACTCTCGTTGCTCACACCTGGAAACTCTTGAGTCTGATCAACTTATTCTTCTGGCCCTGTGATGACACAATCACATCTGCGATATCAAAAATGACCTCAGTTTGTTGCGCGTGACCATTACTCAATATGGCATGTGGCCACACCATGCTGGTCAGGTGCTCAATGAGCGTTGAAGGCATTCAGCCTTCTGATAACGGTGAGTACCCCATTAACTCTGCAATTACTGATGTTGTCCCAGAATCGAGCCGTAGCTCTGTTCCAGGCATGGGCTCGAGATCTGGCTTGAACCCTCGCTGCTCTGGTGAGGAAGTAAGGTCGAGACTTTCACCTTCATCCCCTCTGACAGATGAAGGTGAGACCTTGGGCAATACTGCATTTGTGGGTTCACCTCCATTGGAAAGTCAATATCGTACCACTGTAGACGATGTCGAGGATGTCAAAGATATGTATACGCCTCCCGCTGTACTAAATAGAATCAGAAGTTCTATGAGTAATGCATCAGCATTGAGTAGGGTCAGCACGCGTACCCCTACTGAGAGGCGCAGGCAGGCTTGAAGCGTGGACTCACTGCCGTGAACGGTTCCCATGCCAGAACCAAACAGCATGATTAGTGGCACTCAGGGAGTGGCCACTGCCTCCTCAGGTGAAACAGTCACCTTGAAAGAAAATTTTTCATTGGAAATGACTTCGGACACCCAGAATAGACTGTCCAAAAAGTGCTCACCTTCTCACCCTCGATTGTGAGGTGAAGGTCCTTCCAATCAGCAGTGAAAGGGTAAAAAAGTTGATCCCAGGAACTGGAGCAACTCTGGCATTCCTCATGAGAAATTAGATATTCAAGCGCAACAGCGAGCACTAACTGTAATATCAGATGCTCGAAAGGCCAGGAAACTTGCCTTAGCTGAAGGCTACATGGGCAGGAACCCTTGCGGGATGCAGGGTCCTGAGATGGCCACTCGACCACTCCTTGCTCAGAAAGTCAAAGTTAACCTGGGATCCACTGTCCTGAACCCGGCAGAGCATCCGCATTCTGATCTGAGAGGCTTCTTGAAGCCTGTGGCTGGGCCACCCTCGATCAAAATCTGGGGCTCAGTCCATAGGCTTGGTGAGGCCCAGACTGCTGCAGACATCCAGGCTGAGATCGCAACCCTTAAGCGGAAGCTGGCAGAAGCCGAAGCTGCAGTAGCAGACCATGAGGCTACCAAACATCGATCAACTTCTGTGGCTCTGGGGCCACACCCCTTATTTTCTGCTGAGCCTCATGCTTCCGGCGTGTCCTGTGGCCACGTGGTGTTCACTAGTAATGCACGAACCTCTGTGCTTCATCCGGCTTCTCAGATAGAGCCTGGCAGCTATCTAGAAGCTGCATTTAAGCAACTGACTGGTGGTGGGGATGAGCCACCCGGTGACTCCCCACCCTCTAGTGATTCCTCTTCAGACTCTTCGAGTTCAGATGATGAATCCAGTGATAGTACATCATCTGGGAATGGTAGACAGGGTGCTAGAAGGCATCATCATGCTAAGAAGAAGAACTCTAGGGTTCCTGTGTTGAAACCTAGAGAACCTTCAACTTACGATGGAAAATTCGATGTACAGGAATTTCACAAGTTCATGAGAGAGATGACTGAGTATATTGATGGTTATAAACTCAAGAAATTGCGAGTTGCCTCTACAGTATCGCATTTCTTGACTGGAACTGCTTATGAGTTCTATGTAACCTCTGTTTCCAAGAATTCTTGTTCTTGGAAGCTCCACGATATATTTATTGAGCTCTTTAACTATTGCTTCCCTGTCGACTTTCATATGCGTCAGCAAGAGAAGCTACGCAAGTGTTATCAATGCAGATGAACTGTCCGCAAATATATTCATGAATTAGAGACACTCTTTCTTATGGCTGGTGTCTCGTTGAATCAAGAGTGCATAGACAAGCTCTGGACTGGGCTAAATGCTTATATTCAGAAGGGCCTCTGGCTACAAAAGCTAATGCCAATGCACTCTAGTTGGGAGGATGTTCGCAAAAATGCAGAAACACTCGAAATTGCAGAACATGTAGGCTCTCCTCAGAAACCTCAGGGTTTGAAGGGGGATGGAGTCCCTCCCCCACAAGGCCCACCTGGAGGACCTAAGCCAGATGCTAACGGAAAGGTCAAACCTTTCAATAAGTGAAATACTAAGGGAAGATTCAATAATTTCTCACCTTCCTCTGGACCTTCTGGGAGACAGAAATTCCAGAATTATAAGTCCCCTCGCTCTTCAGGCACTACTTCCACTCCCCGCCTTTCACCTCAAGAGAAAGATCATCACAAGGACGCTTCTCTCTGCTTTATTTGCGGTGAGGCCAGACACTTCATGCAGAACTGTCTGCAGAGAAGCATGGTGCGCTCGAGTAAACCCAGCGCTGCTCCCAGAATTGCAGCTCATAATATCAAGCTGGACCTTGGCAGTATAGAGGAGATGCATGGCATCTCAGAATTCACTGCTCGGTATGATACTGTGCATGTGGGCATGATAAATATTGAAGAAGATCAAGTTACTTCACCTGAAGGGGAATGGGCTTTCACCCTTCCTCACTTTGTGCCTCATGTTGTTGACTATGACAGTGATGCCAATTCAATGCCAAGCCTTCAATCAGTCTCTGGCTCTGAATATGAGGATTCTGAGGAGGAGGATGAACCACTTGCACCAGCTGGTCAAGTTAACTCACCGGACAATTATGCATCTTCCAGTATGGATGCCAGTCCTGTTCGGGCAGATGGAAACTCTGGGACTTCCAGATTGACCCAAACAGAACCTACGCCTCTTTCTGAGGTAGAGGAACCACTAAGGCTTCCGCTTTCACCCTGAAGGTTCAGGTCACTAACGGCTTTGTTGAGCTGCCCTCTACAGTGCAGGAAGGTAGACCACATCGCTGAATTAATGATCTATACACCTGGAGGGCTCAGCGTACACTGAAGAGTAATGCACCTTATTGCTGTGCTCAGTCTGCTCGAGGTTTGCCTTCTTGGGAGTCTTGTGGCTTCAACGTGGTACCTGCATCAGGGGGCAACTATGAGATTTATAATAGTTATCTCAAGAGGAAACAGTACATCCCTGGTGCTCGACTGCATGATCCAGAGTTTAACTTACCTGTATGGTTTTGGAGGCATGTTGAGTTCGAGCTGGGACACTTTCATGGCCCTAAGGGTGGTGAGAAAATGAGCTACGCTTTAGCACTCAGAGTGAAAGCCACCCTGAACGACGAGTTTTCATATCCAGATAGCACAGAATCTGGTGATACTGCTATACAGCAGTTCCATTGCATTCAGGCTAGTGAAGAGGTGGTCATAGAAGACCATTACCTTGATATTATCGCTGCGGTGCCCAATGCAGCATTGCAGAATGCCTTCTATGATGTCTGTAACACTTTTGCACGGGTGGTCCGAAGGTGCTTCGTGATCTGTGACCCAGATCGGGAAGATCTCAGGGAAGCTCTCGAGGCACTCTTCGATTGAACAATCAGAGAAGCTCATTTCAGAATGATTGAGCTTGGAACAGTGGGGATTTCTCTGAGGAATGACCCACTGCCCACTGTGCAATGCATATGTGGCCATTCCGCATGATTTTCAGCATGTGATCCCTGAACCTCCCACTATAGTAATAGATGTGGATGGTCATCCAGCTCATGCCTTGTTAGACACTGGGTCTATGGCTGATTTCATCTCTGCATGGCTGGTTCATCAGCTGGGACTGAAGTCCTTTGAATTGGCCAAACCTTTGCCTGTGCACCTCGCTGTGCAAGGCTCTCGGTCCAAGATCCACTCTGAATGTCAAGCTATGATAGTTTACCAAGCTATCAATGAAGTCCGATGCTTTGACGTCACTAATCTGTCTACTTATGATGTAGTTCTGGGTACACCTTTCTTCTTTCAACATCAAGTGGCACTTGAGTTTAATCCCACTACCATCGAGATCGGAAGTGCCAAGTCACTTCCTATTGAAGGTAAATGCTTGAAAGTCCTTGAATCAAGGGCTACAGAGATGTATGAGGACCGTCTTAAAGGTGTGCATGAACATCTTCGCGAATATGCAAAGCCCATTTGTAAATCGGCGCAGGACTCTCCCCTACCACCGCTGCAGGCAATAAATCATGTCATACCTTTAAAAGACCCTAATAAGGTCTATACTTGGTGACCCGTGCATTGCCCGGAAGCAATGCACTCTGCATGGACAGAGAAATGCGATGCATACTTAAAGTCCAGGTGATGGAAAATGACTACAGCTCGAAACACTAGCCCTATGCTTTTTCTTAAAAAGCCTGGGTCTGGGGTAGGTGGCAAACCTGTCAAACTTTGAGTTGTATGTGATTTGCGGGAGCACAATTCTAATACAGAGAAACTCACCTCTCCCTTGCCTCCGATGAAGGGAATTTTGCACCGAGTAGCGAGCAAGACATTTGTCTCTGCTCTCGATAAAAAGGATGCGTATGATCAGATCTGTGTTGCCCCAGAGCATGTCGATCATACTGCTATGGCTACACTGGATGGAAATATGGTTAGTCTAGTCATGCAGCAAGGAGACTGTAATGCTGTGGCCACTTATCAGGCCCTTATGAATCACATCTTTGGTCCCTACATGGGGAAATTTATGGATGCTTACCTAGATGATATCATCATCTATTCTGACACGCTTGAAGAGCATATTGAGCATTGCAAGATCATCATTGATGTCCTATGGCATGAATCATTGTATTTGGCTTTGGACAAGCTGCACTTTCTAGCCAAAGTTATTGAAATTCTTGGGCGGATTGTTGGCCCTGGTGGCATTCACATGGATCCAGACAAGGCAGATTCTGTGCTCAACTGGAAGGTCCCCACTAACAAGGAATTACTTCATGGTTTCTTGGGTTCTGTGGGGTTTCTATCTGATGACATTGCGAATATTCGCATTCCTATGGGTATATTATCATCTTTAACTGGGTCAGAATCCAGTTTTAAATGGGATTTCACCCAGCAGCATGCCTTTGATGAGATTAAAAGGTTGGTGCATGCTCACTGAGAGCATGAGCGTGTACCTCTGTCTTATGCACCGGATGCACAACCCATTTGGCTGGTCACTGATGGTTCCCATGGTGGTATTGCTGGGGTTGTGTCTCAAGGGCTGGACTATCACAGTGCCCAGGTTGCTGCATTCTTCTCTGCAAAGTTATCATCAGCACAGATGAATTATCCTGTGCATGAGATAGAAATGCTTGCAGGAGTGGAGGCTATGCAGCACCACTGTGACATCCTGATGGGTTGTCATTTTCATTGGATGACTGACCACAAGGGTCTCATTCATCTTATGAAGCAGAAGGACCTGTCCGGTCGGCAGGCCCGTTGGCTAGAAACGATCTCTGAGTTTGACTTTGAGATTGAATATGTTTCCGGGGTTGAGAACATTCTAGCAGATGCCTTGTCTCGCATTTATTCAAATGACAGCCCGGGCACAGTTTGGGCAGTGTCTGAGTATATGCAGTATGATGATGGTGAGGATTTGCCTCATCTTTTGGTGAGCTGCACTATCTCCATGCCTGTGTACATGGGGATGAAGGCGATGGCAGCTCGCACGCATTCAGTGCTCACCCGCAACGAAACTGTGGCCAAGGTGGACTCTCCACCTTCTAATGGCAAGGCACATTCCTCAGCGCCCCATCACCATCATGCGACACCAGCTCCAGCTGAAACTGATCACACAGAAATGTCACACGAGTTCACTAAATGCATCCATCATGTCATTCTCCATGAACCTCATGCAGAATGCCAGGAGGGTGCATCCCTGCAGGAAACATCCACTAGTGACACTCAATCAGCTTCAGCAGAAGCTCCTATGGATGTCCTAAATGACTGGCTACAGCCTGCCCTGGAGGGTGAGCTGGAAAGGCTATGCAATGTGTCTGTGGCAGAGCCACTCAATGCGACTGACGTGGCTGTGGCTGACGATGACATCATGCCTTTGTCAGAGTTGCCTCGTGGGTGCCCCAGATCAGACAAAGTTTGCATGGATCATGTCCTCGACATCATCTTCGAGAGTACCGAAGGAGTGGTACTCGGTGATGCACTGCACAGAAAATACTCAGACGATGCGTTCTATGCACGCATCTTGGCTTCTCTGAGCCACTTCAAGAACTTTCACATCCATAATGGCCTGGTTGTCCTGTGCAACAGCAGGAAGTGATTATTATGCATGCCTAATGTCCTGGTAAATGGCTGGAGTGCGAGAGAGATGGTTATCTCACACACTCACTCGCTGCTGATGCATCTTGGCGTGCACAAGACTCTTGAGTTGCTCAGAGACCATGGAAGCAGATGTGTGCAAGTATTGTGATACTTGCATAACTTGTCGACATAGCAAGCCACCTAATCAGAAGCCTTATGGCTTGCTGAATCCACTATCCATGCCTAGTACTCCTTGGGAGGCTATAGGAATTGACTTTGTCAGTCCACTGCCCGAGTCGAAGGATCGTGATGCCACGTATGATTCTATCACAGTATTAATCGATCTTCTGACCACTATGGTACATCTAGTGCCTAGCAGGATCAATTACAATGTGAAGAACATCGCAGAATTGATATTCTCTGAGGTGTATAAACATCATGGTATGCCCAAGTACATTGTGAGCGACCGAGATGTCTTATTCACTAGTTTATTCTGGAACCACTTGCACAAGCTTGTAGGTGTGGAACTGAGGATGTCAAGTGCATATCACCCTCAGTCTGATGGCTCCACAGAATGTGCTAATTGCACTGTTACCCAGATGCTTAGACAGTGCATCAATCCTAACCAGAAGGATTGGGTGTCTAAACTACCCTCTATTGAATTTGCTATCAATATGGCACGGTCTGAGAGTACTGGATACTCTCCTTTCTTTCTGAATACAGGGAGGATGCCCAGACCAATGATCTAGGACAATCAAGGAAAGGACGAATATCCTGCAGTTCAGGCCTATGCTCAGCACGTGAAGTATGCACTCATGTCTACTCATGACAGCATCATTTCTGCTAGGATGAAGCAGACTGGCTATGCTAATCGTAAGTGACGCCCTGCACCATTTGTGAAGGGTGATCTGGTATATTTATCTACCAAGAATTTATCTTTGCTGAGGGGATTAGCTCGCAAGCTGATTCCAAAATTCATTGGTCCATACCTAATTATTGAGGACTATGGCAATAACTCTTATAAGATAGAGTTGCCCCTCAATTTGAAACATCGAGGGATTCATGACGTCTTTCATGTGTCCTTACTTCGAGCACATGAACCAAATGATGATCAGTTATTTTCTGGCTGGTTGGACAGCCAAGTTGCTGAGCTGAAAGACCAAGAAAATGAATGGGCTATTGATAAAATAATCTTCTATACTGGTACTGGTCGAGATGCAGTTTTTGAAGCTGTTTGGAAGAGCAGGGATCATACCTGGATTCCGTTCTCGATGGCTGAGTCCTTGGATGCTCTTCACACTTATTTCGAATTATTAGAAATTGAAAATGTGGAGCAGCTTACCAATGGATTGAGAAAGATCCCAGATGACCCTCAAATTTTTCTGAGATGCCTGATCATATCAGGCTCACACAAGAACCCTCAAAACATTGAGCCCGAAGGCAAAACTGCAAGATATATAAAGGGACGAAGAACATGAACCTCTCCTTCGTCCAAGCCTCTCGAACATAGCTCAGATCATACAATGCTATCTCCTCCTGGCTCTATTCGCTCCAGCTGCCTATATTATTATATCTCCGTGGCCGTTATTCTCATCATCATCATGGTACTAGGCACTCTTCACCATTCACTGGTCATCATTGCCCTGACCGGCGATTATCAAATCCATGATGCCGCTGCTGATGTGATATGAGAATACTCCTCCTTCCAGGTGCAGAAGTACATCCTCTACAACTGGGCCCTTTGTGAATCAGGCTATAATGGCGATGCACCTATGCCTGGAGGGTATGAGGACTTCTAGCAGCTTTGGGCCAGAGATGAGGCCTGCCGCTATCAGTTTATGGAGTTGGACTCTGTGGACAAGTCCCTTCACATCCATGGCACTTGCCTTCTGCTCAATTCCATTTCAGAGTGCACAGCCCCAGAAATACCCCTGACTTCAGCTCCTCCTGACCCCGACGGTCTTTCATGCTTTTTCACCACTTGTACCCATGCAATTGCCTTGAATGCAATTGTTAACACTGCGGATGCCAGTCATCATCAAAAGGAATGCTCCCAGGAGATGTATGAAGAGAGGCAGGAGAAGAGGAAGTGAAGAAAGGTTGGGAGACACTCGGGTGGCGTGACCTTCCCTTCTGGGCAAGACACTTTCCATTCTGGGAATGACGTGACCTGACCTGGTGGTAAGCCCCCAGCCAAATGCTCAGCTCACGCTGGTTCATCTGCTATGCCGGCTGGCTCAGCTCCTGCAAAAACTCCAGCAAAACCTGCCTCTGCGGTGGCTGTCCAGAGCCCTACACTCACCACTGCAGGTCTGTCTGCAGTAAGTCTGAACACCTCGGCCCAGCCTCAGGGTACCTCAGTCACCATTAACAAAACCACACGTCAAGCTCGCATGACTACTGCAAAGAATAAGGAGGTCATTGATGCGAACTGCATGGACACCAATTGATCCAGCCAAGATCCATCATATACGATGGCTAGAGGGCATATGTAATGGCACACTCCGTAGAGCACCGACACTTGTTCTCCCAGCCACAGCCCCATCTTAGCTGTGGCTGAGCTATTTTCTTTTCTAGTCACTCCCCACTTTTACTTAACTGTTTTACTCATTTCGCCCCCCCTATGCTTCTTTGAACCCCTTAAAATTTACCTACAGGCTCTACGTATAAATAGAGGCCCAAAACCTCATGTGTAGGGCAGCACTCATATTACTGGAAATTCAGAGTCCTATAACCTGTCTCTTCCTGCATGTGATGCTCTCGCTCATGTGACACCATCAACTACCAAAAGTAGCTGCAAATATCACAATAGCAGTCCTATGCTTGTACAAGGTTAGCACAAGAATACACATACAGTGAGCCACAAAACTGTTGCAATGTTTGCAACAGTTGCATTGTTTGACTTATATCTCAGGAACTAAAATAGCTAAATATAGAAATATATATATCATTAGAAAGCCTATGATATGAGCTTTCAAATGGCACTTTTATAAAGTAAATTGGCCTACTGGTTAGTGAGATACAAGATATTCTTTATAAAAGATGCATTGCAACAGTTTTGTGGCTGACAGTTTTAAATATAAAAATTCCCAACTTCAGTACTTTGTGTACCCTCCCTTTGCCCTCAACACAGCTCTAACCCTGTCTGGCATACTGTTAATTAAGTTCTGACAGACAGAAGCCTCAATACCATTCCATTCCTTCTGTACCCTGTCCCAAAGTTCTGCAATTCCTCCAGGTGCATTTTCATATGCTGCCAGCCTTCTTTTGAGATGGTGCCAGAGGTGTTCTATGGGGTTGAGGTCTGGAGACTGTGCAGGCCATACCATAGTCTCAAAACCATGCTCCTGTAGTCACTTCCTGGCTTTCTTTCTGGTGTGCTTGGGGTCATTGTCTTGCTGAGATACCACATTCTCCACAGTTTTGCCCCATTCCTCTATGCTATTCTGAAGTTCATCCTCCAGAATAGAAACATAAAGGTCAGCATCCATCTTGCCATCAATCTTGCAGGCATATCCAATCCCTTCCCAGCCCATACACCCCCACATCATGAGGCTTCCTCCCCCAAACTTGAGTGTCCCTTCTATCAGCCTATCACTGAGTCCCTCCCCTGGCTTCTTCCATGCCCATTTCCTCCCATCTGACCCTAACCTGTTGATTTTGGTCTCATCTGACCATATAACCCTCTTCCAGTCCTCCACAGTCCAGTGCTGATGGCTAACAGCAAAGTCCAGTCTTTCTCTCTTATGACACTTAGAGAGAAGAGGATGTTTATGCTTTACCACAGCCTTCAGACCAGTGCTTTTGAGCTTTCTATGCATAGTCTCCACATGAAAGGGCTGGTTGACAAAATCTTGAAGAAGTCTGGTCACTTCAACAGCAGTATCTGCCTGACCAGTGGTAAGATGGTGAGTAGCATGGTGAATGATTCCAGGATTAAGCTTTGTAGGATGACCTCCACCAGATGTAGGCATGTCAGGATGATGCTCAGAGTGAATTCTGGACACAGTGAAGTAATAGACTGCAGTCAGATGAGCAATCTGTCTGACAGAATGACCTTGATCAAGCAGGGAGAGAATGTGGGCAGTCTGAGTAGCAGAAACCTTCTTCATGATGGTTGTGTTGAAGTTGAACAGTCTGTTGGGTGTTGATCAACTCATGCTAAGTTCAACAAAGATCACATGATCAAAACTTTAAACCTTAAAGCAAACAAACTTCTGCAAGGGGGTATTTTTGTCTTCAGAGTTTTCAGCCACAAAACTGTTGCAATGCATCTTTTGTAAAGAGTATTTTGTATCTCACCAACCAATAGGCCGATTTACTTCATTAAAGTGCCATTTAAAAGCTCATATCATTGGCTTTCTAATGATATTATGTTTGCATATTTGGCTATTTTATTGCCTGAGATATAAGTCAAACAATGCAACTGTTGCAAACATTGCAACAGTTTTGTGGCTCACTGTAGTACATGGTGAGTACATGACCTTGTACATTATCAACACATGGCCACTATCTAACACATATGCTGTTGTAGCTGACTTATATGCACTTCAGTTTAGTCTGTTCAACTTTTCATTCATAGTTTATTGATCTTTTTCTATGACACTGCTAAAATAAATGCACAGAGAGCTTCAAAGGGTGCCAGTTCTTGTAGCAGAATGTTCAACAAAGTATCATTATGCTCAGAACATTCAATCTCAGAATCAGTATCAGAGACTAAGTTAGAGAAAACAGTGCATCTGCTTTTAAGTAAAGAGGGTCCAGATTGGTGTGCTGAAGGGCCTTTGAGAGCAGCATAAAATCACTGAATGCAGTGCATTGCAATGAAGAGCCTGCAGGTTCAGCAAGTTCAGATAAACAATCTGCATGTTCTGATTGCTTTAACCAAGGACCAGTGGCTGATGAAGGGCCTGATACATCTATCTCCATTTCAATTCTCTATATGCCTGACTTTATGTCAACCTTGTGAGAGCAAGTTCTAAATAACCCAGTCATTTGGTTATAATTTTTTTATAATCCATTACTGAGTGGCCTGCAATCATATAAGCATGAAACCTATTTTTTTTCCATGCCTATGATCAGACATGTATCTCATTTCTCATGCTTGTGACATTTTTCCACTGGGTGAAGCAATCAATAATTTGAGGTGAAAGATGGTAAACATATTGAAGAAAAAGTTCAAATCTTTTAAGCATCTTCACTGTCAATTTGTGATAAAAGTATTTATAATATACTTAACATCTTTTATTGTGAAAGATGATGAAAAGGTTAAAAGAAGATTGGATGAAATATTAATAATCATTTCTTCAATCATTTTACAATCTTTCATACAAAACTATGATGAAAAGTTTCAAAATCTTTTTTTTACTCTTTTTTGATCAAAGATGATGAAAATATTGTGACTATGTCACACCCTTGTTTTCATATACTAAGCTAGTACTAAGATATGGAGGTAAATACTTAGGTCCAGATATTGGTACTATCTCTTGAAGCCTTAGTACTAGCATAGCATTGATCTTTACATTTTAGCACTAGCTTAGTACTGGCATAGTGCTAGCATAGTACTAGCATTTGGACCTTAGTACTAGCATAGTACTACTCTTTGAAGCCTTAGTACTAGCATAGTACTAGCATAGTACTAATCTTCAAACCTTAGTACTGATCTGCGGACCTTGGTACTAGCTTAAAACTACAGTGACCTACAAAACTGTTGATAAGATTGCTTACTTCGACTTGTATGATGAATATCTCCTCAACCACTGGGCCGAATAAATGCTATAAGAGCTCATTGGAAAGCCTATTATCATAGCTTTTCAATGCAGTTTTTTTATATCCTTAGCATATTTTGATCCCAAGATATTTGATACTCTTTGAGGGCCACTCTTATCAACAGTTTTGTGGTGCATATTCAGGTTCTACAAAACTCATACTTTCAGTACTTGGTATAGCCTCCCTTTGCCTTCACACCTGCATCCACCCTCCTTGGCATACTTTCAATCAGATTCTGACACACTTCCTTCCCAATAGCCTCCCATTCCTTCTCCACCCTTTCCCACAACTCAGTAATTCCCTTTGGTGGCTCCTGATACTCTGCAAGCTTCTTTTTGAGGTGATCCCACAAATTCTCTATCGGATTGAGATCTGGGGATTGAGAGGGCCATAGAATGGTGTTGAAATCATGGTCTTTGAACCAATCCTTGGCCTTCTTGCTGGTGTGCTTGGGGTCATTGTCTTGCTGAAACACCACATCCTCCACAGTTTTGCCCCAATCCTCCAGGCTATTCTGCAGCTCATCCTCCAGAATGCTGACATAAAGGTCTGCATCCATCCTGCCATCAATCTTGCAGGCATACCCCACACCATCCCAGCCCATACAGCACCACATCATCAAGGATCCACCTCCAAACTTCTGAGTCTCTTCCACCAACCTATCACTGAGGCTCTCCCCTGGCTTCTTCCACACCCATTTCCTTCCATCTGACCCCATCCTGTTAATCTTTGTCTCATCTGACCATACCACCATTCTTCAGTCCTCTACAGTCCAATACTGGTGAGCCAAAGTGAAGTCCATCCTCTCCTTCTGATGCCTTGCAGAGAGTAAAGGCCTTTTTCACTTCACTACAGCCTTCATTCCTGCCTTCTTCAACCTCTTTGCACTGTCTCTGCATTGACAACCCTCCCAGTAACATCTCCAAGAGCTCTGGCCACAGCAGGAGATGTGGTAGCCTTGCCAGTCCCAATGAGTCAAGTAGCATAGCGAAGATTGGCAGCAGTAAGAAGGGAAGGATGCCCTCCTTTGGCCTTAGGAATGGTGGGGCAGTGTGTGTAGCACAGTTTACTGATGGTAGAATAGTGTAGCCCAGTCAAAGCTTCAATTTCTCAAAGAAATTTGCCATTCTGAAGCAAAGCAATGACATGGTTGACAGTTTCAGTAGCAACAGCTTTTGGCATGATGTTGGTTGAGTGTGAAGAGTTGTGTATGGCTGTTTGTACATTGTTCATGTTGAAACATGATCATTCAATCAATATTCCCACAAGGAACCCTGTCAACACATCAAGAATCACAATATTCTGAGAACTTGTGTGTGTGCCACAAAACTGTTGATAAGAGTGGCCCTCAAAGAGTATCAAATATCTTGAGATCCAAATATGTGAAAAATATAAACAAAACTGATTGTAAAGCCATGATAATAGGCTTTCAAATGAGCTCATATAACATTTATTTAACCCAGTGGTTGAGAAGATATTCACCATACAAGTCGAAGTAAGCAATCTTATCAACAGTTTTGTGGGTCACTGTATGCTAGTACTATGCTAGTACTAAGGCTTCAAGAGATAGTACTAATATCTGGACCTAAGTATTAACCTCCATATCTTAGTACTAGCTTAGTATATGAAAACAAGGGTGTGACATAGTCACAATATTTTTATCATCTTTGATCAAAAAAAAGTGAAAAAAGATTTTGAAACTTTTCATCATAGTTTTGTATGAAAGATTGTAAAATGATTGAAGCAATGATTATCAATATTTCAACCAATCTCCTTTCAACCTTTTCATCATCTTTCACAACAAAAGATGTTAAGTAGATTATGAATACTTTTATCACAAATTGACAGTGAAGATGCTTAGAAGATTTGAACTTTTTCTTCAATATGTTTATCATCTTTTACCTCAAATTATTGATTGTTTCACCCAGTGTTCGTGTCTGTGGACAGCCATTAATCCTCATGTTGACTTCAGGCACAAAACTAATTAGAAATCAGTCACCTAAAGGCCAGCAGTGATGCTTACTGATATTCAGCATCATATTCCAATGCATTCCTTGAGCTAGCTGCCATTTCCACTCTACTATTCATCAAATTGTAAAAGTATCCTCTATCACTTTCTCCTTGTCTGAGCACTTACAGTATGATTAACATGCCCTGCCTTCCTGCACCTGTAACAAGTCACAGGCCTTTGCTTCTTCAACTTGGCATCCCCTGAACCTGCATAGGTCACTAGTCTCAGTTTCAGACATTATAGATGCTGTGTCACGTGGTGGCTGCACCACAGGAAATGTCAAGTGGAGATCAAAAAAATGAAATGTGCATATGCACTATAACATCTGGTAGGTTTGAGTAGGGCAGGTGTGGGTAAGGTGATTATGTGACTTATTGCAAGCCTGAAGCACTGGCTTGCAATGTATGCACCCACACACATCGGACTGTAGGGCAATTTCTGAAGACCAAAATGACCTCAAAATATGAAGCCCTTTCTTGAAACATTTCTCCAGCTGGCAAAATCATTTCTATGTGGCAAACAACTATTATAAGAAACTTGCAGAAAATTGATCCCATCTCGCAAGTGTTTAGGCAGTAGCAATTGAAGATGTTTACAAGCCCTGTATGCAAAGTCCTTGCTGTCAAAGAATATGATCGTACAGACCAGTGGCTCACCATTGAGACCTTCTTTCATAGCAAAGTTAAGTGCATCGAGATTCAAGGAGGCACGGCACATGCAGCAGATGAAAGGTGTGATTGTCACGGCACCTCATAGATCCTGCCAAAAGGCAAGGAAATGGCTGCAAGGTGCTAGCTGCACTCAGTGACCTGCACAAATACTAAAATGAGGCCTGCCACAAAGGGCAAGGCCAAAAAGGCATGCAGTGACATGCAGCCTGCAAAAAGGGGCTTAAAGGACCCTTAGCCTTATATCACACAAAAAGGGGGTGAAGGCCGTTTAGGCCACATGAAATAGATGAATGAAACTGAAGATACCCAGCTTCCTCATGGGTGCTTATATACATGCAGGTAGGGACCTCAGTCACTATACTAAGGTAAATACCCCTGACACCTATATGTCAACATGATACCATAACCAATTAAGTTCTGGTAGCTACTATGACAACTATCGACAAAGGCCGTGGATACGCTGAGGAATCCTATCTCCTTCAATGGGATAATTGCCTGAAGGTGGTGCCACTATTGAGCGGTGACATGGGGCCACTATGGAGTAGCCAATAGGGCTGGTGTCACTTATCTGAGTAACGAATTGGGTGCTTGCTAGCTTGATGGTCCAAAGGGTTCCTTTCTGGGCAAGTGGCCTGGTGTCACGTGACCAACACCTGACAACTTCCAAATAGGGCAAGTGGCCAGTGTCACGTGACTGAGTGGCTGAATCATGGGCACGTGGTGATCATGTGATAGACACAGTCGTATCCACAATGTATGTGGCAGTATTGTGCTGTTTGTCCAAGTATCTACTTTGTGAGATCAATATGAAGGTTGGTGTCTGAATAACCACTTGTGGTTGCCAAATGATGACTTTAATGGTGCAAAAAGAAAGGTGCCACCTAATACTGTGACAGTGATGTTAGAATGATCATTACCAAGGTTTATGAGGAATGTTCTACTGTCACTCATGAGCAGCTTCAAATGCATGTCGGCCAGTATATGAGGTGGAAGTATTACAGAAGTCACAAGGAATAGAACCATAACAGGGACAAATGATCATAACTTGCTTAGCTCAGCATACTTTGTATGGAACTTCTCTCCCCCAAAGCGAGACACAGTGTGCCTCATCGATAACAAATGCGATCACATCTTGCAATTGTGTGAACTCTGATGAGCACATGAGCCTTGAGAATTCTGGATGCTGTGTACACATTTCTGGTGATGTTAGCAGCAGCCTATGCTTGCGCTGTTCACCTCCTAGATACAATAGATAGATATTATGTGAGTTCATTTATGTGAGGTTTGAAAACACACCTTGATCAGGTTTGGTTGCTCCTGTAGTTTCTCACCATTCATGGCTGTTGCACTGAGACCCATCTTCCTGAAGCCTGATGCCTGATTACACTGTCAGCCACTGTAGATAGGCATATTGTCAGGTTTACTTACCTGATCTTCCTCAAGCTCATTGAGCAGTGAGATTATAATAATCATCTTAGAACTGTTATGGTCTAGGGGCAGGGGCATTGCAAAAGGCATCATCTTTCCAGCCTCAGTACCGACAATGACAATAGCATCCACTCTGACCAAGATTGCTTCAGTTACTGCCAGCTGCCAGTCATATGGATGCACATTTATGTTGAATGAAGACCCCCCTTAAATTCTGTAGTCAGCTGTGCACGAATCTTCGCTAAAGAGTAATTCCTTTGATAGCTTGCAGCAGTGTGAGCTTCATCGAGTAGCTTGTAGACAGTATCTGAAAGTGTCAGCATTATACTGCCACTCATAGACTGACTAGTAGCCATTGGTCAGACAGGGCAAGTCAGAGAGAGAGAAACAGAGATAGCTGTAAAGCTTAGACAGTACAATACACAAAGAACACAAAACTACAAGTAAGAATGATGTGCGCATACATGTCAAAATGCAGAGTGGTTGGCACATAGCAAGTGCGTAATGGTCAGGTGATCGCCTTATCTACATCTGCCCTACCAAAACCCACCAGACCCTCTGTACTTTTTGTGTGTTTCAGTTTTTCGATCTCCGATCGGGTGTCTCCAGTGACATCAGCCACCAAGTACAGAGGGTCTGAGAATGAGACTAATAGGTCACCATCTTCATGCTCCCTGCATCATCTGATCTACTGTGCCTCATCTCCTCATTCAGGATCTTTATGCTGACTTGAGTGAAGTCTGCTTAATGATGTCTATGTCACTGACCTGCAACACCACCTTGCTTATACTTGTCTGTTGGTCTCATAAGCAGGGCCAACACCTTCTGAGCCTTCTCAACCTCAACATCAATCATCTTCAGTGCCCTTGTCACATTTTAGCAATTCATTTCTGGCCCAACTCACCCTCCTGCATCTGCACATGATTGAATGTCTGCCACTTGACCAACTTCATGGTGAATTTCTTTGTCCTAGGGGTGTTACATAACCTGAACCAGCACTCACAGAGAGTCCTTCTCCTCTTTCAGAAGTGTCAGCTGGTTCTCTCTCACCTGAAGTACATATAATCCTCATCTGTGCCTCAGCACCTTGCTTAATGCCTTCTCTGGTGTGATCCCTTTTTTACCTTCACCTTTGGCTCCATTCACTTTTTCAAGTCATTTTGCACCAGCACTGCCTGCATTTCATTGCTCACAGTCTATAGTTACCCTCCATTGATAGAAAAATCAGAATGACATTCACAATCTTCAGCCATGGTACAACATTGAGAGGATGAGGATTATGTCTGAAAGGTATGTATGACAAGCAAACAAGCAAGAAACTTGACATGGCTGATCAGTTTGTGTTAACTTTAGGCACAAAACTGGCCAGAAATCAGTCAATATCTCCAGTGATCAAAAGAGAATCTGAGATACAAACTGATATAATTACATTACCACTATATACATGTATCTATACTCTTGGAACTCCTGTGCACAGACCATCTAACACTAGGTGAAGCAATCATTAACATGAGGTGAAATATGGTAAAGATATTGAAGAAAAAGTTTAAACTTTTGCTATCCTGCTGCCTTCCTTGCAGCCGAACACTGGGGAGATCCAGCCTGGGGACGACGAGTTCACGCCCGAGGACCATGACATCAACCCCTCCTCTTCGGCGCTACCCACATTTTTACCCAGTGACGTCATTCCACCTCCCCCGCGGCGTCCACGGATCCCCTGCATGGTTCTCCCCTCTGATTGCCGGACGTGGACTGCTTCTCGTGCCACTGCACCACCTCTGGAGATCTCTAACACCATCGAGCATGCCCCAGGTGGTGACACCACTAATGCGCTCTCTCCCAGCCCTGTGCTGCACTGTCACCAATGTCCAGTCAGCCTCCCAGACGCACGCCCACCCAAGTGCCCTTGGCGCACGACCGTCGCTGCCTCTCGAAAAGGAAAGTCACGGGCTCCCCCTGCCAGGCACTCTTCCCTCACAGAGACCGAGCATCTCTCGAGGCACTCCTCCCCACCACCCACAGCTCCCTCATCTCCTTCGTCACCTGGTCTCGGTGATGCAGAGGCGATTTTGGCCCGAACACAGGGAGACACTACCGATACCCTCGATGGTGACATTCATGCACGGTTGGCCTCCTTGCCCACATCTGCATGCGATGTATATCAACAGTACCTTCGCATGCTAAACGAGGCATTTTTGGCACAGGCTAACACTCAGCGGTGGCCTCCCACCCTGCCCGAGCCCTCCTCATTGGCTCCATCCTTCGGTAAGTGCATCTCTGTCCTCACCACCCTAGTCCTGGCACATGTGCACTTCGCGCCGCTGCCTTTTTTTTTTCTCGTGCCTTTCGCGCCTCTTTCTTGTGCCTTTGCACCTCTTCCTTGTGCCTTTCGTGCCTTCTTCTTGCACCCCTCGCACCTCTCTACTGCACCCTTCATGCCCCCCCCCCTACTGCACCTTTCTTTGCACCTATCTATCACGCCTCTGTGCCTTTCTACCGTGCCCTTGTGCCCCCCTAGTGTGCCCTCGTGCCTCTATATTGCACTCTCGCATTTCACATATTTGCGCACACTCGCACTTCTCACCTTTCGTGTCCCGCATGAGGCATACCCAGTTCAGTCAGGTGGTACACCCTAACTTTGTGCTTTCCATTCACATTCTCCCCACTACCCTGGGCACCTCGCACCCCTCTGCCTCGTGCATACAATCATGCTGATGCCATTGGCTCTCTGCAGCCTTGCGATCTTCTGGACTCTCGACCGCCACACCCTCTGGCCCATGCAAGCCATCGTCGCATGACTTTCCTGCCATCCCAATGGAGCTTGATCCTGACTGCCTTATGGATCCTCCCGCTGTCATCCAAGTCATTCGCTCTGGACTAAAGACATACATCCCTCTCACTGCCCTGACGAATGATGCCTGTCGCAATGTTCATAGGCTGGCACATCGCCAAAAGGAGACTCTGAAAGTCGAAAATGGGTCTGTCACTGTGTCGTTACTGGTCCTTGATGCATCCCGTGAACCATTCCTTTCCACTGCCGAGTTCCAGCAGGCGTACCCATGATACCTATCCCTCATTCAGAACCATTATCCAGGTCACGGATGGATCCATTTAGCTGATGAATTTGAAGCACATTTCACTAACATCATCAGCCGCGTTGATTGGGCTGAACGCATCGGTGTGTACATTGTGCTTGACATCACGATCTGCCATCAGCATTACAACGGTGTCGCTGTCACGCCATCGCTATGACAGGCTGGACTCTACGCTCGCATTCACGAGGACTGTATCACCGGGTTCAATATGGGCACCCACAACCAGGCAGGATACATTTACGATCTGGTGCATAATCCTCCAACCAATCAGCGTATGACCTCACACGCTACTCTGGTGACCGGCGCTGCTACAGAGCCCTTTCGCTTCTTTCGTGAGCACTCCGGACAGCAACGTGAGACTGGCTCCACCTCAGACCCTGGTTGGAGACACCCCACTGCCGGCACTCTGCGATGCCTTGCCTGTGGGAGCACCAAGCATAAAGGCACTGATTGCACGTGTGACCAGCCGCCATTCTTACAGCGTCGTGACAGGAAGTTCTTCGCACCCAACGGCCTCAATATCTGCTTCCGTTTCAACCTCACCAGTTGTCACGGTTGTCAGCGACAGCATGTCTGCTTCCTCTGTGGGCATTCCGGACACAACGCTCAAATCTGCCATTCCCACTGATGTGCGATCCGTTGTCACTCCCCTGCGCTGGGACGCATGGTTGGAGGAGTTAACAATAGCTGGCTGTCTTGATGACTTCGGTGACGTTCCATTGGGCATTCAAAATGGCTTCTGACTCAGTGTATCTTCCTCGCTCACATCTACATACATTCCTCGTAATCATAAATCAGCCACAGATCATCCTGAGGCTGTAGAGCTACACATATCCACTGAACTGGCCACACACCGCTACTCTGATCCCTTTCACCCCGCTCGTCTAGAGTCTCTCATCGGTCCTTTTTGCACTTCCTCTCTCAGCACTGTTCCCAAAGCCAATAGCCCCGGTATTTTTCGCATTATCCAAGATATGTCCTATCCATGCGATGACCCTGCAATACCTTCCGTCAACTCCGACATTGACCCTGATGAGTTTCTTACTGAATGGGGTACCTTCACGCAGTGTGTACTACTGCTCGTGAATGCACTCCCTGGTACACAGGTCTGTGTCAATGATGTCGAAAAGGCATATCGATGCATGCCCATCGCCCTCTCAGATCAAAACTTCATCGTTGTCATGTGGAATGGCCTCGTATACATCGATCATTGTGCTGCCTTTGGGTCTGCCAGTTCCAATGGCATATTTGGTCGTGGCGCTGATGCTCTTGTGCGCATCTTCAAGTTCAAAGGTGTTCAAGATCTTATCAAATGGGTCAACGATTTCATATTCTTTCGATACCCCATAGGCAGAACTCCGGGTGGTTCATTCATCTATTCCTATGATGAGTCTCTCATCTTTTCAGTCACGGCGCGTCTTGGATGGCCATGGTCCTTGCCGAAACACATTCCATTCGCACCAGCCTTCGACTACCACGGTTTTCACTGGTGCATACCGGACTGTACTGTCGAACTACCAGAGAAGAAGAAAGCAAAATACCTTCTTCGCCTCGCGCCCTGGGTATGCGGTGCTTCTGTATCACATAAGGACTGTGCGGCTGTCATAGGCACCTTAACACACTGCTGCCTCGCCATACCTGAAGGTCGTTCTCACCTACTGTCCTTTTACCATATGAATGCTGCCTTCTCATCGACAGTGAATCCATATGTCAAACATCGCATTCTCGTCGCAGTAATCACCGACGTTGACTGGTGGAGAAGTACACTATCCCGGCCTTTCTGTGGGTCGAAACTGTTCGTACCACCCGATGACGAGTCGCTCTCTATCTTTGTTGACGCTTCTTCCTCCTGGGGCATAGGTCTTGTCATCAATGGCAACTGGCAGGCCTGGTGTCTTCTCCCGGGTTGGAAATCTGAAGGACGTGATATAGGATGGGCAGAGATGGTCACTGTCGAACTGGCTGTATGCTACCTGGTTGCTGATGGCAAGGTTGCGCACCGGTTTCTCATCCGTTCTGACAACAAAGGAGTGATCAGTGCCTTGGAAGCCGGTCGTTCCCACAGCATCTCGCAGAATCAGATTCTGCAGAAAATCGTATCTTTATTCTCTGCCCATGGTTTGTGGATTCGGACTGAATATGTGAATACAAAGGATAACCTTGCAGACCCACCTTCTCGTGGCACCTTTCCTCCACGTACTTCTCATTTGCGCTACCTATTTTCTGTGCCATCTCATCTAGCACGCTTTCTCGAGCATGTACGGTAATTAGCGCAGTATTATCATGTAACCTTATAATTATTGTTAAATATTCATATGCACCATGTCGGCCACAATTCATCTCCTATTCTTTTGGCTCACCTCCCGTGTTCATGCCATGGAGTCTGATACCTTCAACACCTTCTTCAACACCTTCATCGAGCAGTTTTCCTCCCAGTTACACAACACTCTGCATGGCTCGCTCCTCAAACCTGCTATTGTCCGTCCGAGTTCTGGTGGTGCTGTTCGTCATGAGCGAACGAAAGCTGGCCGACAGAAACCTTATTCCACGCACACTGTACCCAGCAAATCAGCACATTCTTTGTTCCAAACTAGCCCGACGATCAGCTGCAACCCAAACCTGGCCTCTTCCTCTCGTTATGTCTTATCTGTCGATACCACAGTTCACACCGAGTCAGTTTTGTCGCAATGCCTCGCCACCTCTACCCTTAACCAATACGGTGCATCTTTGCAGTCCTTTATGGCCTTTTGTGATGCGGAGAACATTTTCCTTGGCATGCACCTCCCTGCCGATGAGTTCCTGCTTTGTGCATTTGCGGCATCAAAAGCGGGGTCTCACGGTCGTTCCTCTGTTCAAAATATGTTATCTGCTGTGCGCACATGGCATATCATTCAAGGCGTAGCATGGCATGGAGGCCCTCACCTTGCCTACATTCTCAATGCCGTTGAACGCCTCAGTCCTGATCGACAAACCCCTCAGCTACCAATCACACGCTCGATGCTGGAGCTTCTTCATCGTGAACTCAACGCATCTGATCCGGAGCTGCTCTGCATTCTATGTGCGGCCAATGTGGCCTTTTAGGGCCAGCTTCATCTCGGAGAGATCTTTCCAACCTCTCAGACTCGCTTTGATCCTAGCAGAGTCCCTCTTCGCAACCATCTTCACGAAGCATCCTCATTGAATGGATCTCGTTCTCTGCATCTTTCTTTTACAAAGGTCAAGAAATGTGCTGGTGAACAAGTCACAATTACACGTCAATGTGGCCCTTCTGATCCAATCGCTGCCTTGCAACAACACCTTTGCATTAATTCCATTCCCGGCGATCTACCATTATTCTCCTTCCATACAACTACTGGATCCTGGTCATGCTTGACTAAGAAGTTAATCTAAATAAAAGGATTACATATATTTTTAACATTTTATCTTACAAAGGATGATGAAAAATTAAAAGGAGATTGAATAAAATCTTTCTTCAATCATTCTTTAATATTTCATATAAAGTTATGATAAAAAGTTTCAAAAACATTTTTCACTCTTTTTTGTCAAGGATAATAAAGATATTGTGACAGTGTCACACCCTTGTCATCATATACTTGTAATCTAGCACTAAGATGTGAAGGTTAATACTCAGATTTATATGTTAGCACTATGCTAGTGCTATGATCAGGAAAATAATACTAAGATTCTAATGTTAGCAATATGCTAGTAGTCAGCTAGTGCTAAGGTCTATATATTAGTACTATGCTAATACTATGCTAGTACTAAGGCCTCAAAAGTTGGTACTTGTTGAAATCTGGTGAGCTATGTCACACTGCAAAAAGTAGACAGGCAGATGAAATAGGAAGCATTTGGTGGTCCATGTGCAGAGGAGCAAATATGTATGTACACATATTTGCTGCTACAGACAGCATCAGTTTGCCTCTCAGTAAACATACATTACCATATAGTTAGCCCAGTTGAGTGCAATCTGTCAACACAAACTGATCACTTACCTCTATCCTTCCTCTCTTGACTATGTTCTCATCTTCAGCTGTCAACCACTGGGTGAAACAATTAATAATTTGATATCACAGATGATAAAGATATTGAAGAAAAAGTTCAAATCTTTTTAGTGTCTTTATTGTCAATTTGTGATAAATGAATTCTAAATATTCTAAACATTTTTTCTTGTCAAAGATGATAGAAAGGTTGAAAAGAGATTGAATGAAATATTAGAAAATAATGTTTTATGATCTTTCAAACAAAAGGATAAAAATGTTTAAAATCATTTTCATTCTTTTTTTTATAAAAGATGATGAACATATTGTAATCATATCACATAATTATCATTTCACACCAAGTCAGTACTAGGATATGAAGTCTAATACTCACATTTAAATGTTAGTACTAGCATTTATTCCTTAGCGCTGATATAGTACTAGCACAGTATTAAGCTCTAGACTTTAGTACTAGCCTAGTATTAGTATAACACTAGTGTAGTACTAGCCTAGTATTAGTATAACACTAGTGTAGTACTAATATTTAAGTCTTAGTACTAACCTTCAAACCTTAGTACTAGCTAAGTGCTAGCATAGTATCAACATTTGAATCTTAGCATTAGAATAGTACTAATCTTTAGATATTATAGTAGCATAATACTATTTCCTGAAGCCTTAGTACTAGCATAGTACTATTGTTTGAGGCCTTTGGCATAGTACTATTGCAGTACTCTTGACAGATCACACAATACTAGCATTTAAATCTTAGTATTAGCATGCTGCTAACATTAGAATCTTAGTATTACTCTTCTGACCATAGTACTAGTATAATGCTGACATATATGTAAATCTGAGTATTAATCTTTATATCTTGGTGCTAGCTTAGTATATGAAAACAAGAGTGTGCCATAGTCATAATATTTTCATCATCTTTAATCAAAAAAGTGAAAAAGGATTTTAAGACTTTTCATCATAAATTCTACATGAAACATTGTAAAATGATTGAAGAAATGATGATTAATATTTCATCCAATCCCCTTTCAATCTTTTCATCATCTTTCACAACAAAAGATGTTAAGAATATTTTAAATACTTTTATCACAAATTGACAGTGAAGATGCTTAAAAGATTTGAACTTTTTCTTCAATATTTTTGCCATCTTGCACCTTAAATTATTGATTGCTTCACTCAGTATTAGTAGCATGCTCATACTATGCTCATACTAAGGCTTCAAGAGATAGTATTAACATTGAGATCTAAGTATTATCCTTTATATCCTAATATTGGATTAGTGTAGAACGATAATGATGTGATATGATTACAACATGTTCATCAAAGATGATGAGAAAAGAATGAAAAACAATTTCTAAAATATTTTTCATAGCTTTCTCTAAAAGATTGTAAAATAATTGAAAAAATAATTGCAAATATGTCATCTAATCTTTTTTCAATCTTTTCATCATCTTTAACAAAAAAAGATGTTAATAATATCTGAAATCCTTTTATCATTAGTTGACAGTAAAAATGCTAAAAGGATTTAACTGTTTACTTCAATATCTTTACCATCTTTCACCTCAAATTATTGATTGTTCCATCCAGTGTGAGTGATGGTAAAATATTGAAGAAAAAGTTCAAATCTTTCTAGCATGTTTACTATCAGTTTGTGATAAAGAGATTCAAGATATTATTAACATCTCTTCTTGTTGAAGATGATAAAAAGATGAAAAAGATTGGATGACATATTAGCAATCATTTCTTCAATCATTCCATAATCTTGTAGACAAAGTGATAATAAAAAGTTTCAAATTATTTTTGATTCTTTTCTTGTCAAAGATGATGAACATATTGTGATCATGTCACATCATTGTCATTCTACACTAAGCTAATATTACAATATGAAGGTTAATATCCAGTTTTAAAGTTAGTGTTATCTTTTTTGAAGTCTTAGTGGTAGTATAGTACTAAAATATAGTAATATTGACATTTAAATCTTAGTACTAATCTTCAGACCTTACTACTAGCATAGTTTTAACATAGTCTAGTACTAGCACAGTACTAGCATTTAGATTTTGTACTAGCATAATATCAACATAGTAAACATTTGGACCTTAGTATTAGCATAATGCCAACATTAGAATCTTGATATGATCCTCTTAATCATAGTACTAGTGTAGTGGTATATAGTATATAAATCTAAGTATTAAATCTCCATACCTCAGTACTAGCTTTATATATAATGACATGGGTGTATCATGATCACAATATTTTCATCAGTTTTAATAAAAACAACTGCAAAAAGGTTTTAAAATTGTTGGTCACATGTATTTTTGTATGAAAATGTCTGAAACAATTGAAGAAATGGTTATCAAGATTTCATCCACACTCCTTTCAATTTTTGTCATCATTCTTTACAATAAAAGATGTTAAAATATTTAAATTCTTTTATCACAAATTAACAGTAAAGATGGTTGAAAGGTTTGAGCTTTCTCTTTAATATCTTTATCATCTTTCATCTCAAATCATTGATTGCTTCATGTAGTGATTGCAAATTTGCTGATGGCTTTTGAGCTGAGCCAGCCATGCACTTTTTGCACTGTAATTCAAGTTCTTTTTGTCCTGTCTGAATGATCAGAAAAATGAGCCAGTGACATGTGAATAGCAGAAAGACAATGACTTGAGACATAATTCATCTCTGGTCAAAAAGACTGATCACATCTGTCACCTCACATAACAGCTTCTCACTATTTTCATTCTTTTTGTGAGTTCATGCTTTTATGGATCACCTTCATTTGTCAAGGTACTCACTCACAAATTTCATTTAATAAGCTGCTGATATAACTTCACATGTTCAGGTTACCTCAAAGTCTCTGCTACCATGTATGCTGAGGCTGCACTGCAAGCAATAGCCATCAAAGTCATTTGTTTCTTCTGCTTCAGGTTCTATAGAGGATTTTCACTCATGCTTCTCAGATTGTTTGAAAGGTGAAAGATGGTGAAGATATCAAAGAAAAAGCTCAAATGTTTGGAGGCTCTATAAATGTAATATATTTTTAATATATTTTCATGTAAAGAGTAATAAAAGGATTGAATAAATTATTAATAATCATTTCTTCAATTATTTTATAATTTTTCAGACAAAGCTTTGATTCAAAATTTTGAAAATGTATTTCATTCTTTTATTTTAAGGATGATGAACATATTGTGACTATGTCACACCCTTGTCATCATATACTATGCTAGTACTAAGATATGGAGGTTCATACTCAGATTTATATATTACCACTATACTAGTACTATAGTGAAAAAGTAATACTGAGGTTTCAATATTAGCAATATTCTAGTACTAAGCTAGTATGTAGTAAGGTGTATATATTAGTATCATAAAAGTGCTGTATGAGTACTAAGATCTAAAAATTAGTATTAGCATAATATTAATCTTTATATTCTAGTACTGGCTTAGTGTAAAATAATAATGATGTCACATGATCACAATATGGTTATCATTCTTGATAAGAGAAGATTTAAAAACAACTTTAAAATGTTTTGTTATAACTTTGTCTAAAAGATTGTCAAATAAATGAAAAGTTGATTGCTAATATTGTATTCAATTGTTTCCAATATTTTATCATTAAGAAAGGATATTAGAAATGTTTTGAATTCTTTTATCACATATTAATAATAAATATGCTGAAAATATATAAACTTTTTCTTCAATATCTTTATTATCTTTCATCTTAAATTATTGATTGTTTCACCCAGTATCTGCACCTTTGTCTGAGATAACTACATTCAATATCACTTGTGATAAGTTAATTGCACTTTTCGATATGAGTTACACTCATTTCATTGCAGAATCTGTTATTCTGATAAATTTTTGATTCAAGAGTACATACATAAAGCTATTCTAAATTCAAAAACTTTTGAGCTCTAAATACAATATTCAATAACTGAATGGCTTACTGAAAACCTTGACATACTCAAACACTGACACCATCCCTATCTCAAGAACCTCATTAGACTGAATGATTCAGATAAAATTAATATATCATAAAGAATTAGTGAATTTTACAACAGACCCTTATTATGCTTTGCAATTTCTCTGGC